ATCGCGGTGAAGGCAATTGTGGATACAGGCTCCCAGGTGACGACAATTACGGAAAATTTTTACACCAAATGGATGAAAGGAAAAGACCATAGGTTGAGGTCTGACACAGGCATGCGCCTAACGGCAGCTAATGGACTAACCATTCCATACTGTGGTTATTTTCTGGCGGATGTCGTGGTGGCAGGACATAGGTTGAAGCAGGTTGGGGTGTTCGTTACGAAACACAACCTAGAGACAAATGTGTCAAATATACCTTGCCTGTTGGGCATGAATATCCTTGGCCAGTTGCCAGAATTTCTTACAAATATTGTCGGATCGACCACACCAGGTCGGGGATCCAAGTTGGCCAGGTTTGCCAAGACCAGAGGAAGGACAGCAGTCCCGGCAAACACGGTCAAGGCAATCACATTACAAATTGGTGATAGAAGCGTGAATGGTGATGTGATGATAGAACCATGTGGCGCCGCACTGAGGGCAGGCGTCGTGTTACTGCGGACATACACATCAGCGGAAAACGGACTAGTTCAAGGGTTGGTAGCTAATGTTTTGGATGAGGAAATTTTTATACCGCCTAACACTCTGGTAGGAGTACCACAGAACGTCGAGGTACAAAGGTCGGCACAGTGCATCGAACTGATCAATACCAGTAGTAATGAAGTAACAATTAGGTCGGTCAATGTGACGGCCGAGGTGAAGAAAAAGGGTGGCCGATCATATATATTCCCGGAAACTGAAGACCCAAAATTAAATGAATTACTGAATAAATACAGGGATGTATTTGCCTCGTATGAGGGTGATTTGGGGTACACGGAAGTAATCAAACACCAGATACCCTTACTACAAGACAAGCCGGTGGCGCAACCTTATCGAAGATTACCACCGAGTCACTACTCGGCGGTGAAGGCACACCTGAATGATCTACTAGAAAAGGGAATTATTACAACTAGTACAAGCCCGTATGCGGCACCGATTGTAGTGGTAAAAAAGAAGTCAGGGGAGATAAGACTGTGTTGTGATTACCGGAAATTGAACAATATCACAAGAAGGGATGCATTCCCCTTGCCTCGTATTGATGAATGTCTTGATGCGTTGGGGGGAGCAAGATTCTTTTCTACCTTGGATTTGGCCAGTGGCTACCACCAAGTGGCCATGCACCCCAACGATCAACATAAAACTGCATTTATTTCTCCACTGGGACTGTACGAGTGGACCCGTATGCCGTTTGGTCTAACTAATGCACCTGCTACATTCCAGCGAGTAATGCAGAGTGCTATGAGTGACTTTCTATTTCAAATAATGTTGGTGTATTTGGATGATATTCTAGTTTACTCAAAAACTTGGGAGGACCATCTAAAAAGATTAGAACAAGTGTTTCTCCGTCTTAGGGAGATAGGAGTAAAGCTGAACCCAGACAAATGCTGCTTTGGTTTGAAATCGGTACATTTTTTGGGTTACGTGATTTCGTCGGATGGCATCGCCACTGACCCAGATAAAATTGCAGCTGTTAAAGAATGGAAACAGCCAACAACTACAGTAGAGGTCAGGTCATTCTTGGGCTTTGCTTCCTATTATAGAAAATTTGTACCTGGTTTTGCAAAAATTGCCGCACCATTGCATGACTTGGTAAACAAAATGACAAAGAAACACAGTAAGGAGAAAAAGAAAGGTAAAACACACCTGATAGGTGAATTATGGACTGATGAATGCCTGAACTCGTTTAAACTCTTGAAAAAGGCTTTGACAGAGGCACCGATATTGGGTTACGCGGACTTTGACAAACCATTTCGGTTAGAAATTGACGCCAGCTCTAAAGGCCTGGGAGCTGTGCTATCACAACAACAAAAGCAAGGTTTCAGGGTTATTGCGTATGCCAGTCGAGCTCTGAAGGAATCAGAGAAGAACATGACAAATTACAGCGCCATGAAACTAGAACTTTTGACATTAAAATGGGCTGTGACTGAAAAATTCAGGGACTATCTCTTAGGTGCTAAATGTGTGGTATACACTGACAATAACCCCTTGAGTCACCTAAAGACAGCAAAGCTAGGATCCATCGAACAGCGATGGGCAGCAGAATTGGCACTCTTTGACCTGGAGATAAAATATCGCCCGGGGCGGTCCAATGGCAATGCGGACGCTTTATCAAGGAATCCTTACGAGAAACCGGGTGATGAGGAAGAAACGCTGACAGGAATATGTGAGGTCAGAGCGTCAACAGATATCCCTCATGGGGTACAAGTGATGCAGAACGGGCAGACCGGGGTGGAGCACATATCCACAGAGCCCGAACATATGGACAGTAGTGATTTTAATTGCCTTAATCACAAAAAGATAAGAGATGCCCAGAGAACGGATAGTGGCTTACAACCGCTATTGAAATACGTCCAGGAACAAAAATTCCCAGGAAGAAGGGAAAGAGAACAATTTGGTCGAGAAACAAAGAAAATACTGAGTCAGTGGAACCGTCTCAGTATAAAGGATGGTGTTCTCATGCGGAGAATTCATGACCAAATTGATGGCACAATACACCAGGTGGTGGTGCCGGGACAATTACGAGAAGAAGTGCTAAGGTTGGCACATGACAGGGCAGGACACCAAGGTCAGGACAGGACGCACAAAATATTACGACGGAGGTGTTACTGGCCCAATATGGAAATGGAGGTCAAACGCCATTGTGAGGCTTGTGTGAGGTGTCAGCATGCGAAAATGCCAGTTGTCAAAATGAGACAGCCATCAGGACACCTACTAGCGACAAAACCACTAGAGATTGTGGCGATGGACTTTACGTCGTTGGAGCAATCATCGGATGGGACGGAACATGTGTTGGTAATGACTGATGTATTCACCAAATGGACTGTGGCGGTGCCCACACGAGATCAGACTGCCAAAACAGTGGCAAAGGTATTAATAGAACATTGGTTCATCAAATATGGCATACCAAGACAATTACACTCTGACCAAGGAAGGGCTTTCGAGTCAGAAGTAATTAACCAACTGTGCAGCCACTACGGGATCAACAAATCTAGAACAACCACATTTAATCCGAAGGGAAACGGACAGTGTGAACGGTTCAACCGCAGCATGCATGATTTGCTGCGTACGCTAGAACCTGAACAGAAAAAACGTTGGCTTGATTTTCTCCCAGAGTTGGTATATCTATACAACTGCACACCCCATGCCACAACCGGCTTTACGCCATACATGTTGCTGTTCGGACGAGAGGCTCGACTCCCTCTTGATTTGTTCCTAGGAAAAAGGGAGAGTATGACTGGCTCATACACCGCACTGGAATATGTGAATGAACATATGAGAAGAATTAGAGAAATGTACAGGGTAGTACAGGAAAGACTAGAACATGAATCTCGGCGAAGGGAACCGCCGATACAGACGAAGGACCCGCCACTCAAACTGAATGACAGGGTATTACTGCGTAGCCACCCGTTAGGCAGAAACAAAATCCACGATCTCTGGGGACAGGAGATATGGCAAGTCGTGGAGATGCCTAAAGCAGCAGGTGGCCCCTTTAAGATAAGACCCATCGATCACGCCAAACCGGATCGGTGGGCGAATATTGCTCAATTAAAGAAATATTGGAATAGGCAAGAAGAGCAGTTACACACAGAGAAACCCAAGACAATTAGGGAACCGGAAGTTATAACGGAAATTCACATACCCATTCCGGAACCATATCACCATCAACAGAACAACCGCGATACGCAAGGGGAGGATACCGGCAACAATGAGGATCCCGGTCCCTCCAGAAGCAGAGAGACAGTAGACCATCAGATAAGTGGTCCGCGGAGAAGTTTAAGGAACAGAAGGAATACGAAATTTTTTGTCAGCAACCATCAATTCTTTCATGGTCGCGCTGGTATGAAAACAGACTGTTCAAAGAGCTATAGAAGTGAACTGGTGAAGGCACCAAATGGAAAGGGTGGATGTGAATTCTAGAACTGTTTTGTGTCTCAGGAAGATGATGTAGACACAGTTGATATGTGAAATAGGTATAACTGTCAATCGTATACGAATGGAACGTCGTGGACAGTGAGTGGAACAATAAATTTTTTTTTTTACGACTGTGCGATTGACTTTGGAGGAGTGCACCTGCCAGGCGTTGTTTGTGGTTGAAAACACACAAAAAAAGCAGGGGTGGATGTAACTGGGGTAGGCCTAACTACCAGTTACAAATGATAACGAACGAGAAGCCGCGACGCAGTATGAAATCTGACGCAACCATAACAGGTGGCTTATTGGATCGGTCTGATAACAATCTCAAAGCCAACGCGTGCTATTTTGGGAAACGGTACGAGAAGTTTCAGAGGAGCTGTCAACTTTGATGGATGGGATGCAGATGTTTTAGTGAATCGGACGGTACGTCAGAAACTGCGACATTAGTATTCGGATACATCGATTACAAGTATCGATTACGGAAATGGAGACAAGTACGACTACGATTTCAAGGCATAAATAGGAGGGGACGGCAGAACTCGCTCTCTTCCCGTTTCGAGGCTCTTACCTCTTTCATCGCTCGCTTAGATCAGTCAGTCTGTGTGACTATGTCAAGTCGGTTATAGAACGGGTTAGCCGTATTGTGTTAAGGAGGATTATAGACATGTGGATTCAGTTATATGAAGCCTAGTGAAGGACTGTTAGGGGTCAGTTGATTCAGACTATTATTGAGAAGCATTCCTGTTGATTTATTGTGTTATTATGAAGCATTTCTTGATTCATGTAATAAAGGATCAATAGCGAACCTGCATCTTGAGTATCTATACTGTGGTCAATGTTGTCTAGAATGAGTGGTTAAACTCGTTAACACGTGGCACTACAGGCAATTAGGTCTCATTACATGTGGCGTTGCGAGCATGGTAACTGTTGGCTCGTTACAATTGGCGTTGTCGGCAGGATAAATGTTCGCTCGTCACATATATATATATATTTATATATATTTATATATATTTATATATATATACACACCACAATATAAGATGTAAGTTTACCTGTTTTAACGACGTGCTTATGACTCCCACTGACGCCCCGAGTCACCACATTACGGCTCCCGTCCCTCAGACAAAACCAGTGCCAGGCAGTTTGAGCAAACAGCCAGAGGGTGACCGCCTGAGCGCACCTGTAGCTGGTGCAGCTGCTGTTGGAGCACGCCCGCCCGTCCTGGACGAGGTGGTGGGAGGGGATGAGCACGAGCAGACCCTCGAGCACCAGGGTCAGTGTGTTGACCCACACGAAGGACACGGCGAAACGGGTTATGGTGGAGTCCTTGGCTTGGAAATTCCGACTGTTGTAGTGGTCCTGGAGCTTTTCTTTCAAGGATCTGTTTGGGTCCGTCTTCGCCATTTTTTAAGTTTCAATTTTTTTTAAACTTACCAAACAGGCTTTGAGGTGTTTGCAGCTACTTTCATTATATTCCCCCGTGTAGAATTAATGCTCCAGCGTGGCTGTTTCAAACACGAACAGCACCGAGTGTCTCGAGGTTAGTTGGATCGATATTTGGACCTGGGTGGAAAACTGCAGACCATTTTAAAAAGGTTGTCACGTGACCAGGAAAATTCCCCCCCCCCCTCCCTCTTTCTTCGCTCACACCCAAACACGACCATCGGTTCATTAAAAGTATGGACGTGTTGTGTGAGTGTGTGTGGGGGGGGGGAGGGGAGGGGAGAAGCTCACAGTCATAAACAAGATATTTTAATTAACTGTCAGCTGCCAATTTAAAATATTTTTTTTTAAATCTAGGATGTAAGTATCTGTTTCAAATGTAATCAAAACTAAAATTAAAATACAGATTATTAATACGAAAGAAGAAGCTAAACATAGATTATTCCATGGTTTTGATGAAATATGTAACGTGATTCTTTAGACCGCATACTCTCTGGCTATGTTTTTCAAAGAAATAATGATTATCCCACCATAGAGGACACGCAGTGTTTCTTTCAGACTTTTTTCTCCTGAGGGGTGTGGGTGGGGGGGGGTGGACTAAATTTTCCGGGGGGGGGGGGGGCAGACACTAATAAAAGCATATATTTTTATATATTTTTTCTATAAATTCCATTTTGTTCGATATTCTTTTATTAGAGTTGTGACAGTATGATTTATGTAGAGAAAACAAATATTTTAGTTATTATAATCCTCATCAATATTTATCCCAAAAAAATTTTGATTTTGAAAAAGGGGTCATCCATAAATGACGTCACGCTTTTTTGGACGATTTTTACCTCCCCCCTCCCCTCCGTCACACGTCGTCACAAAAAGCCAGACCCCCCCCCCCCTAAAATGACGTCACACCTCAACCTACAACCCCCTCAAAATTGCAGTTGAATTTTTTTTAAACATCGATATTTTTCCAAAATCTTGCCTAAACTATTACAATTTATTAAAACAGTTATCTAAAACGCGAAATAACGTCTAAAATTCGTCTTCTAACATTGCTTTTTTATAATGCAAAAATGTGACGTCGCACCATCTGAACCCCCCCCCCCCCCTCCCCCTCATCACACATCGTCACAAAATTACGGACCCCCCCCCTCCCCCTACGAGTGTGACGTCATTTATGGATGACCCCAAAGAACTGTTGTTAGCTGTTCAGTGTAACCATAACAATAATCATGTGACTTTATGTCTATTAATAGAACGCGCGGGCTTGTTGAAACCTACCTTATGTTAGCGAGCTAAATAAACTGACATATTATTAACGGCACACTAGACAGGTTTCCACTGAAATCAACAGCGCTACACATAAACACGAGAAGTTTGTCCTAGTTACAAATAATTTGCTGAAGCTTGAAAGAACAAAAAAAAAAAAAAATCACCATCCGTTCCGCTTTACCGGCTTTTACCTGGCGCGGTACTAAAAAAAAAAAATAATAGCTTAGCTAGGCTAACTTACTTCGAGTCAGGAAAAATCACAACCGACCCAGTTTTCGATGGTTCACACATACACACTGCCGGGTCTATCCTGAAAGTAAATTGAAAGTTTCAGCGTGATACACACAGCGTTATTGTCCGCGAATCAATCGATAATTACGTGAACGTGCCTCCATAATCCCGTTCTGGCGGTTCTTAAACAGTGCTGAGGATTCAAGCACGCTAAGTCGCACACGAGAAGGTCACGCAGTTCGGGGGTACTGTGACATTGTTCTGGGGGGAAGGGGGTCGTACGTAAATGACGTCACGCTTGTTCTTCTTCTTCCGATTTTATCCCACTTCCCATGAAGGTCACTCATTGTAGCAAAAACTCGGGATACCCTAACATGACGACACACTTCAAACATCCCCCACCCCCAACTAAACAGCAATCTAATTTTAAAATATTAATTAAGCATGTTCAGTATCAGCTGGTAGTTATATATATATATATATATATATATATATATATATATATATATATATATATATATATATATATATATATATATATATATATATAACCACAACATTGGTTAGCTGTTTTACCCTACAGCGAGTATCCCAGATACGGTACTGTCACCTACAAAACGGGAAACTACCCCAAGTGTTGTAATGCAGTAGTCGACTGCCTATAAAAACAGGATAAACCAATCAAGATGATTAGTTTGCTGAAAGAAAAATAAATACACTTTAACAAACTTCACGTATAAATGACTTCATGTTTATTAAAATGAATTTCTTTTAGAACAGAGCTAAACAGACAATACGGTGTTTAGTTTTGTTTTCTTTTTGCTTTTTTTTTTTTTTTTTTTTGTTCCGTATGTTAATGTTAATAGTTTAATGGGAGACAAATACTTTTGTGTAACACTGTTCAGAGATATTTTTGTTACTCTAAACAGTGAAACCAAGGGAAAGACAAATGTGGAATGAAGCGTGAATATTCTCTACCTCTTGGTTGATGATGGCGCTGGTAAAACAGTTATAAAAGTTTTGTTTTTTTTAATTTTTTTTTTTTTTTTTACTTTTCGCTTCAACATTTTCGACCACGTCGTACGAGAGACTTGTAAGTCTCGGCAAACTTAGAACTCATCGTGATGTAGATGAAGAAGTTGACGCAGGCGTTGACCTGGTACATGACAGGGACCAGGAACGAAACCAAACAGTAAAAATTCCAGGACAGCTTGCCTAGGTAATACGCCAGGTAACTGTGGAGGACGTACTCCGGTACCAACACCATGAAGCTGACGAGACAAATAACCAACAACATCTTTACGACTTTTAGCTCCTTTTTCTGTTTGGATGTTTTGTTTGACAGTTCGTGAGTCTTTATGCGATTAAGTTGAAAAATAATCAGACTTGAACAGATAAAGATTAAGATGATTGGCACTGTGGTCGTCGTGTTGTTTACAAAATAATTCACATAGTCATCAATAACTTGCTTATTGTTGAAATAAAAATCTGTTGGTATGACAACGGCAACGGTCTTACTCACAGTTGGAACAAACACCCATCTGTAAGTAAAACGGTAGTAGTAAGGCCAAACAGGAACAGACCCGAACAGGTATAAACCAAGCAACATCCATTTGACTCTGTAAGGTGTGAATATACGAGATACGTGAAAGGGAAATAACACGGCGATGGCTCTTTCAACTCCTATAGCTGTGACGTGGAAAATTGTGATGACAAAACACACAGAGTTGGGCATTCCGATAACCAACGTTATAAAAGTTTCAAGCGTTAAAGCGAAATAAGGATCAATATGTTTAATCAGACTAGGTAGGCGTACAAAAATCGACGTGAAAGAATAAAAAAGATCCAGCGAAGACAGAGACAGCAACATTATGCTGGTGGTTTCCTTCAGGTTGTGTCGTGACAAGACCAGCAGGTTTAAAATGTTGACCACAACTCCAAGGACACTCAACGGTATGCCTAAAGCAACGTTGAGACATATTTCCAGAATCCACATGTGGTAGTTGTCGATGGGCAATGAATCGTTGATCTCCATGATGGAGAAACTTCAATACAGTTCACAATAAACCACTCAATTCTACCTGAAAAAAACATTTATATATATATATATATATATATATATATATATATATATATATATATATATATATATATATATATATATATATATATATATATATATATATATATATATATATAACTTTTTATCGACTAAGATTAATCTATTCGTAGATTATGCAGCACTTTCCTCCATATTACCCCAATCGTCCCCTCCCCTACCCAGACACGTTCATACCCTTGGCATAAAGCCGAGATGTAGTAAATATATAGCTCTATTATCAATTACGTGGTCGCGGCCAGGATAATTTTATGTCGTCTCATTTTTTTCCCGAAACACTGAAGCATTCCAGTTGACAAATTTATAACCGCTTCAGAATTGTGTACAATAACAATTAGCAATTCAAGATTAGTGAGGTTTGAGAAATAATACCGACGACGATATTGAATACTTAAAATGTTGAATTAAGTTGCAAGTACCCATATACCTTCCTACCGATTTTACATTAAATACAATTTCCAGGTTAATATCTGTTGCCGTTGATGCCTCAGGGTTAATTTTATTTTTTTACGATAAAAATTTATTGATAAATTGCGACAATTTAAAACAATAACTTGTCAGCTGCAAGATATCATGGATATCTTTGTGTGGAAGAAAATGTGTCGTTTTTGTTTATCCCTTTTTGTCGAGGTGTAGTTAGAAAGTGAAATAATAATCTATGTGTTTTAGACCAAGAATTTAAAAAGTTAATGCTTCAACATCGGGGCTACATAAAGTTTCAACAGCTTTATTGCAGAAAGTAATGGGTTGTTTGTTTATTTGTTTGTTTTTGTAAAATTTAATTTAAAGAAAACATTTTTAAAATGTAGTGTCCATACTCGGTGTTTTTATTTTAGTTTTTAGTCACAATTATCTCAAGAAATTATTTTTCTTTGTTTTCAGTGGTTTTTTAAATTTAGGTTTTAGTCACATTTATCTATAGAATTTTTTAAAACCTAATGTCGTACTCATTGTTGTTGTGTTGTTGTTTTTTTTCGTCACATTTTTCTAAAGAAATTCTTTTAAAACTTCAGGTCACCACTTCTAATTGACAGGGCTTTTTAGTTTAAACTACTTGCGTATATAAACGTTATATTGCATTGGGTAAACAATTCTAGCAACTAATTATTTTATAGACATTCGAGATATATTTCCGTTGTAGAGTGAATTATTGTTTTAAAAGTGTGTTTTTCATAATTTCCCGAAAGATTCGTAAGTAGCAGATGAAGTACTCAGTGCTCTTTACACACATTTGATATCCTAGCAGATGTTTTGTTATCCATACAACATATTTTACCTCATAGCAGGTATTTCTTGACAACTCATGTTATATCAAAAATAATAATTTTTTTATCCCTGCAACATGTTTTAAATAAGACAAGATATTCTTTAACAGAAAAATTTGTTTTTTACTATTTTATTCAGTTATTTTGAATTCTAAATGTAATTTATAGAAATACACTTAATTTAGTAGTTTCTAGCAACTCATTTCTTTTTTTCTTTTTTTTTCTTTTTTTTGGGGGGGGGGGGGGGGATTTACTCTGATAAACGTAGCATTGAGGAGTCCAAAATAAAAAAAAGTTCGATTTTGGGTTTTTAATCATTAATATTTTCTTTGATAAGATCAATATTTTAGGTCATAATTTTAGGTTATAATTAGTATGTTATACACCCTTGCTTGAAACGTAATTTTAGTTTTAATTTTTTCCTCTTTAACAGACTGTAATAGATCGTTATTTGTAATTGACATAATACCTTGATTAAAACAAAACAAAATGTTGAATGGATTAGGCCTATATATTTAAAACAATAAATAATTTAAAGTAGAGATACAATAGCATTATCAGGTAATACGTTAACTTTAAAATAGAATATTCTTTGAAAGAGCTAACTCTTAAAAACAGAATAATCATTAAAATAGTTAAACCAAGGTAAAATCACGATATAGCGTCGGAAATTATTGGGTAATGTTCGTTGAGTTTCGGTAACATTCATTACTGTAAACCATAGTTTATTTGACCGTTGAAAGAAAAATAAAGTCAAGTGCATTAAATGAATGTTTTAACTTAATTTAATGTTTAACTGACAAAAAATTAGCAACAATTAGTAAATCTAAATATTATTAATAAAGTCGAGTGTAGTAATTAATGTTTTTTTAAGAAACACAGAAAAAACCTGCAGAAGATTTGCGACAACCAGCTCTAGATCTAGTTCTGTTAGTAAAATAAGACGATTAGATTTACTAAAGTTAAAAAAAAAGTAGTAAGAAGAACTAGAATAATGTTTAGTAGCAGCAATAATTAGCACATACACTTAAAATTATTAGAAATATAAAATAAATAGCAAAACAGTATTTAAAATACAACCAAAATCAATCCTTGCACATTTTTAAACATTGTGTATTAAAAATAATATGGCGGCAAGTAAATGATGGTTTACAGTATTTCCGGTGGTTTCCGGAACGGCTCGACTGACTACGCCATGGTTTTACTGTTTTTTACTGCTATACAGTTCCGGAATAATAACCGACGCTATATCGTGATTTTACCTAAACCAATATTATAGGAACGATAAATCGTGACCTTTTTCCGTATTTTTGAAGATATAATGATTCAATTTGCCCAGACATTCTTTTATTATTTCGATTGTTAAACCCAAGTTTATTAGCTAAATTCTCACACTGTTTCAACGTGAATATTTTTGTTTCACTACCAACACTAAAATGGGTTAATATATAAATATTTTTTAAATCAGTGCCCGTAATTAATACGCAACACTTTTAACACTACAAAAAAAAATGTTCCATAAAATTACTTTGAACTCGAGTGTAACGTTTTTGTCCTGCACACCGGGAAACTTTTACTCTTTTCGGTTTTTTGTTGACGTTAGAGCAGAGGCTTACGAACTATTCGATCTGTGTGTTCAGATACCACTTTATGTTCTTGGAATTCTGGGGAATATTTTCAACATCGCAATATTATTTCAACAAAAGTTGAAAAATTCATCATACGTCATCCTGACGTCACTGTCTGTCTGCAACTTATTTTATTACGTCACAACCCTCGCCATGAGGATGGTGAACGTCCTGACGTCTGCCACTGACCACGAGTTCACGTACGGGTTGTACCTGGTGTCCAACGACGTGGGTGTTGTAATCAACGTGTGTCATCTATCAACACTAGCCATCCTGCAGGCTACCACTGTTTTATACCCTGCTACTAGACACTTGCTAAACCCTAACACGACTAAACTAATAGTGGTAACTCTAAACATTTGTATTATTCTAAATCTCTCTTGCAACTTGCATCGCCAATCTTATACATGGTCTTTTCTTTCAGAAACCAGACATTTTGAACTAGATCTAGTGCCTAACATCAACTTAAATTATAACAATGAAAATTATGTTTTACAACACCTAACATATCTCTTCATAAGTCTCGTGATATTGACACCTACCATGATATTGATTGTAACTTTATTTAAAATTAAAATATTACTAAGAAGGAAATCTAGAAAGCTGCCAGATTTAAAGCGTAACAAGAAAGTAAAAGTTTTCAAGGCTCTCCTTATTGTTTGTTCGCATAGTTTTATTTATTTATTAATTTCAATATTTACACTACACACTGGATGATGTATTATGTAAAAGCGTTTCTAGCGATTGACTATTTACTATTTAGTACTAGTATTACTTCAGATAATTTTCCGTAGTTATATATTTTCTTTGCCTTTTTGAGATGCTTGTTTTTTTTGTTTTTTTACATTATATCCATTATTGTCAAACTATGTTTGCGTGCGTGATTGTTCATGTAACTAAAATCAGATTACTTTATGGGGTAAAACCAAATCAAGTAAAAATTGTATCGAAGGCATGTACAAATAATATCAGGTGGTACCAAAAAAATAAACGTTAAAGAAACGACCAATTTCAGATCCATGTTGGTTTATTTTGCTTCGTTCTGTTTTAATTTTATACGAACTTCTAATGTTTAAGATAATCCACCTCCATATTCCTGAATCTCTTTTATCAATTTAAAACTGTAGGCTCTAAAGTTGTTTTTTTTATTACTTTTTTTACGGAGTATACAGAAAGTATTGTAATCGTGCAAAAAAAATCGATATCGAGATTTTGACGAATCTCGACGGTTTACACTACACCCCTCTGAGTCGGAAAAACGTGTTTGCAAATTGGTACGTCTGTCTGTCTATAAACACAATAACTTGAGTAACGTTTTAGTTATGTTGAAAGTTCATATGTAAGTATTGTATTAAATTTGTAGTTTTGTGTCAACTTTTAAGAGATTTTCGGTAACCAGAAGTGGTACTTACTACCTTTTTGTTTCTCAAAAGCAAATAACTTAAGGACCATTAAGTTAGGTGGACGTGATTTCAAATTTTGAAATATCTTTGATGTCTTTGATAGAAGTTGTACTTTAGTTTATTTCAGTGTAAACATAATAATTTGAGTACTGTTTTAGATAGATTGACGAAATAATTTCATATATAAGTATATGATATTATACCTAGATTACTTTTAATTTTAAATTGACATCAGATAACCAGATGTGGTACTTTACTGTAATTCTTGTTTCAAAAATACTAGTAAATTGAGTACCGTTTTAGTTAGGTTGACAAATTTATACACCTATGTATAATCTATTTTTCTCTTAATTTTTATTTTATTTTGAGTGATTTCCGGTGAGCGGAAGTAGTGATGTACGCTATTTTCCATTTCTCAAGAAAGATCACTTCTACCAGCGTGATTTGTTTCAAACCTTTCAAGATTCAATGATAATGCACTGTGGCATAAAATGTGACTTCATTAAATGTTTAATTAACTTATTTTAAAAATGTATTAAAGTTTCTTTATAAAGTAGTATTTTTCCGCTCTATTATGCACACGTTGGATATGTTCATCTGGTGCAAAATTACTTTTTCTACTCGATTCTATTATATTTTAATACTTTAAGTATTAAAAAAATTAATAAAACAAATCCCAAAAGCCTGATTGTACTGGGAGTGCATACTTTACTGTTAAATTGGAATATTCGAGAAAGTTTAGGAGATAAAGTTCCGGCTTTATTATGTACAAAACCATTAGTCATTTAGCCTTAAGGACTGAAAGGTTTTATAACATTACCTAGTAGCCTATAATACTCCACTTTCTAAATATTTTTTTAATTTAAGTTCACCATTATACACGAATGGTTTGTAGCTTCTTTAGAGTTTTTATTTTACGAATTTAGTTTTCAACTACCAATGATTTTGATTTAACTTTAACAATGATTATTCGCTATTTCGCTGTGCTGATCAATCATAATTTAATTTGTTTTCTCTATTTTTCTTAATTGCGCAAAAGTATATTAACATTTTTTATTTTCTTGTTTAATAGGTCTACGATAAAAACAATACACTTGCATGTTTTACTCAATTTTAAGACAAGCTTTTTGATCGCCGGGTTTAGCTGTTCGATAAGTTTTGTAAATCATGAATCAATATTCTGCTAGCGTTCTATAAGTTATGGGACGCGTATTTTAAAAAAAAAAATTGCTAAAAATGTATTAATACATTTTTTAAAACACAAATTATGTTTTATTTGGAATTTGAAATTTCGACTATTGTATTTGTGTGTTTTGTAAAAAAAATTAATTTAGAAAGAAGATATAGCGCCGGCTTTGCTAGACTTGTCAAAATCTCGGAAAAAAAAAGAAATAACGCGCACACAAAAATGATTATTTTCTTAAATATTAACATTGTAAATGCAAAATTCATTTGAAAATTGTAGCAGTACCATATTTCTATCTAATAAAAAAAATTAATAGTAACATTTTTTCTACATCATTATATCAATTGTACAACAAACGTCCAATTTATTCAATTTATGTTTTGAAATGCCTCTAAATATTCTTGTAATTCTGGGGACCATTTTCAACATCGCCATAATAGCACGTCACAGACGAAGTGTTACATCAGACGTCATCCTGACGTCACTGTCGGTCTGCAACTTGTTTTATTACGTCACAACCCTGGCCATGAGGATGGTGAACGTCCTGACGTCTGCCACTGACCACGAGTTCCCGTACGGGTTGTACCTGGTGACCAACGACGTTGGTGTTGTAATCAACGTGTGTGGGGGGGGGGGGGGGGGTTCTATTGTATTTAATGGGGTGGAGAGGAAGAGGGACTTATTTTTTTGAATACCTGGTAGAAATGGTGGGTGGGGTGGGAAATCGTCAGGGAAGGGGGGTGCAGAGCGTGAAATGGCATAAAACGTAGTTAATGTGACTTGTTGCCGTCAACTAATTGCTATTTGCAACAATAGGTCAACACAATTATCACGCTCATTACATAACCAAAACAGAAAGCCGACACGACACAAAGGCAGTCGTTGACGCAAAACGTCAACAATACACAATATGGAGGGATAAGGTTAAATCAGGAGAAGCCGAAAAAGGAACCACAAAAAAAAATGCAAAACATGCTGTGACTAAACTTTATTTTATAATTAACATTTCTAGATCGTATTTAACTTTTTTTTCCATAAGTTGAGGTTGATGTGTAAATTACGTAATAGTATTTTACTTGTTAGTGTTATAGATCATAATGATACTTGTAACCAAAAAAATGAAGAAAAATAAAGACACCCATTAACAAATTAAAAAAATTTACGATTCTCAACAATTACAATTAAAATCAAAATACTTGTTACAAGACATTTTGTGCATTTTTTGTGACTTTATTTCTGTGACTTTTTTATCCAATTTTTTTTTCCTATGTGACTTTTTTCTGTGACATTTTTTCCTACCAAAAACTGTGACTTTTTTTCTGAATTTTTTTTTTCCTGTGACTTTTTTCAGGACTGATGTATGTATTTTCAAACTATTTGGGCTCAGCGAGACTTAAATTTCGGCAAAATCAACAAAGTATTTTAAATAAAGTCGTCCATATATTTTTAATATGGATTGAAAATAGCAACTCATCTATGCGATCATTGATGTATGTATTTTCAAACAATTTGGGCTCAGCGGGTCACTATACCATCTCTTCACCCCCATGCCCTAGTTGACCTTTTTGTTACTGACCAGGAAGATAAGAACTTTGGCATAGTACGAGTTGTGGGGTAGAATGTAAATTCTAGCAATACATTGACCAATGCTCTGAACCTATGTAAAATACTTTGATGTAGATTGGCACATTGACGTAGGGGGAGGGGTTGAGGGTGGTATGGGGTGGGCTGGTCAGGTGATTAACGCGCAATAAAGTGAATAATAATAATAATAACGCGTTAAGTGAAGATATTTACACTAGCCCAAATGGTCATCCATTTTTTTCGGACGCGTGTGTTCTGAAGGAGTGGGGTGGGGATGGTGGTCGGGTCATTGTTGTCATCCACATGTTGAAATTCTGCGCAATAACCTGATTCTTTAACAAATAATAAATAATGTAGCAACGACTAAAATGTGTCACCTGTCTGTGAATGTGTGTGTATGAAGGCGGGGAGAGTGGGTGGAATACAGGGTTGGCTATTTCATTTTGTGAGGGGGTGTTGGTGGGTTGGCGTAACTTATTATTTCCTATGAAGCCAGTATGCTTTCCAAAATAAATAAAAATTCCTTTAGATTATATTATTCTCGTAGCATAACAAACTGCTTGATGGAAGAAAATTACATTTCGCAGATTGTGACATGAATTAGGATATGGCTAGAATGGAGAGGGGGTGGGCTGGAGAGCGAGAATCAAGTCGAATCAAACACAATTCAAACCACTTTTAATTGATAGTATAACGAATCATAAATTTACATAATTGAAGGGTTAATAGTATAAAAACGAAACGCATTTATCATTTTGTTTAAATGACATTTCTATAAGCTTTCAGTGTGTGTGAGTGTGCACTTAGCAATTCATGGAGTGTATGCGCGTACATTTTTTACCGATTAGTGATTTCAGAGCGTAATACACGAAAGTAGTAAATCTGGCGGCTTTAGTCTTTTAACACAATGCGACATATTTTTATATGAGTTAATGCAATCATAATAGTCTGTAGGAAGATGTTTATATTAATCGTGATTGATTTTAATTAAGTTATATACATATATATATATATATATATATATATATATATATATATATATATATATATATATATATATATATATATATATATATATATATATATATATATATATATATATATATATATATATATATAAGGCTAAAACAGCAAAATGTCTGTTTTTGGACGCTTTTTAAAATGCAAGTTTTACACTGTCTTAACCCCCTTCTCACACAATTAACGGTGTGACGCCATTTATGGGCGGCAACTTAGGGCCAGAGTTTCTTCCTGGCATCTCTTCTGGAGGGGGGGGGGGGCGAACGAGATGGATTTTATATAGTAAACATACACTTTTACTAGTCCCCCCCCCCCCCCCGAATTTTTCAAAAGAAAAAAGTCTGGAAGAAACACTGCTTAGGGCCTTCTATTCTATTTTATTTTATAAATATTTTCTTGTTGCTGTTGTTAGCCTTGAAAAACCAGTTTAATATAGTACAGCCTGATCGATATTTAAAACAACAAAATTGGTGTGTTTAAAATTTTTAAAAATTGGCTGTGAAGTAAAAGCTTGCTGTAGAAACGTTCGGTTGTTCATACTGTCGTTATATGCCAGGCTTAAAAACAATTATTATGGCTTGAGGCTCCAGTGCTCCACCCCCCCCCCCCCCCCTCACCAGAGGCGTATCCAGGTTTTCGTTGTAGGGGGAGCGAAAAGATCGAAAAAGGCGCCGAATTTTTAACACGTTCTATATACGTGTATTATATATATACATATATATATATATATATATATATATATATATATATATATATATATATATATATATATATATATATATATATATATATATATATATATATATATATATATATATATATATATATATATATATATATATATATATATATATATATATATATATACTAGCTGTATGTCATTACTTCGCTATGAAGTAAAATAAATTGAAAGTAGCACTCTGAAGAAATAAGAAAAAAACACACAATGTAGGCCGACAAAACAAAAATTGTATCAATCTAAACAAATATATATATATATATATACACACTACAACAAAAACAATGAACGTAACACAATCTGTTTTGTAATTCTTGTAAAAAAAATTTCTTACATAATAATTCCTGGGAAATTATTTAAGACAAGTGAAATAGGGGAAATAATCACTCTCTTAATATAAAAATGTATATATCTACATATTTAATTATAAATGTCAAAACAAATAAATTATTACTTTAGAATATAATGAAATTGTTTAAGACTATTCGTGTTTACAAAATGTTTTTTTCTATAATCAGAATTTAATATATCGTCATCATAAATGCTAAAGTATTACAGCATAATGAAAGTTTTTTAAATCAGAGTTGGTATAAAAGACGCTTTTCGATATATCAGTATTAGTAAAGCATTCGGAATAACAGCCTACATTTAACTAAATATCGGTGTTTTAGTTCAGATCATATATTTTAATTAACTACTGCTTCTTTGTGTTCTAATGGGTTAGATCACTCCATTGATCACACACCTTTTTACTGGTAATTGCAAAAGCAATATTCCCAGAGTTTTACGTTTAAAAAGCTAATTTTCTGGCGGCAATGTACTTTGGTACATCATTACGCGTTTTTCTACATGTACTTAACAGATCAGTTCGGGGTGGGTTGGGGGGGGGGGTTCAAATTCATTCACCACTGTCCGTTCACTTTAGGTCAATTATCCAACCCAGTGTATACCTAGGTGTGACATTAATGTCGCTCTACACTATTGTGGTGGTGAGGAGTGTAAGGGGGGGGGGGGGGAGATAACCAACTCAGAGTGAACATAGCGTCAGTTTTTAGATGACTGTTCTAAACATACATATATATTACACAAATATATATTACACAAATATATATTACAAAAATTGATTTAAATAAGTAGCAGTGGTATTATGACAATATTTTTTTTACAGAGTGGTCTATGGGGGAGGGGGGTTGTAACTGTTTCATATAATATGTAATCGTAATCACTATCGCCCAAACTGTAAGAATACTACTACTTCATCGTGATGACGTTTTCGACCTTGTCAAAATTTCCCCAACACTACGCAGTTTGCCAATAAGTAAATTTAAATAGAGGTGCCACATCAGTTGTATTGGTTTCTGTATTGTAATTTCTTAAAGATTAATCACACGATTCAAACTGTATATATAAAGTAATTATGTGTGAAGTTGTATGTATAACTTTTTCTAATTCAATTATTCGTAAGCAAATACATTATACAGTTGCCTTAAACTTAACACCCCTCTTGCCAAGTGGTACTACCGTAGAGGTTTTTTAAACATTTCAATGCATCGTAATGGTTATTTTTAGAATGGCAAACTGATGCAGCTGTTAATACGTGTTGTAAACGTAGACACTCCTAGACTAGTACAATAATGCTTAATTGCTGCATGAGAAGAAATCTTGTGATTTACATAGTTGTGCCGACCAAAAATATTTTTTAACAAATATCATTGTTTAAAACGTTTTAAAAAAACCAGTTTAAAAAGTTTCCAAAAAGGCGCCACTTTGCTGAAAATGGCCAGAGGGGGAGCGGCCGCTCCCCCTGCTCCCCCCCTGCGTACGCTACTGCCCCTCACCCATTTAAACCGGCCCTGTGCAAACGTGTCCTTGAACCCGAACATGTGGTCTCACCTGAACCAGGTCCTATGGGTCCCCTTTGAACCCGGTCCTGTGGGTCCCCAATGAACCCAGTTCTATGTTCCCCATTGAAGCTGGTATTATGCGTCCGTTGATGCTTCCATTTGAATCCTGTATTACAAAAAACTATTCAAATATTCACTTTCCTCACAATTTATTTAGATTTCTAAGTGTTAGGTGCTCAAATAAACATATGTTCAAAAACATTTTTTTAAAGTTTATGCTAGATCAATCATTAGATATCCTATATAGATCTAGATCTAGATCTGTGTAACTAGAATCTATATTATTTATTATTTTATTAGCATAATCAATTTGTATTTTGAAATTTGAAATTTTGTTTGATGCCATTAAATCATAAGTGACATTTAATGAATAACAAAACAAATATAATATAAAATACAAACACGAACAAATGAGTTCAACAATATGTGTGCATATATTTTTAAAAACATGTTTTTGGAGTAAGGGAAAATAGTCGTTCATTTTTTTAAAGTGCAAAGTATAGAATAAGAAATACTCCCGTGTTATTGTTTACTGAATCTAGGCAACCTGCAAAGAGAGTGGTTTCCCTGTCCGTTCATGCTTTCGTTTTTGAAGCAAAATTAGAGACATAGGCATCTAGATTATTCTAGATCTAGTATCTAGATCTATATCTAGTATACTTAAACTACCATAGTGAAGTTGATAAGTAGTTTAGTTTTAACTGCATATTATTAATTAGTGATTACATTTATTTATTTATATTTATATCATAATACATTAGGCCTATTAAAATACAAATTTGAAATACATTTACCGGCACTAAAAACAAAGGCAACAAATAAATAAATAATATTAAATTAATAAGTATAGTTAAGTATAGTATAGGCCTATAAAAAATAAATATTTAATATACTTTAATAAAAAATTAATATAGTCAAAATATCAAAATAGCCTAAAATAAATAAAATAAGCATGGAAGAGAGACGTCGACATATCACTCTGAAAGAAAAGCTTACAGAACATTATCAAAAACGTGATTTTAAGCCAAAGAAATCATCAGCATCCACATATGGAATGTTGTTTTACTGGGGAGTGACTGTCAGTTTACTATTAGAAGGCGTGTTAATCTTAATTCCAAACTATTTTAAGACAAATAGTTCTGAAAATTCGAACATGATTAACTATTTTTGTGCACAGCTTGTTGCTATAGTGCTGGCTATAGAATCTATTTCAAACTGGATTTTATCTCACTTTTCCTCTCTTCATTATGTGAAAAGGGAAACAAAGGACAAGTACTATTCCAACGCGACGGAAACTCCTCCAGGTTGGATTTATTTTGAATATTTTAATACACAATTAATTTCTGATGCAATTATCATCTTTTCCAATAGGTTTGATTAAAAATGGCAGTTGTTTTTCAGTTTGCTGCATCCCAATAATTAACAAACTAACACAGTTTGTGATCATTAAAGTAAATTCCTCTTTAGATCATGCAATCCATTTGGCAGGTGAGAAATGGAATTGGAGTTCATATGTTTCTTTATCTCAACTAATGAAGAGGTGGTGTGGTCAGCACTATGCTGAGATGCTCAGCTGCCTTTACTTTCCCCAATGTGGGTCAGGTACCCATCAGAGCTGGTTGGACTCAGGGACGTCATACAATCACAAGTCTGAACAGAGATCCGAACTTGAGATCTTCAGGCTAGCAGCCAAACACTCCACCATTTGGCCATGCTGTCACACGGGAGTTAATTAGGCCTATCTTAAAGCTACCCTATAATAATCTGAACACACATTTTTTCTACAAAAACTAATACCAAGTAACCAAGTAGCTAGGTAATAAAAATTGAATGTTTTTTAATAACCTTTAACCATCTCTTATGGATTTTCCTCCACTCAAACTTGTTTGCTTCTACCGTGCCTTGACTCTAAGCTGCAGTAGGCCTGATTCCACATTAATATTATCTATCCATCTGAGCCTAGAACTGCCTCTTCATTCATCTTGGAATTTTGCAAGATTTACCGTAAACATTATAATTCTTATTGAATTAAGGTATGGTCCATAAATAGTCCATAAATAGTCACACTTTTAAGCAGATTCCCCCTCCCCCCACTTCTCTTTTGCTGTGTTTGTCCAGAGGCGTAGCGAAGGGGGGGCAGGGGGGTACATATGTCCCCGGGCGCCGACCTTAGGGGGCGCCAAAATGGGTTGGAAAAACAAATTAACATCTCATTTTAGGTGCAGTTTTGCATTATAAATATAAAAAAATATATGGGGGGAGGGGTGCAAATGAAAAGTTTGAGGGGGTGCAAATGGAAAGTTTGAGGGAGGGTGCTAATTGAAAATTGAAGGTTTGTTCCCGAGGCGGGCGCCTAATTGAAAGTTTGTCCCCGGGCGCCGGGAAGGGTCGCTGTGTTTGTCAATTGATATCACAAGATTCCATTCACCTTGACCCCCTAAAAAGCCATAAATATAACTAAAACCAATTTGTAAAAATAATTTTCAACCTCTTTAAAAAAAAAAGGCAAAATAAATGCTGTCACATTTTCTTACACCCCCCCCCCCCCCACAGGAAGTGTGATTTCATTTATGAAAACAACCTACTAGTCTTCCACACTGAATAAACTCATTAACACTTATTTGTATTTATATGAATGTTTTTCAGGATGGAAGCCGTGTATTATTTGTATGCTTGACGCCCCACCAAGATCACATCATTGCACACTTTGTAACCACTGCATCCTCAAGAGAGACCACCATTGTTTTTTTACTGGGAGTTGTGTGGGTTATCACAACCAGCGCTACTTTGTTGTATTCTGTTTCTACAACTGCCTTGCTCTTGCTTATGGAAGCTGTTTGCAATTGATTCTTCTCAATGAGGTTATAGTATTTACAATTATATAAGTATTTCATGCAATAATGATAACAAAAATTGCCTTCATTTAAGTCAATACGCCTTAACAGGCTTAATGAGGTAAAACCATAAACAATCATCATAATATTCACATTATGAATAACTGTATTGTTTTGCTTAAATAAATGTTCAATGTTTTCAAAAGCATTTAGTATTTGTTAAAAATAAGTATTCAGATGTAGGTAATATTATATACTAAAGTTATATGACCTATTTCACCCACAGGAAATTCCTATTTTAAGTGAGGCAGCCATCTTTTATTTGCCACCAGTGGCTTTATGGCAGCTTTTCACTGGAACTACAACAGTCATGCACGTAGCCATCCTTTTTCATATGATCATCGCCATATTCTGTTTCGTAGTCTCATTCCTTTTCCTGGCATGGCAGCTGCTAATCATCTGCCAGGGTCAGACTTCATACGAAGCATGGAAACAGATTTCTGTGTACCAGAAAACGTCCCTGCTGGACAACGTGTACTCCTCGCTAGGGAGTCCTTCACAGTTTTTACTTTGTCTTTTAATACCAGGACATAGATGGATGCCAGAGGATGGGATTCAATGGACTACAGAAACTAAAGCAGGGAAAAAGCATTCATTTTAGTTAGAATCTATCATCTCCTACTGCCTTGTACTTTATGCTCGGTGTTGAATAACTAAATTTATTTGCTCAAAGAGTGATCATATATAATTAATGTAGTAGACTGGAGAATAGATTGATTTCACAAAAAAGGCTTCAAAGGATTAAAAATTATCTTATAAGTACCTGAATCTTTATTTTCATCAAACATGATCCAACAAAATGCATAATAGGGAAAATATTGATTTGATAAGACAAATAGTAGTTAAATGTTGACAATATCCATAACAGTTAGATTTAGATTTTGCAGCAGAAAATTAAAGAAGTTTTCTTACAATGACCATATTTAGTTAACTGTAACTGGCTTAACTGTTGGCAAATAAATGTTTTAAGCTATTAATGTGTTTTTATTTTTTTTATATCTAATACAATGGGAGTCTCTACTAGTTATAATCTGACATTATAAATAGAAATACTTTTTAAGATTTACAAAAAACTTTTCTTTCTAAATTATAAATAAGTAATTTTTGCAGAGTACATTTTACATATTGTTTTTTTTTAATTTGTTGCACTTATATTAAAGAATAACATCCAACTTTAAATGTCACATTGTATTTCATCTTTGTAAATGCATTCTTTTGATTTTACACATATATCACTAATATATTTTATTCTATGCAAAGCACTTATGTAAAACAAGAAATAAAATTGTAAAAGAGAAAACTGCGTTATTGTCATTAGTTTTGACACAGTTCATTAAGACTTCAAGTCTTATTTAATCAAAGCCTGCACTTTTTGAAAAAAAAACATTTTCAACAATTTAGCAACATAATAAAAATGGATTCAGCAAATCAAACAACTATTCCATTTTCCGGAGAATGTTTTTTATACAATAAAATACCTAATTCTATTTTCGTATACACAGAAAGCAGATCTTACTATAAGAGGTTGGTAACTGTGACAAAATATAACTACATTCCCATACTGCTAATTATTTGTTCAGGCAATCACATTTGGCACAACTTTAAATCAAAATATTTTATTAGTTTTAACTACTAAAAAACTAAGAAAAAATTAACATAACAATTTGATTTTTAAAAATTAAATGTAAAAATTAGGTGCTTTTTTTTTGGTATGGGTGTTATGGGACTAGAACCCACTGTGAACAAGATTTTGACTTGACTTCAGTTGATGGAGACTGGATTTTTCACAAAATATAAGATCTGACGACACCATTCAAAGAAGAAAAAAGTTCCACTGTTAACAAAGTTTCTAATGGACCTTGACTTCCATGGAACCCATAAACATGAGCAGTAAATGATGCCAACACAAAACCATCCACACCAAATTTATGTAGATCTTAAGTCTTCAAAAAACAACAGCCATTGTTATTTTTTGGTAACCATCAGGACTGAAGATGGTACTAAACCTGGGGAAATATAATTTTAGTCACATAGAGATTATTACTATATAATGAACACAGAAGAAATAACCAATTTAAACTAAAAAATTACACATTAAGTAAAGCATTTTTAATGCAAGGTCGACAGTTTATCTCTATCAAATTTTAGAAGTCTTTAACTAATGCCACAAAGAGGAAGAACAAAATGTAAAAAAAAAAATCTTCTATCATTTAGACTAACCTAGAAAATCTAAAGGCATATCCATATCAGCAGAACTAAAAACTTTTCTTGGAAAAGAGGTCATTAGGCTAAAAGGTCCTTGAGCATCTGTTCTGTTCATTTCAACATACAACCGTACTGCACTGAGGGGCTCTTTAGCACCAAATGTCTGTGTTAGGGCTTGGCCATTTGTAAGGCGAATCTTTAGTTGAGAAAGGATTGGGTTTTTAATTTCACTTGTATGTAGTATGTAGACTTTACTGCACACTAAAAACTTACTTATGGGACTGTTAACCTGAAAGTCTTGAGTTTGAATAATTCATTCTTATCTGTGGAACATTCTTGAGCCCATCCAACTCTGATGGGTACCTGACTCACATTAGGGAAAAGTAAAAACACTTTGGGCATAGTGCTGACCACACTATCCCTTCATATGCAGAGATCACTGAAACATTTGAACTATACTTCACCTGCCACATGAACCGTTAGCTTCCAAAGGCTAATTTAGTTACTTTAAACACTTAAAAAGAACTACACATTTTCAGTTTAATGACTTTACTAATTTTTCTTTTACTTTATGACTAGTACTCTTATAAAGCTACTATCCATTGATTAATTTCTTATAAAAGCTTAACTAAAATCATAAAATTTACAAAAAACTGTATTTAGGAACAAATAATTTTAGATTAGACTTTCAAGCAAGTTATTTAGAGAGCAGGGATCTTCTTTGTTTTTATTTACAACAAATCCCGCATTAATTTATTCCAATATCACAAGTGACAAAACTTAAGCATTTTTACAACTGTACACTTTGCTATACCAATTTTTATATTACAACAATAAACACGAAACAAGCTCAGCAGAAATAGTTATTCAATAGATAATCTCTAGAAAAAAATACTGCACCTGTAATTTACATTCAGAATATTCTTTCGGTGGCTGAACAGGTGTAGGTGTATTGGATGGTGAGGGTGAAGATATTGCTGCAGGTTTCACCGGAGTTTCTTCTTTCTCTTTAGCCAGCTACAGAAGTAGAAACAATAATCTTAAGTGCCTTAAAAATCAAGGGTAGGCCTACTAACTATGATACCAAAGTATTTTTTAATTTCTCGTACCTTAGCTGCTCGATCTTGTTTATCCTTTTCAATCTGATCCTTAACTCTTTGCCTAAAACAAGCCAGTAAAATATTAAAATTAGTTTTGTAGTGCTAAATTGATTATCCTAAATTGGAGAGGTTAAATAAAAATGTGTGCGTAATGTTAATAAATAGAAAAAAATAACCTTGCAAGCTTCTCTTCATTTTTCTCTCTTCGTCTCTCTTCAGCAATCTTCTTCATTTCAGCTTCTTCCAGCCTGGTAAAATGTTTTGGTTACATTTTAAATTAAACACATCTTTTACAATCATCATAGATAAATTATTTAAAAAGCATACTTGATTTTTAGTTTATTTAAGAAAAACTAGTTTGACTCATGTCTTAGTATATTACAATTGTGCTGTAATGAAAAGTCTATACATACAGAGCACTAATATAATAAAACGCATACCCAGAACTACTTATGAATTTTACATGTTTTATATTTGAAGTAACCTAATATGCAAAAGACTTACTTTTGCTTTGCTAATGAGAGATCCCGACCTTGGTTACGTCTCATTTTTTCTCTCTGTATTTGTTCTTTTTTGTCCTGTTCCTCTTTCTCAAGACGCTTCTGTTTCAGCCTTTCCTGCAACCTGAGTTTATTAAAAATTGTTAGATATCTTCTGATATTCAAGAAAATTTAGATTGTTATTGTGTTAAAAAATCAATTCTGGACACTAAATTTAAATAAAACAAGTTAATCATAAAAATATCAATTTTTTAAAAATCTAAACATTATTCAAAAAACCCATGTAAAAATACAACTTAATTTCTAGCAGTTCAAAAATAAAACCATTAAAAAAAGCCAAATAATTACTTGGCCATTTGTTCCCTCTTCTCTTCATCTGTTAGTGGTTTAACCTCATCTGTACTCTCAGAGAAACTTGAGTGCTGAGTTCGGGCAGCATGAGCTTGCATTTCTATCTCACTTTTTAGCAGTTTCCCACACCTAGAATTATATTTTAAAAAGTGTTACACAAACTGGCCCATGAATTAAAAATCATTACTAAACAAAAACATCACAGCAATGAAACATTTTCTCAATTTCTCATCAACAGACTTACTCATCACATTTCAAGGATTTGGGTTGCTCTGCTTGATCTGTACCTTCAGTTTCCCCAGGACTGGTTTCACTTGTCTCAGCTGCTGCTTCTTCAGCTGAGACAGTTACATTCAATATAACAAGCCAGCAGAAACAATAAAAATTTAATTTAAAATGTTCCAGAATCAACTAAATCTAATAAGCAGAATAGACTGTTAAATTAAGGTTCAAACTTCTGTTTGACTGAATCAACATTTTAAAGAAAATATTGATGCAGAAATTTTTATTTATGACTGATATGGAAATGACAAAATTCAGAAGATTTAATTTAATCCTTTAATTTCTTTCAAACAAAATTTAATGTAATCTAGGGACAAATAGAAGTTCATAAATTAGGCATAACACCTTTTCCAAGAATATTATCTTTTGGTGCCTCCACTGGTTCATCTATATCAGGGTCATCTGAATGTGCAAACAGCCTATATTGTGAGAAATGTTTAATAATTTAAAGTGTACATTTTTTTCATGTTGATAAAATTTGAAGAGTAGGCTAAAGTTAATGAATAGATAACTTTTAAATTGGATGTTGGGACTATTTTCAAACAAAAATTTTAAAATACATCTTTTGTAAGAATATTAAAATAATATTTCACAATGACAACTCACCAATCCATGGCAAGCTGGACACCTTTATAGCCAGTTTTAGCAAGAGCTCGCTGTCTAGAAAAAATAAACCCACAAAATAAATGAATAAATTAGTAATGAGCTTTTTAAAATTCTATGTAATATGGTCTCATTATTATGATAAACAGTTTTTTTTCCAAATAGCATCATACCATCCCAGGTATTGGTGAATACCCTACTTAGTATATCTATTCTGATATTTTAATTTTTTAATAGGCTTTTTTTTGTAGGATAGTTATATTTTATATCAAGTGATATTTTTTGTATTGTAACTCTGGTCTTGGCCCAAATAGCATTACTTGAGGGGGAAGACCCTGACATTTGAGATGATACTTCATTTCTCAGTTAATGTTAAACAATACAAAAAAGGGTGGGGGGAGGGTTTAAAAATTTAAAATCAATGCAATTTCAGCATTTAAGTCAGCTGGTGTGCCTGGCTGCTATGAATTCAACTAACCTATGGTAAGGTCTAACTCTATAACCTAACCTGACTAGCTAATCTAACTGCCCTGAACTGTAGTGACTGTAGAAGTAGAGCAGCCTGTAGTAATCTGTACACTACTGTACAGTAGGCAGTGTCAGTAAGTGAGTGTGCGTTAGGGACTGTATGACCATTACTATTGATTACTATTTATTGAACTGTAGGCTTAATGAATTCTTATAATCTTTCTTATTCGGTGAGTTTTATTATTTTTGTTTGATGACATTTCAAAATTACAAGTTGATTTGGAATCATCATGGAATGGAATCAGTCTCAGACTCTCAGACACTGAGGCTGATGATTCAGATCGGATCTGGTAGATTAGAATCTAAAAATAACTTAAAATCCATATAGAATCTTGATCTAAATAAACTTACGCTCGATGGGTTGGAAAACCCATTTCAACAAGTGTTTCTACATCTGTTGGCATCTTAGAATAATAAACTATTTGTACAAAAAAGTGTCTGGAGATAATTTAATATTATATTTTACTGGTAATCTTATACATAAGGAGATGTTGCTTCCACTAAATAACAGCAGTAAAAAATATTGCTTTTTCTCTCTAAAAAGCCGGATATAATAATGATGAGGAAACAAATATTAGATTAAGATAAGGAAAGTGTCAAATTTTTAAAACTATCAAAATCTTTATTAATATATTAATTAATGAACTAGTAAAAAAATCAACGATAAGGAAAATATATATTTTAACCAGTTTCTGACCCCCTGGAAAATCGGAAGATTTAGTCCGCCCCCCCTGGAAATTTAAAAAATGTCTGAAAGAAACATTGCAAGGCACATGTATAAAACTATATAGGCCTATATCTATATGGCTTTTATTTATTTATATTAATACAACAAAAATAGAAAATAGTTGATTGATTTATAAGCCTAAAAGTATTTAGAAGCTGTCTCAGTTATGTACATAGTTTCTTCCAGGCATCTCGCCCCCCCCCCCCCCCCCCGAAGAAAGTCTACCGCCCCCTCCCCCTGAACGAGATGGAATGTATATAGTAAACATATAGTTTTACTAGTGTTCACTCCCCCCCCCCCGGAAAATGTAGACCGCCCCCCCCCCGAAAATATCAAGTGCCCCCCCCCCCCTCCATTCGGAGAAAAAAGTCTGGAAGAAACACTGGTTGTGTAGACCACCTTCTCTCCCCCCCCCCCTGATCGTTCTAAAAAAACTCGCATAGAGATGCCTTTGGATGACTCTAACACAGCGTTTACACCTGCAAGTATACATGTTCCGTGGGGAAAATGTTTCCAAATAACATCAACTTTCTGTTCGTTTTTTTTTTCACTAGACATGTATTGTATACAGGGGTCATCCATAAATGACGTCACGCTTTTTTGACGATTTTTACCTCCCCCCTCCCCTCCGTCACACTTCGTCACAAAAAGCCAGACCCCCCCCCCTAAAATGACGTCACACCTCAACCTACAACCCCCCTCAAAATTGCAGTTGAATTTTTTGTAAACATTGATATTTTCCCAAAATCTTGTCTAAACTATTGCAATTTATTAAAACTTATCTAAAACGCTAAATAACGTCTAAAATTCGTTTTCTAACATTGCTTTTTTATAATGCAAAAATGTGACGTCGCAACATCTGACCCCCCCCCCCTCCCCCTCATCACACATCGTCACAAAATTACGGACCCCCCCTCCCCCCTACGAGTGTGACTTCATTTATGGATGACCCCACATGTAGAAAGTGTAAACGCGGAATGAGGAATCATTACAACAGACGTTACACTTTTAAAAATTATATTTACCTACCATCACCGACACACGTCATCACAAACTGCCAGCCCTCCCCCCAATTTTACGTCACAATTCAGCCTACATCACCACACCACTCTCAAAATAGTAGGTTGTTGTTTTTTTTTTTAAATATCCTTTAAAGTTTAATTAAAGTATCTTTAAAATCTTTTAACAACGCTAAATATTAACGCAAAATATTCGCTTTATAAGAACATCAATTTTTAAAATGCAAAAGCGTATATTGTCCCTTTTTTTGAAACCGTCACCGAACCCCTCGTCACAAATCGTCACAAAATTCCGACCCCTAACAATACATCCTTTGTATGAGTGTGTTGTGGTCGTCATTTATCGACGAACCCTAAAAAACATGATTGGAAAAAAAAGCTTCGCGGAAATCAGTGTAACTCAATGAAGTTGTCATTGTAAATCCGCGAAGAAAATGTTCCTATATTTAGCGCCTTACTCTACAGAAAGATAAATAAATAAATAGATCGAGGCCTATAATAACAAGTCTGTGCTAGAACTAGATTTAGTTATGGTGTCTCACCAGAATTATAACAACACAGCATATTTTTGCTATTCAAATTTATTTTCTCTAGTGTTTGCATTTCAAAAATAATACACATTTTGTTTACAAGCAAGGTTAGTACTCAGAACTGTCTACTATTACTACTATTAGGTCTAAGTCTATATATTAACGTACGTATAACGGCATCGATATATTTATGTTATGGTTGGGAGATTTCCTCCTACTTTACCGGCTTATCGATTTTTAAGTTTTATTACATTTTATGTTTAGCTAGTCCTAAATCTAGGCAGTTACAAGATTATTAGTCGTTATATTTCATAGAGTGGTCATTTGAATGTATTGATATTAAAGTCGCCGTTGGGATTTTAGTAATATTTACTCAATTCACCACTTTTCTGCCAAAGCACGATAAGGGGGCGTGGTATTCAGGCTTTGGACCTGTTAGTTATCTAAAATAGGTTATGTTGTTATTGGCCTTGGATTCTTGAGGTACCGCTACATTTTGTACACTAAATACAAGGTATTTCATTGAACATAGAAACGAGCATTTAATAATTTTGTTCGAAATATTAAGGGGTCGTCCATAAATGACCTCACACTCGTAGGGGGGAGGGGGGTCCGTAATCTTGTGACGGTGTGTGATGAGGGGGAGTGGGGGGGGGGGGGGGTTCAGATGGTGCGACGTCACACTTTTGCATTATAAAAAAGCAATGTTAGAAAACGAATTTTAGATGTTATTTCGCGTTTTAGAAAACTGTTTTAATAAATTATGATAGGAATTGATTAAAAATACTCTATTTTGACAGTTCAGACAAGATTTTGGAAAAATATCGATGTTTTAAAAAACAATCAACTGCAATTTTGATGGGGGGGGGGGTGTAGGCTGAGGTGTGACGTCATTTTAGGGGGGGGGGGGTCTGGCTTTTTGTGACGATGTGTGACGGAGGAGAGGGGGGAAGTAAAATCGTAAAAAAAAGGCGTGACGTCATTTATGGATGACCCCTAACCCATAGACTAGAAATATAGTTTAAACATTTACATTTTTTTTGTAATTAGATACTTTAATCGGTGGTATAAATTAATATTAATGTTGTCTTTTTTTTACAATATTTTTGCTGGATATTCTCGTGCCTCTCCTTTCATTTTTATTTTGTTATTGTTTTTTAATGTTAATAAGAAGAAAAAAATTATGTCCAGGTATAGCTTTTTAGCGAGGCTGACAAAATATTTGTTGATATCCAAAGATTTTTCAGAAACAAATGCCAGCAGACTAGAACTAGAACAAGATTTCCCGGGCTAAGCTTGGAAGATGATTGTAATCAGTCATGCAGAACGTTCTGTCGGATTTTTTTAGCATGGGTTCTAGATGTCTTATATTTCGGCTCGTTATCTCCTCTTTGCTGGGGCAGTCTTAGATACGATTATAAATTTATTGTTTTACTGAAAGCAAAAAGTAATACAAGCCATCAAAGCCTTTTGGTGATAGTCGTTGATTGCTGACTTACTCTCTATCACGTATTTTTGTTGTCTCATGCAAACGTAAACAGACATAAAAATAAAACAAAAGCAAATGATAAATTTGAGATACGGTGAGAAAAAAAAATATACATAAAGCATATGTAAAAAACTAATATACATTTCGTCTGATCAAGCAAAAATGTGGATAAACAAATTATATAAAGTGCTTGTTTAAACCTCGACTATAGACGAATTTAGTTAGTATTTCCCGGTAGCCTATACATGATAGGGCTTTATACGATCATTATCCATAAAGCAAACAATACGTATTGTATATATATATATATATATATATATATATATATATATATATATATATATATATATATATATATATATATATATAGTATGTGTGTGTGTAATTTATATGAATGTATAATTTACACATATCAATTCAACATATACATAATTAAAAACTTGACATTTTAAAAAAATGTTAATGTTATTACCAATGTAGAGATATAAAGGACATGTGTCACTACTTGACTCCCATAACAGTCATTAATTATTTGTTACTTTCACTCTAAAATGTACAGCTGTCCTCTTTAAGACCCCCTGTTGTGCCGTTAACTCTCCTATATGTATCAGCTGACCAAATCCAGATATGGGTACCCTAAGCTCAACACTGCACATAGCCATGACAATAAATAAACTCCACAAAAACACTCCAATCCCAGTGTAGTTGAATCCCTAGTTAGTTCCATAATACACGTGTTAGTATGTTACAGTGCTAGTCAAGAAAATGAACCCCACTAAAACACCACACAGCCCCCAACTGTATATGAACCCCGAGTTAGTCAAACAGTGCACATTATGGTACATGTCAAGAAAATGAACCCTTACTAAAAACCCCACCCAGCGCCAATGTAAATGTAGTTGAACCCCGAGTTAGTCCCACAGTGCACGTATTAGTACGTTATAGTACTAGTCAAGAAAATGAACCCCACTAAAAACCCCACCCAGCGCCACTGTAGTTGAACCCCGAGTTAGTCCCACAGTGCACGCATTAGTATGTTATAGTTCTAGTCAAGAAAATGAACCCCACTAAAAACCCCACCCAGCGCCACTGTAGTTGAACCCCGAGTTAGTCCCACAGTGCACGTGATGGTACAACCAGCCTTTCATGCCGAGGATGAAAATAAACGCTCCGCTGCTCCCTGGACAAGTGGGGGCGGTGTACGAGAACCTGGTGTCCAGTCCTTTAACCTTGACCTTGTGCCTCCACTGTCCGATAGAAACTTGTTTAAACCCCCCATGAGGATGGGAGACGATAACAGTCAACTTGTTTTCCAGATCGGCGAAGTTGCCATATCTTCTGTTCACCGTATTGAAAAGTTCCATAAAACGTGACCAGGTTTTTTCAATTTTTTCGACCAACTCGGAATCATGCGTCACACAAACCAGATTGCTTCTATCTTCCTCGACCCACACCTCTCCAATGTCGCACCCCTCGAGATTATAAACTTTGCTTTTTTCATCATTATAGTCCACCCAACACACCACCTTTTCCGCTTCGCTCTTGTCGTAAATTACATGGGTTGCTGTGACAATCATAATATACGCCCAGGTTTTTTTCGGCGTTTCCGACAACTTGCACGCCGTGCACGGGCAGTCTTTACCATCCTGGTCCGAGTACTTGGTCAGCCCCCACACCCTGCCACTCCCTAATCGCTGTAACGTGCCGCCCCTGTGTTCGTAAAACGGATACGGACTCTCCGCCCCGGGGTAAAACTGTGGCCTATGTACACTCGTGTGTCTCACGGCCAGTCGAACGGTCAGTTGACCGAGGCACTCAATGATTTGAAATATATCGTTGTCTTGGTAACAGTCGGGCAGGTTTTCGATGCTTAAGCTGCTGAATCTGATGTAGCCTTCGTGTCCTGGGTTCTTTGTGCACTTTTTAAACGATTTCTCTTGGTCGTGTTCTTCATTAGGCCCACAAAACTCTACCTCGTGTTGTCCTAGAAACAATATTTAAACATATATATATATATATATATATATATATATATATATATATATATATATATATATATATATATATATATATATATATATATATATATATATATACATATATATATATATATTTACTCTATATATTCATATGTTTGTGTCTTTGTACTTTCTGGAGAGAGATATACATTATTTGCGGTATCGATATATTTGATAGCCTAGCAACACCGTAATCAATACAATCTGCAAAGGTACATACCGTGAAATAGGTTCGGTATTTCGTCATGGTCCATTTGGTGTGCACTATTCTTTGTCCGTAATGGTAGCTTCAGTCACCCTGTAGCTGGGGAAAAAAATGTTACACGTGACGATAATATTATTCATGTTTGTTTGGGGAGGGGACGGGTCGTATAGCAATAGGGGGTAAATGAACATCGAGTTGTGGGGTTTTATTTTGGGAAAATGAGTAATCAAATTCAACCGGATTCAGATAAATATGTGCAAATGTGACATTTCGACGCTCCACCCCCCCCCCCTCCATTAGGTTAGGATAGGCTTGGGCTAGTGTTAGGGTTAGTCTAAGAAAATGATATTTATGATTTTTTTAGAACGTTTAGGCCTATTTAGAATTTTAACTCAAATAATGAGCACCTGTTCATGTTTAGATCTACATTTAGTGTAGAAATGGTTTTTTTTTCACAATTTCGTCATAGTGTAGAGGAAATACGCACTTGCTTATATCCTATCACATCCTGTCGAGGAAATAAACACTGTTCTTATTTCCTCACAGTTGCTGTAGCTAATCCAATAATCTGAAAGAACCGACTAGCATCAGGACACACCATTTATCCCAATCAGTAGGGGTCGGCGTGGTCGAGTCGGTAAAGCTCATGGTTGCTAAACCGAAAAGACTGTGAGGCTCGTTAGCTGGGGACAGCCACTATTCTAGCCACTCCAAAATCAAACAACTGCTGCCTTGTAGTTTGTTCTTGGTTGGACAAAGGCTATGGAAGCAAATCCAAAAAGAAAAGCAGGCTGAAATCGGAGTCAATGGCCTCAATGGCGCAAAACCAGTTGACACGTAACGCTTAATTGTGTTGGAGGCGTGGTCGAGTCGGCAAAAAGCTCATGGTTGATAAATTCGAACAAAGTCTCGAGTTCAAACCCACTGGCAGATAAATCTCGATCCCCTTCAACACTAATAATTAAGAACGAAGAAGAAGAAAAAAGAAGATCCCAATCAGTAGCTATGGGACTTTGGTTTGGAATAATCAGTGAAATGAATTGCGGATGTGGAAAGTGCCAGTCTACCCAGTCGCACTTCAAATTCATTAGAAATAAAAACATTATAAATTTTAAAATTTAATAGTTTCAAATTTTAATGGAATTTAGTTTTTCGCTACCTTTGTCAAAGCTTAAGTGCTTTAGAAAAAATTAATTCAGAAAGTTATTTTTTAACTTCTTTACCAAATTTTAGAGTTTAAAAATTGCACACTACGCCACGAGTAATTACTAAAGCGGATGTAGGCCGTTTGTTTGACTTTAAAGGGGGGGGGGGGTAGGGTTATGGTATGGTTATGGTCGTTTCAATCATTTATAGGCCTATTACTGAATAAACATGGATGTCAAAGAATAACTAAAATTAACGACTTACTTTTAATATTAATATGAAGCCTGTTTCGTGATACTTTTAGCAAATGTTTCGAATTCTTTTTAGCCAGCTTGTAACAGATGAAAAGATTTCCTAGTGGCCGACTGTTTCAAAATCTCACAGCGTGTGGCAGACACCGGGGGTACCGGGTATTTTAACGGTCGACTTGCACCGGAAAAGCAATGACGTCAGAGAGTTGGAGGACCAAGCGTGCCAGGAGGGGGGGGGGGGGGAATAAATTTTAACCTTTGAACCATTCCCATTTCAAGATTGTTCGAATCTTTAAATACCCCAACATCGATTCTAATTCGATATATTGATTAGACCAGGGGTTCCCAACCTTTTTTTTACTCTAGAGCACATTCTAAAATATCGGTAGGGTGGCGGGCACCACCTATTTTAAATCGACAAACTCCTTCCAGGGGCGTAGCGACCCTTCCCGTCACCCCGGGACAAAACTTTCGATTTGCACCCCCCCCCCGTCAAACTTTCGATTTGCACCCCTCCCCCACCCCCCAAATGTTCGATTTGCACCCCCCCCCTCAAATCATTTTCGATTTGCACCCCACCCCCTCAAATTTTCTTTTTGCACCCCCCCTCAAACTTTCGATTTCCATCCCCTTCAACCTTGCAATAAGGTTTATGAAAAAAATTCTGTCTTAGTCGAATAGTGAGAGGCGGGCACATACGAATCGTTCGGCGGGCGCCATGGCGCCCGCGGGCACGGGGTTGGGAACCCCTGGATTAGACCTTGAGCTAAACGTACGGTAACATCGGTTGCCTTTTTATCTAAGCAATAGTAAACTGCAGCTTAGGGTGAGACTTCATGACTTTTCACATTTTTAAATTATATTTAACACATAAGGGAAAATAGCATATTAAAGGATATATATATATATATATATATATATATATATATATATATATATATATATATATATATATATATATATATGGAATTAGGCTCACACCTGGGGACCTATGTATTAGGTTCTCACTTTACTTGGATTCACTTAGATGGCGTTTTTAAACAACTCCATGTACAGACATTAAGATTATTCCTATCTGACCTTCCGTCATATAGTGACTGACATACTGACATTATAATTTTAATATTATAATGTGCAGTCCTTGTGACCTAAAATGGGGGGGGGGGGGGGGATCTTTATGTATTCCGAGGTATTATACATCAGCTTAAAACCGTGCCTCATTTTAAACCATGACACGGTAGACTTTTTTTTTCAGCGCGAACTATTCTTGTGGAAGGCGACGCAAGACCAGCACGTATCCGGTTTCAGTGGCGTAGCGAGGTCGGGTGTCACCCGGTGCGGCACTTAATGGTGTCACCCCCCAGAGGCGTAGCGACTCTTCCCGGGGACAAACTTTCAAGTTTTCGATTTGCACCCCCCCCCCCCTCAAACTTTCGATTTGCACCCCCCTCAAGTTTTTCTCTATATATTTTGCTATTTTTTGCCTTGGTGTCACCCCCCTAAATGGTGTCACCCGGTGCGGTCCGCACCCCCCCCCCCCTCGCTACGCCCCTGTCCGGTTTCCTTTTTTTACAAGAAATCCAGAGGCACTTTACGGTACTAATTTAGGGTAAACTAGAATACCTGGTAGACGTCTTTGAACAGGGTAGCACAGCCCAGTAGCGTAGCGAGGGGGGGGGGGGGGCGGGGGGACATATGTCCCCGGACGCCGACCATAGGGGGCGCCAAAATGGGTTGGAAAACTAAATTGAAAGGTTGAGGGGGGGGGGGGTGCAAATCGAAATCTTGAGGGGAGGGGGGTGCAAACCGAAAAGTTTGTCCCCGGGCGCCGGTAAGGGTCGCTACGCCTCTGGCACAGCCCCTATGACTACATTTAAAAAGTTATTTAAAAAAACAGCTAGCTGTTAAAGAGGCAAGGAGTACTTTAAAACGTAGTCAATTTAATTTGTTATGTATAACTTTATTAATGTGTTATTGTAAATATTAGTGTTTGGGAAGTGTGAACATCACACTTTTTAAAAAATTGAACAAAGTATTTGGACAGACGTAACTAGACAGAAAAGACCAACTCTGAGCAACACAATGCCTGTTCAGTTTCACCAACAGAGAATACTATCTCGTCCATGTTGATTAGACTTACAGACCTATTAGAAAACATAATAAAATGGTAGGAATGTTAATGTGCTCTGATTATTTGTTTTTATAAGATATATCTAATAATGTTTAAATTAATAAATCTAGTCAGGATTAGGAGTCATCCATAAATGACGTTACGCTTTTTAAAGACGATTGTTACCTCCCCTCCTCCCTTCCTCCCCCTCCGTCACACATCGTCACAGAAAGCCAGACCTTCCCTAAAATGACGTCATACGTCAGCCTACAATACCCCTCAAAATCGTAATTTAATTAATTTAAACATCAATTTCTTTCTAAAACAGTGTTTCTTCCAGACTTTTTTCTCCGGGGGGGGGGCACTTGAAATTTTCGGGGGGGGGGGGGGGCGGTAGACTTTCTTCGGGGGGGGGGGGGGGGCGGACACTGTTAAAAGTATATATTTTCTATATAAATTATATAAATTTGGGGAAGAAACTCTGTTCTAAAATATTTACTGCGCTCGGTCAACATAATATATTAAAAATCAATTTCTATTACATTTTTTTAAAAATACGCGAAAGGTCAAAATTAAGTTACTAACATTACTTTTTTAAATGCAAAAGTGTGACGTCACATAATCAGAACACCCCCTTTCAGTTTTCAGCGCACAAAATTGCTGACTCCTCTCCCCCGCTTTCGTGTGTGACGTCATTTGTGGATTCCCCTATTACGGAATTCCCTTTTAAACCAAGTTGAACCAGTTTTATCAGGTTTCAAGTGGAAATACTAGATTAAAAATAAACTGACTATGATACTATAAATACATTTCGGACTAAAAGTCTTACGGAAATCCCCTTGACATTTCTATCTAGCTTTTTTTTTTTTTGTGGTTGTTTGAAAAAATTACTAGATCTAGATCTAGATCTAAGTAGAAATTCAATACCTAAAATTGTCGTTATAGTTTACTGTTTTTAAGGGTATTGGGTGGGGTATATTAACAGGTATGTTGAGGTTTGGGTTGGGCCATAGTCACCTCTGAGGCTATTTCCATGCCCGTCCACCCCTTATTCTGTGTGCCAGCGAGGAGTGTAGTCTGCCCGAAAACCGGTGCTTTATTTGAGAGATTTTTTTTCAGCACCCATACTCAGCACCAGTAGCGTAGCGAGGGGGGGTGGGGCGGGGACGACGACATATGTCCCCGGGCGCCGACCTTAGGGGGCGCCTAAATGGGTTGGAAAAACAAATTGAAAGGTTGAGTGGGGTGCAAATCGAAAGTTTGAGGGGGGGGGGGTGCAAATCGAAATCTCGAGGGGGGGGGGGGTGCAAATCGAAATCTCGAGGGGGGGTGCAAATCGAAAAGTTTGTCCCCGGGCGCCGGGAAGGGTCGCTACGCCTCTGCTCAGCACCCAAATCTAAGTGTAGAGCTAGAAGAATTTTCCTGATATTTTAACTTAATGAAAAGAAACAATAAAAATAGAGTCGCTGTCTCACCTTTATAAAGAAGACTTTAAAACAAAATTAAAATGAGTGGAAAGACCTGTGTTCCTGAAGGAACAAATGATTTATTTATTTATGGTTTGAAAATTAAGATATAAAGCTAAACATGAAATAAATTACGATTTTATGCGACATTGTTACTTTAGTTTAGCATTGGCCTAAATCTGTTTTATTGACCCAGGAATCCCAGCGTGTTTTAATTTAATGTACATTTCCGCCGCTCTTAAAGGGGGGGGGGGCTTGTTTTAAAGGGAAATAACTCAATTATTCGCATGTTTGAACTAGGCGTGAGTTGTGTTCAGACAGTCATTTCTTTTTAACACGGTCGTCTTTTTGTTTACTTTTTACGTTGTGTTTCACGTGTTACACATGTGTGAACAAGTACTGAGATAAATCCCAGTGGAGGTTGAGCTTTACAAGCGTGCTTATGAGATCTCACAGCTGTGAAATCTTTGTGTTTTATCCTACACGTAGATGTATGGTTTGTTTGTTGCACCAAGGTAGCTGGTTAGACTGTCTATTAAATGTAAAATATATACATAGTGCCTGAATACATTTTTGATATGTGTGCATTTGTTATAGTTGATGTAATAAACAATGCACAAACAATATAGTCTCGAATTTGTATTGCCAGAGGCGTAGCGACCCTTCCCGGCGCCCGGGGACAAACTTTCGATTTGCACCCCCCCTCAAACTTTCGATTTGCACCCCCACCCCCCTCGAACTTTTCATTTGCAACCCCCCTCAAACTTTCGATTTGCACCCCCCCTCGAACTTTCAATTTGGCGCCCCCCCCCTAAGGTCGGCGCCCGGGGACATATGTCCCCCCCCCCCCGCCTCGCCTCCCCCCCCCCCCTCGCTACGCCTCTGTGTATTGCTGACGACCGACTCATTGTATTTACGTTATGAAAAATCCTGCTTTATTTAAGTTTTTCTCAAATCTTGTTTGCCTATTGTTACAGACTAATTACCAGCATCTCACCATGGCCAAGCCTGACCAAAAACACGCCATCAAGAGACTGATGCACGACCAGGAGGAACTGAACCGCGCCCCGGTCGCCAACGTGTCCGCCGCCCCCCTGGACGAGAACATGTTCGAGTGGCACTGCAACATCCGGCAAGACGACATCATCTACCACCTCATTTTGTTCTTCCCGCCCAACTACCCCTACAGCTCCCCGAGCGCCGAGTTCGTGCCCGTGGGGTTCCGCTACAACAGTGGCGCCACCATGCCCGGCAAGAAAGGGACGAAAATTTGCCTCAACATTTTCTCGGATTTCGCCACTTTCCACACGGAGTGGAAGAACGAGAAGGGGCTGGGCTGGTCCCCTGGTTACACCATCCAGTCCGTGCTAATGAACGTCGTGTCGTTTCTCGGCGAGACGAGATCCGGCGACAGCGACACGTTTAACTTGACTCTTTCTAAAAACTTCAACTGTGCCGACTGCGGTCACAGCTACAGCAAGCCCTTCCCGTCATTGGATAGCCCCGGTCATGTGACCAGTGACGTCAGCACGGGTAAAGCCGGTAAGGCTAGCAAAAAGGGGAAAACTAAAGCGAAGGAGATTCCAGTTGAGGCGAAAGAAGAGGAAGGTTCTGCTCAAGTTATTGATTACATTTCCAAAGAAAAGTTCCAAGTGCAGAAACCCAAATCGTCTGAAGATCTTTTCGGTTACGGTCTGGTCGTCTCCGGAAACAAATGGCGCCCGACCTTGACCTCCCCGTGTGAGTTTTTAACCGGCAGGTCGTTCTACGGTATGAAAAACGCGGTAAATGTGGTCCACAGCGTGCTGAAGGAAGAGCTGAAGCTGTTCCTTCCTATGTACATCCACCCGCTGCACGGCTCGCAAATCAAAGAAGAGTTTGAAAAAGCCATGAAAGAAGTGGCGGCCATCATGCCGAAATACGACCCGAAGACATCTCCGATAGAGGATTTAGTTCTGAAAACTATCCCCAATCTGATGAGCGCCACTGTTGTTGAGTTTTCAAAAGGGACACAACACACGAGCGACAATCACCTAAACGGCTATTTTGCCTTACACCGTCTTCTGCTGTGGGCCATAGATACGTACCCGGCGCTGCAAGACAAGATTGAAGAACAGATTCAAGATTACGTCGAGAACGAAAACAACCGAACGAAAGACAAAGTCCCGTACATCGCCGAATGGCTGATGCTGGTTCCCGGGTCTGTGAAGTACAAATGGCAGGACGTCGCCGACGCTTATCTCAGCGAGTCGTGGAAACGAAACGTCATGTGGTACGTCAAGGACGACGAGAAACTCGGCTACCTTGACACGGAGAAAGACTACCGGATCCGGGAGACGTTCCGGCTGACTGACGTGGGCAGGAAGCATCTGGCGTTCCAGGCGTCCTTCATCGACATCGCCATGCCCCGGGGGATGACCCGTCAGCAGATCATACAGAGGTACGACGACAACCTCGGGTTCCCCAGTAAAGAAATGGTCGACGCCATGAAGGAGGCGTTCTCAAAAATCAACAACGAGATGGAGAACTACCAGGACTGGTTTAAGATCTTGAAGCTTCCCGTCCCCACGGACGACCAGCTGTTCAAGACAATGGTCGAGTCGGTCAGGTACGCCATAGTGACCGATGGCTACCACTGGACGTTCGCCAAGACGGGCGGGGGCTGGGGGAAGGTGCTGAATAAATACAAGAAGATGATCGAGGAACACAAAGAAGGCAAGACCAGAAAGACCGAGGACGACACGTCTGCAGACCCCGAGCCGCCTTCAACGTCAGCCAAAGGAAAAAATAAAAGGAAGAATGAAACCCCGAAAGGTGGGAGAAAAGGATGTAAGAAAACGAAAGTAGAAGAGGAAGCGGATGCAATGGACGATGAAGAGGTCGCACCGGTACAGCCCGTTAAGAAGGCGGCACCAAAAACAACAAGAGGTCGCAAAAAGAAAGGAAGTGACGACAATGTCCCAGCGGCCAAGACGAAGTCAAAAAGAAAGTAGGATTTATAGTGGACTGTCTGATTTATAGTGGACTGTCTGATTTATAGTGGACTCTCTGATTTATAGTGGACTGTCTGATTTATAGTGGACTGTCTGATTTATAGTGGACTCTCTGATTTATAGTGGACTGTCTGATTTATAGTGGACTGTCTGATTTATAGTGGACTGTCTGATTTATAGTGGACTGTCTGATTTATAGTGGACTGTCTTGATGGTTTTGTTTACTTAATAGTGGACAATCTAATGATTTTGTAAACTAGATCCGTTTTTAATATTCAAGAAACTTGTTTCTATTTTTTCCAATGTTTTAATTTTAACACGGTTACAAGAATAACGTTGTGATCAGGTGTTGTTGTTTTTTTTATTAAGGCAGATATTTCTGTCAAAACATTTGTTCGTGTGATATTTTTTTCAAACCCGCTTTTTTGTGCTACCTAAAGATATCACACGTATGTATATAATGTATAGTTGTTTTACAGATAAAATCATTCTGTGATGTTTTATGTTCTTTAAATTATTTTCCTGCTGACATAAGATAACTTTCTCGAATATAATGTTTTCTTTTTTAAAATCATTTCTCTCATTTACTTTTTAAAAGTATAACTTCATAATATTTTAGTTTTACGATGTTCGTTGTTTTTTTTTTCTCATGAAATTAAAATAAAATTAATAAACCAAAAAATTTGTATTAATTAAATTATTTATCAAGGAAATCTAATCAAGCTATTCTCCAATGTTTGTGATCCCACGATGCTAATTACGAATCAATGCCTTAATGAAAATAAAATTCATAATAATTAAAACAGAACCGAAAGAAATAGTATTTGTATCATTGTTTTATTATTAGTATTTAAAAATATTTTTAAAAAACCCATAAAAATTGGAATAATATTGGAAAAAGAAATGTTTTAAAGTATGATAAAATTATCCTCTCTTTACAAAAAAATGTGCTTAAATCATACTACAACATGTTGTAACTTTAACCAAAAGATCAGTGCACTATTTTCTAAAAATGATCCCTTCTCCTGGAAGGACCTATATACTATATACATTGTTGTGATATCAAATATATACTCCTTTTTTCTTCTTTTTTTTTTTTACATTTTACTGTTTGTGACTGAAAGGGGCGGGGAAAATATAGTAACCTTGACCTCTCTTGACTACCCACAAGACATGACAGACAAACAAGGACATCGGCCACGGGGAAATCTTTCCCTTCCCTCATTTATCAAACCTTGATTGTCCTGTAAAGTCAGGGGCAATGAACTCCAGGACACCAAGGCTCACAATAAAGGGAGAGAACACGATTCTACAATTAATTTGATTAAAAACACGAAAAAATAGAAACAGTTTACACACGATTTTAATTGTTTTGTGTATATTATATTTCAGTTCGTCTCCTAAAAAAATGTCTAAAAATTCGTTAAAGTATAAGCTATACAAAAAGCCTTTAGCCACGATATAAAACAATCACACGATATGACTAAGCAGGCTGTACCAGGAAGAAGTGTGATTTGTGAGGGTGGGGGGGGGGGGGGAATATCTGTATACTTCTTTGTACTGCATTGTTTAAAAACTCCCCCACCCCACCAGATCGCATGAGTACAGAACAAAGCACTCTTGGGGAGAATTTGCATACATCGGTTTAATTAACTAAAATATTATAACCAGTCCAGTTGAAAGCAAACATAATGGAGAGTTATATTAGTGAAGTTTTATGCGCTTAGCTATCTGCTCACTTACTCATACTCTTCACGAGTAATTAAAAAAGAAATGGTAATTTTTATAACCAAAGTTTTAAAGTAATTCGCGTGATTTTCCGGGGTAAGGTCTGGATCTTGAAGAGCTGCCCTCGTTTCACATTGCATGAGAACCTTCTAACATGAAAATAAGTATACACGTCACCGTCATCCAAGCAATAATTTTCGTCAGCATATAACCTCAGAGCCAATATCATACGGCTTCAAAATCATCACGATACAGCTTTAGTATCAATACTAATACTATACATTGTCAGTATCAACAACATACAGCTATAGTATTAACGCTATACTTGTACGGATACATTACAAAAAGAAAGTCTTCAATACATTTATTATTCTTTTAATTGAGTTTGCCTTAAATATGAGGTGTTAATTAGTTCATCTTTAAGTTTTTCAAAAGTAATATTCAAATTTTCATAGAATGCTGTATGTAGAATATTGTCTTGGTCTAAAAATAATGTTTATTTTTAAACAGGCATAAATAGATATGTGCATACTTTTTAAATGTCGAAAATATCCTTATTTTTTAACGAGATTTATTGTCCCCCCCCCCCACCCCCTTTTCACACTCACCATATCAGGCAAACCTCTAGCTACCCCACCCTCCAAATTATTACCCCCCCCCCCCCCCTCATCTCCTCCCAGCCATCCCACACACATTTAGTCTTCAACTTCCCGATAAACAGATTTATTTGGACGTTGATGGATGGGGCCATGTAAACAATAAAACGACTTGAAACATCGGTCACCTGGACACAGTGAGTGGAGAGTGACTCTACATGTAGGTAGTTCTAGCAGTTCTAGCAGTCCAAAACATTCGTTGTTAGACCAGAGAATCTACACGTAGGTAGTTTTAGCAGTCCAAAAAATTGTTTTTAGACTAGAGAATCTACACGTAGGTAGTTCTAGCAGTCCAAAACATCGTTGCTGAACCAGAGATCAGAAAACTACTTGCTGGAGTAAAAGCAATATTCCCACTAGGTGGAGCAGAAATCGGGTCGTTACTTGGTGGAGCAGAGCTCGCTCTGGTGGAATAGAGATCACATCCCATCTTGGTGGAGCTAAGGTCAACGCCACACAAAACTAAGCTCTAAGATGCTGTGGTCAAGGACGTGTCTTGTTCTGGCCGTGACCTGCCTGTCCATGTTAGACTTGACCGTAGCGTCCACTGTTGTCATGGCTGCTGGACACTGTCCAAGTCCCGGAACACAGGCTGACTTTGACATGAGCAAGGTAAGATCCCAGCGTTACTGTATACAACAACAGGACGATGTTACCTTTCAGGTCATATTTTTTTTTAAAAAGTAAATTACCCTAAAAAACTAACAACTAACCGTCAAAAATATTTATTTTTAAATATAAACATCTTCAAAAAATTTATTACTTATTTTAATGAATAAAATAACGTTATTAATACAAAAAAAATTAAATTTTTAAAGTAAAGATCTCTTTAAAAACAACTCACCTTGAAAAAAATTACTTACGTTCAAATATGCTTTAAAACCTCTCACCTATTATTCCACCTATATAATACCACACCTGATATTCCACCTGATATTCTACCTTAAAATACCTCACGTGATATCCCCCTCAGTTTGCAGGTGTATGGCATGAGCTGGAAAGTTTTGACCGCAACTCAAGTGTCTGTGTGTCCATATTTTACTCACAACACGACAACGAGACGTACAACGTTTCTAGTATAGGATACATTGAGAGTCTAGGGTGAGTTGTTTTAGGATAATTGGAGAGTCTATGGTGACTTGTTTTTGGATAATTACAGAGTCTAGGGTGAGTTGTTTTAGGATAGTTAGAGAGTCTAGGGTGAGTTGTTTTAGGATACTTGGAGAGTCCAGGGTGAGTTGTTTTTGTGGAGAGTCTAGGGTGAGTTGTTTTTGTGGAGAGTCTAGGGTGAGTTGTTTTAAGATACTTGGAGAGTCTAGGATGAGTTGTTTTTGTGGAGAGTCAAGGGTGAGTTGTTTTTGTGGAGAGTCTAGGGTGAGCTGTTTTATGATAATTGGAGAGTCTAGGGTGAGTTGTTTTAGGATAGCTGGAGAGTCTATTGTGAGTTGTGATGTGAGTTACGGTGATGTGATTTTTTTGGCATATTGTTTTTAACGAGTCTTCTGGTTTAATAAAATCTTTAATTCTCGCTCGTGAATAGCAGAATTCTATCCCTTGCAAAAAAAAAAAAAAAAAAAAAAAAAAATCCTTCGTATACCAGTGGTCCAGCGTATGTTATTTAAAGTCACATTAGACCACGGCTGTTGTAACAAATTAGGATTTATTTTCTTTCTTCTTCCTTCAGGAATGACAGTACCATCCATCGAACGCCAATCACCATCAAAGCCAATGCTTATGCTCCTAATGCATCAAGCCCTGCTGAACTTCGGCTAACCTACCCGGGATACAGTAAGTCATTGTAGATACAAATCAAAGTCCGCAGCCAAATACACAAGTTCAAATAAATATATAGGCAATTTATTCGACTTAAGTCAATTATCGGAAAACCAAAAGAAATTTTAAATCTTTAATAATGTGTAGTTTCTAGCAAAGGCGTCGCGAGTCGGGGCGGGTGGGGGGGGGGGGGGAGGGGGTGCGGACCGCACCGGAAGACACCATTTAGGGGTTGACACCAAGATTTAGCAAGGGATGACTTGTAGCACAAGATGACTAAATCATATTTTATTAGTAGCCTTAGTATCAGTGGCGTCACAAGGCGGGTGGGGGGGATGAGTTCAGCAGCTACACCCCGACGAAAAATCGTAAAATGTACTGTAAAAAAATGTTTTATCCAGTTAAAATAAGAAAATAGTTGGGGAGAGGGGTGACACCAAACTGATATTGAAAAATTGTTGGAGTGGGGTGGGATGAAACCCTCGGTTACCGCACAGGGTGACACCCGACGTAGTAACGCCACTGTCTAGCATTGTTATCATTTTCCCGGGTATCTTAACGTTGGATTTGAAAAACTTGTCTCACTAAAATATTTTCCCCCATTTTTTTTTCAGACACAACAGACGGTCAGCCCAACTATTTCATCGTCTCAACGGATTACGTCACATATGCCGTCATTTATTCCTGTAGCTCGTATTTCGGCGATACGATTAACATACGTGAGTCAGCACTTGTGACGTCATTTATTTATAGTGACGTCACTGGTAACATGACTCGTAACACCATTGTAACAGCATTTGTGGAAACTGAAAACACACTTGTGACACCATTTATGACATCACTTGTGACAACATTAGTAACACTATTTGTGATATCATTTTGACTTCATTGTGACATCATTTGTATCATCATTTGTGACATCAGTTGTAAAATATTACTTGTAACATGACGCGTTAAGTGTTTGGGTAGGAATTGATTGGCGGTGGGGTGGGGATGGGGGTAGATCGGTTGTAGGTTATAAATTGATGTGGTAGGCTATCGATGGGTAGTGGATTATGAATTGATGTGGTGGGGAGTCAGTGGGTAGTGGATTATGAATTGGTGTGGTGGGGAGTCAGTGGGTAGTGGATTATGAATTGACGGAGCCTTAATTTTTTTATAATCCCTGCTTCACAAGAGCCTTGTTTTACACGTGTCATCCCAAGTTTTCTCCCCTCGTCAGATGGCGCGTGGATCCTGACACGTGACCGGGGCGTGGCACCCAGCAACCTGACCCAGATCAAGGACGAACTGGCGGCGGCTGGTGTGTTGGTCAAGAACTTCGGCCCGTCCAACCAGAGCAACTGTGAGGTGGACACGGCACCCCTGACACCCCTGGCACCAGAGGCCACGACACTCGCGCCCTGAAGATCTGTCGTCTGCTGTGTCTCAAGACAAACATCTTCAGTAGTCAACATGACATATACACGTTTTTAAACTTCTCATTTCATGTATTATTTTATCATGTCTAGCATAACTATAAGTACGTTTACCTCTCATAAACAATCAACTATATCATTGCATACATCTGTACATATTGAAAAGTCGACGTTACATATTTTAAGCCATTTTAAAAAAAAATAACACTTTCTTAATCACAACCCTACCCTAGTCCTAACCTTAATCCTGATTATGGCCTAATCCTTACTAAAGTCAGCAGCAACATCAACATGGTTTAAGTCCTCAAGTATTATAAGACAGTATTGATCTGCTTTTTTAATAAAATGAAATCAATGTCTGATAATTCACGAATCAACCAATATAAATTGAATTATTTCTTTACACTTGGATGTTTAGCTGTTACTTGTACTTTTATTTTTCAATTTTCACCAATCAATACGTGTTTACAAAATATTTAAACATTAATTTTGTTCTCCAATGAAATGCAGTTATACAGGTCTATAAATAAACACGTATTATTATATTTTTTATTTGCTGATGAAAATCGATTTGAGTGTTGAGTATTTTTGCCATTGTTAGTGTGTGTTGATGTCAAGATGGGATAGGAAAACGATACACATTTAAGAAACCTCAGACAGTAATGAATACAAATAATCTGCCGACAAACTCACTTGTGAAATTACATCATATGGATCCAATTACCTAAAGACGCAATACTTGAATTATTTCACCTGAACCCTACCATCACATAACACCAACTATCACATACATCCCAACACCACATCATCCCACCATCAAATAAATACCACCATTAAATAATCCCATCATCACATAAATCCCACCATCACATAAATTTCACCAATCCCACCATCACATAAATCCCACCATCACATAAATTCCACCATCACATAGACTCCACCAATCCCACCATCACATACATCCCACCATCACATAAATTCCACCATCACATAAATCCCACCATCACATAAATCCCACCAATCCCACCATCACATAAATCCCACCATTACATAAATCCCACCATCACATAAATCCCACCATCACATAAATCCCACCATCACATATTTCCCATCATCATATAAGTCCCACCATCACATAAATCCCACCATCACATAAATCCCACCAATCCCACCATCACAGAAATCCCATCATCATATAAGTCCCACCATCACATAAATCCCACCATCACATAAATCCCACCATCACATAAATCCCACCATCACATAAATCCCACCATCACATAAATCCCACCATCACATATTTCCCATCATCATATAAGTCCCACCATCACATAAATCCCACTATCACATAAATCCCACCAATCCCACCATCACATAAATCCCACCATCACATAAATCCCACCATCACATAAATCCCACCATCACATAAATCCCATCATCACATAAATCCCACCATCACATAACTCCCACCATCACATGAATCCCACCTTCCCCACTTAACCTGTCATCCTAGATTGTGACCTAATCAAACGTCAGACATTAAAAAGCCAATATTTTAACAAATTCGGGTTTGACGATTGATTATTTTTAACAACGTGTGAAGAAAACGATCGATCCCCAACCATACACGAGCTAATAGTTTCTAATACACCCCACATAATCCCACTCGGCCTAGCCGTTCATTGTTACATTTATTACACACTGCAAGGTTCGGTTTTTAAAATCTGTGTTGAAAACTTGGACTGGATAAAATAAAGTTAAACTTTAAATTTTATGAAAATTTTTTTCAGAGATAAATCTATTCGTCAAGATGGAATTATACGCAAGTAGGTTATGTTTACTATATTTACACACACACACACACACACAAACAACTTTAAGTGTGAGTACTAAGTTGTGTATAATGCATGTAGAATGAGGACTTCAACCCTTAGTGTATTCAAGTTAAAATAATTGCACTTTATACAAGTGTTCGCGACTAAACTTACGATCTTTAAAAAAAACTCAGAGAATTCAATTTACTAACTTGTCGTGATCCTACATAATGGTGTCACAATTCTTTGGGTATAGATTATATTTCTGTGGGTTAGTTGGTGGTTAATTAAAGGATCAACTGACACACCTTCTCTCCCAATCTCCTGAATTATAAATCTGATGTAACATTTATTTAAAAACGTCCCCGAATGTCGCTGTCTAGGCCAAAAAGCAGAATGATGGCTTAGCCCAGCGTCTTGCAAACTTTAAATTCAATGCTCCCCCTTTATAAACGCAGAAGTCTTGGCGTTTTTGCGATATGAAGGGGGGGGGGGAGGATTACTTATTATGCCCCCCCCCCACCTCTATCAAGGAAACTTAAAAAGGTGTATGAAATTATAGGAGCTTTATTAGACAAAGGTACCAACCCCAGAAGGACAGTGAAAAAAGTTATCGATTGGATCGTCAACAGACCAAAACGCTGAAATCCAGAGGACCCTCACACCACAACTTGAGAGTCCCGACTTTGCTGACGGGGAGAGTGACTCAAGCTAATAACAATAAACTTCAGACTTTCATTAACTAATGCCTGTAGCGATTATTGAACGTCAGGGGACAAAACAATCAACGCCGAAATATGAAAAAAAAACAACGGACAAAACCTTATTGGCAAATAAAAAATAAAAAAGAGTAAATAGGGATGGATCGGTGAAAAACATGCGTAAACCAGACAGGCACTAGATTGTAATTCCCAAGAAAAGGCAAAACGTGGACAGGCCAAAACAAAAATGGAAAATATCAGTTGTAGGCCAAGCACAACCAGCTGGAATGTCGTGGACCCAACTTAGAGGAAACCGTGAAACACGGAGAGGTGTGGATGCGGATCTATCTATGCTCTACAAGGGGTCCGCAGGAACAATGATGATGATGGTCATCCCTCTTTATTTACCGTCACCATCACCGATCAAACACCTGCCCTATTAATTACCTCTCCCTCCCCCCACTCACGATCAATAAACCAATGTTGAGCATTACCCCCTTTTGATTACTAAGCCTATGGCTAACAGGGATATAGTTACTAACGCTAATATTAAAAGCAAAGTGTTTGTCTAATTTTGATACTTTAAAACTAGCACGTCTCTAGTTTAAAAAAAAACTACTGGCTATATGTTATAAGCTAATTGAAGTTCAGTTCATTTAATAAACAGAGTTTGTGTCCACTTTTTCTTAAAAATTATATATTCATTTACTAAACATCTGTGGATACTAGATGACCCATTTTATCCAATTGATAGCCGTATGTCTGTTGAACAGCCTGTAAAGAAGCCCCCCCCCCCCCCCCATATCACAAACCTCGGTCATCTGGACAGCCACAGTTGAATGGTGTATGATATGCGTAAACATAAATCTCCTCCTTTTGTCTTAGTTGATCTTACCACCACGGTCAGAACACATCATACGAGGGTGGGGGTTGATGGGTCAAGATTTTTTAAATAGAGAGACGCAATGAAAATGACTTAAAGATACCCTTAAGTTTGAACATTTTAAAGATGACCTAAGACTTAATCTTAGTGTACTCTTTTAAACAGTCTTGAAACAGAGCTAGCAAAACTTTGAACGTGTGCCCGGATGTAGAGCAATGAGAGCCATAGAGTTCACTGTTTTGACGACGGCGACCATTTTGTATCTGCTGACCGGCGGAGTGATCTTCCACTTTCTGGAAGATGAGAGCGAAACAGAGGCTAAACTCGCGTTACTGGAGTATTACACCGAGTTTCTAGGTAAGTTCATTTATACAATGGGCTTAATTTTTTAGAGTATTTCTGTAGGACTCTTGGAAGTGCTATATTATCGTTTGGAGCATGCTAAACAAGTAACAATTGATTACGTCAAGCCATTAAGACTCATTCAAGACAATGTACAATTCTGTATTCTAAACAGTAGTTTGAGAATTTTGAAAAATAATGCATGATGATGTCTTCAAACCCACTTGCAGCTAATAGTCATGTCCTCAGCAGTTAGCGTAGAATTCATTACAAGGTGTATCATATATATATATATATATATATATATATATATATATATATATATATATATATATATGTATATGTATATATATATATATATATATATATATATATATATATGTATATATATATATATATATATATATATATATATATATATATATATATATATATATATATATATACCTATATATATATATATATACATGTATATATATATGTATGTATGTATATATATATATATATATATATATATATATATATATATATATATATATATATATATATGCATATATGTATAAATATAGTTATATTAAAACTATTATTCCCAGGTTATAGCATTTATATTGATCACATTTCATCTACTATATATAAAACAATTACATTCTCAGCTGAAAGATTTGAACTGTACTCTAATGTGACCAGGTAACAACACCTGTCTGACGGCCAGAGAGCTACAGGACCTGGTCCAAAAGACCTACTCTGCCCACGATCGTGGCATCGTCATCTCCAACATCTCCGGGCAGGGGGTGGACCTGGTGGTGGAGACGTCAGAGAGCAAGTGGGACGTCGTGTCGTCCATTTTGTTTTGTGTCATCGTCATAACAACCATAGGTAGGGATTGGATGGTTAGAGTTCAAAGTTCAAACGTTGTTTACTTAGTGTTGTTATGCTGTAGGTGCTACATGAAATGGTTGTAAGGGGCTATTAGTATTAGCTATACATACGACATATACTGTAAGCTATAGATGCTACATTTACTATATGCTATACATACTACATATACTCTAAGCTATACATACTACAAATACTATAGACTATAAGCTATACATAATGCACATGGTATAACTTATGCATACTATTTATACTGTAAGCCATACATACCACATATACAAAAAGCAATACCACTACATATACTATAGGTTATACATACTGCAAATACTATAACTTATACATACTACATATTATACTATATATTATACTATATATTAAACTATACATATCACGTGTACAAAAAGCTATAAAACTACATACATGCTATTCGCTTTAAATAATACATATGCTCTAAGTTATACATACTACATATATTGACGTTGCCTAAAAATACATCCTATTAGACTAAAGTAAACATGTTACTTTTGTCAACACTACGTATATTTACTTTCACTACCAATGTCTGCTAATGTTGAGATCAATGTATCACTACGTGATTTGCATAACCCTATTTAGATTTCTTAAAACTGTTAATAGACCTAGCATCGACTCTGCACAGATAAAATGTACTAACTTTAGGCCGGTTACTTTTAAAAACAGCACTACCCTTAAAAACCAGATGGACACAAAAAATTGCACTATCATATGGAACTCAAAATGTCACAAACTGCTACACACTGTGTAATGTGATGAACGTGTTTTTGTGTTCTGTTCTTCTGTCCGTCTGTCCGTCTGTGCTGCATGTAACACGACACGCTGGTCTATATATTTCGGTAATACTTTTTTCATCACTTAATCCTGTTCACTTGCTACATATCACACCTAACAGCTGGCTCGGTGTGTGCTAAACATGCTTTTATCAAACTGCTGATTCCGTGTGTGGTAAACATGTGTTTGTCAAACCGCTGACTCTATGTGTAGTAAACATGTGTTTATTAAACTGCTGACTCCGCGCGTTTGTCAAACCGCTGACTCCGTGTGTTTGTCAAACCGCTGACTGCGTGTGTTTGTCAAACCGCTGACTCCGTGTGTGGTAAACATGTGTTTATCAAACTTCTGACTCCATGTGTAGTAAACATGTGTTTATCAAACTGCTGACTCCGCGTGTTTGTCAAACCGCTGACTCCGTGTGTTTGTCAAACTGCTGACTCCGTGTGTTTGTCAAACCGCTGACTGCGTGTGTTTGTTAAACCGCTGATTCCGTGTGTGGTAAACATGTGTTTATCAAACTTCTGACTCCATGTGTCGTAAACATGTGTTTATCAAACTGCTGACTCCGCGTGTTTGTCAAACCGCTGACTCCGTGTGTTTGTCAAACCGCTGACTCCGCGCGTTTGTCAAACCGCTGACTCCGTGTGTTTGTCAAACCGCTGACTCCGCGTATTTGTCAAACCGCTGACTCCGTGTGTTTGTCAAACCGCTGATTCCGTGTGTTTGTCAAACCGCTGATTCCGTGTGTGGTAAACATGTGTTTATCAAACTTCTGACTCCATGTGTAGTAAACATGTGTTTGTCAAACGGCTGACTCCGTGTGTTTATCAAACCGAGGAGTCAGCGTGTGGTAAACATGTGTTTATCAAACCGCTGACTCCGTGTGTTTATCCAACGGCTGACTCCGCGCATGTGATATTCCTGTGCTGCTTGATCCCACAGTCAATGCACACATCTGCAGAAAATACACGTGTGTGTGGGCGGGGGGAGGGGGCACAATACCGCTTTAATCTGCATAAAATACACGAGAGGGGGGGGCTACAATACCGCTTTAATCTGCATAAAATACACGAGAGGGGGGGGGGCTACAATACCGTTTTAATCTGCATAAAATACACGAGAGGGGGGGGGGGCTACAATACCGCTTTAATCTCCATCAAATAATGTGCTGGGGCGACAATACCGCTTTAATACTTTACATCTGTTGTTTCACGCCTGCTCTATTGACTTCATGACGCGCATGTATTTAGTCAAGCTTTATCTCGTGTTTACTAGCAACAAAGTTTCTATTGATTTTGCAGATGAAAGAAAAATTTCAATTTTTGTAATTACACTTTTTTATCAACAATGCTACCAAATAAACCGGGAGTGATCTCCCCTAAACTTTCTCGAATATTCTTATATAAAATAACAGGGGATGGGAACTCGGGCGATAGACATGATTTTTAATCCATTTTAAATATTTAAAGTTTTAAAAATAGAATAAAATCTTGTAGACAAATTAATTGCACACCAAGTGAACGCCAAATAAATAAACCGGTAGTGATCTCCCCTAAACTTTCTCGAATATTCTTATATAAAACAACAGGGGATGGTAACTGTGGATATAGTTATGATCTTTAATCCATTTTAAATACTGAAACTTTTAAAAATAGAATAGAATCTCAGTAAAAAACAATTGCGCACCAAGCGAACGCCTAATAAAGGTGTGTATAATAGTGCGCAATAGTATTAGTACTTTATAAATTTTCATTAGTTTTTTGAGAAATCGGAAGTAGCGTAAAGTACTACTTCCGGTCAACGGAAATTACTCAAAATTTAACAGAAGGTAGAGAATTAGATCTTTTACTTACATGTGAAATTTCATTTATCTATCTGAAATAGTACTCAAGTTATAGGCTTTTGAAAAATTCAAAGTAGAAAAAGTACCACTTCCGGTTATCCGAAATCGCTCAAAAGTTGATAGGGATCTACGATTTTGATATAATACTTGTATATGAAATTTCATCAACCTAGCTGTAACGGTACTCAAGTTATCGTGTTTACACACGGACACACACACACACACACACACACACACACGGACACACAGACATACGGACAAGATTGCAAAATTATGTTTTTCCGTATCAGTGAGATGTAAAACGTCGAGATTTGCAAAAATCTCGATTTTTTTTTTTTTTGCACGATTACAAGACTTTCTCTATACTTCGTATATACGAGAAAGTAAAAAGCGCATAATAGTGCGCAATATTATTAGTACTTCTAAAATTTACATTAGTTTTTTGAGAAATCAAAAGTAGCGTAAATTACTACTTCCAGTCAACGGAAATTACTCAAAATTTAACAGAAGGTAGAGAATTAGTCTTTTACTTACATGTGAAATTTCATGTATCTATCTGAAATAGTACTCAAGTTATAGGCTTTTGAAAAATTCAAAGTAGGAAAAGTACCACTTCCGGTTATCGAAAATCGCTCAAAAGTTGATACGGATCTACGATTTTGATAAAATACTTATATATGAAATTTCATCAACCTAGCTGTAACGGTACTCAAGTAATCGTGTTTACACACGGACACACAGACACACACACACACAGACATACGGACAAGATTGCAAAATTATGTTTTTCCGTATCAGTGAGGTGTAAAACGTCGAGATTTGTAAAAATCTCGTGTTTTTTTTTGCACGATTACAATACTATCTCTATACTTCGTATATACGAGAAAGTAAAAAACGATATCATTTCGAAAAAGAACTAAATTAATTTTTAAAAAATACAGAGGAAATATAATTTTAATTGCTGGATTTATAATAAAAGACAATGGAGCCAAACGATTAAGACTGTGGATGATAAGAGCACCTGAGTGGGAGGGGTGTAGGGGGGAGCTGTTTACACTGTATTGAGCTGAAAAGGCTGACTAGCGACAAATCTTCCGCACGCCACTACATTATTATAATTAAGGAGAGGCAACTCAAAAGTAAAAGTACCCCGATACAGAGTTATCTACTCCCGTGTTTGTGTTTAATTTGTAACTATCGACATACAAAAATCTATAATGTGATTTTTTTAAAAATCCCGATGCATGAATTTATAATTTATCCCCAGGTTACGGCAACATGTCGCCTAGCACCTCAGAGGGACTCGTGTTTTGTATAGTCTACGCCCTCCTGGGCATTCCACTGTTTGGTGCCTTGTTGGTGGAGCTCAAGGTTCGCCTGGTCAAAGCTGTTCATTATTTCCACGACAGCAAGCCCTGGGTACAGTACAACGACAGATGGGACAGAAGATTCAAATCCTTTTTCCTTCTAGTATTAGGTTATCTCCCTTTTCTCTTTACTATTAAATGTTAGCTTTTTTGCAGATTCCCAACCCCCCACCCACACATCGTCATACACAACCCCCCCCCCCCCAATTTATAAGTTACACCTTAGCGCTCCTTTTTTTTTTAAAAAAAAATAAATAATAAAAAAGCTGTTTTCCTAGCGTAAAGGGATATAAGTAGTAGGGTATGTGAATTTTGCAGTAAATATCAATTGGATTGTCTCCCATTAGAAAGAAAGGCAACGAAATTAAAACCTAGCTGGTGACAGCAGTTTACTAGTTCGGTCGATTTAGTGGGGGAAAACTCATAGATCACATTTTTTTTAAATGCTGGGTCAATATTTGATTTATTAACTGATTTTTTTTTCACAAAATAATATAATTTCTTTTTAAAAAAAACTAAAAATAGCAGCGAAAATTCAGTTCTAAAAATACCTTTTTAAATTACAAAAGCGTGATATCACAGAAGCGTGAAGTCTTTTATGGAGGACCCTAAGATACAATAGCAGTGTATTTTTATTTTAGCACTTTTATTGACAAAACTACTATTCTTGTTCATTTTTTAGCCATCCGTGTTGGGTATGATGTGTAAAACATGTTTAACAATATGCAGCATTGTGGACCTGTTTAAAACGGTCCGATGATATACTCTAATTTGGGGAACCACTGTTACGTTTTGTGGGTTCACTGCGTGAGCAATTTAAAAAAAAAAAATCATAAGTCAACTGCGGCCAGCATATGTGAACTACAACCAGGACTTTTGAACCACAGTTGATTAATTTAAATTAAATAACAACGACAATTTACCCCCCCCCCCCTCACCTCGTTCGTCCACTTACCCCTGGGGTCTTTTTTCACTGGTCACCAACCTTCACATATTCTCTGCAATGTATCTTCATTAGAACCAGATACTTTCTAACATATTCTGTCACAAATTTCCAACAGGAGCTAGCCTTACTATACTGCTACCGTCCAGCATATTCTCGGTCAGCCAGAACTGGACGTACCTGGAGTCTGTCTACTACTCTGTCATCACCTTGACGACCGTTGGTTTTGGTGACCTCATACCAGGTGAGCAGGGGCGTAGCGAGGGGGGGGTGACAACAAGGTGACACCATTTAGGGGGGTGATAACAAGGCAAAAAAATAGTTAGAGAAACAGATGAACTTTATGAACTCAATTACTGATAATAAAAATCATGAAAACACTGTGCTTCTCATGATTATTAAATCCATATTAGTCATTGGTATCTGTGTAACATTGGTGTGGTTTGGAGTCAACCTAGATTTTTGTGACAAGATGTGAAGCCAGGGGTCAAATCTGCTACATTTTCGTGTCTTCAGTTTTGGACACTTCGTTTACTATAAAACTACAGATAGCAACTCATTGATTTGTTTACAGTAAACTCAAAAGATTAACCGGAGCAAACAATAATGTAGACCAGGAATAATATTTTTTCTTCTTTCAGCCAAGCGTACGGACATGTACGGCTTCTACATCAGGCTAGTACTTGGCCTGTGGATGGTTGTTGGGCTGTCTTGTGTCACTCTTGTTCTAGGGGGCGTGTCCATCACGATAAAGGTAATCAGTAAACCAACGTTTATCATTCATCTGTGGTGACAGCATTATCTCTCCTTCATCTATATTTAGAAAAGATCTTAAATTTTGTACACAAACTTGCTATATCTAAGATGTACATTCACACACACACACACACACACACACATATATATATATATATATATATATATATATATATATATATATATATATATATATATATATATATATATATATATATATATATATATATATATATATATCGGCTTTTCTAAAAATGAGGCACCACTCCTCCTTGACTTCATGTGCACGACTCCACAGACCCCCCATCTCTCTCTCTTTCTATCAATGGAACAAGTCTTTACTTTAAACTCTTTCTTTCGAACCTGCTTTGTTGAGGCTGATCTGACCTTGTTTTGTCGATAGTTCAGGTCTCGCCGTAACGATGTTTTATTTCTCCCTTTCTAGGAGAGGTTAGAAAAGATTTTCAACAGAACTAAACAAGTGGCTCAAATAAAACCAAGTAAATTGAAAACAAAACTGTGGACAAAGTCAACGGACAACTTAAAGGTAACTGTAGCAAATGATACTTTTCTGTTAGCCGTACCAAACTAGGATTACAATACTTCACCCTAAAATTGATAAAAACCCTAAACATTCCACCTCCCCCCCCTTTCCCTCCCCTTAATGAAGAAACATTGCTATATTTTCTAATGAACTACCGTGAATTAATATACTAATATGTCGCCATCGCAAAACTTTATTGATCATACCTGTGGCGTAGCTATACATGTCTGCATTCGCTCCGTGTTCACGATAATCTCCACCCGCCACCTTTTAAATTTGTTTAACATGTCAAACAAAAGCGCAGACCCGGGGTAGAGAGTCGTGTCAACCCCCCTCCCCCCCCCCCCCACCACTGGATCATTTTGTAGCCCGTCTTAAGCGTGCAACGATTGGGACATTATAAATTAGAATAAATTATCTGCCTCGTTAAATTTTACATTGAGTAAAAGTCACGTTGTAATTTTATTAAGTTGCCCCAAGTGATGCACTCGAGGTGATTTAAAATAACATTGACGTAAGGCTATTTACCTTAGTCTGCACTAGACAAACTTGACCAGAGAGGCCATTGTCTCTTATCATACAGTGGTCAATCAATCTAAAATATGCTTGCTTTTAAGTAAAGCAAGCGCAAGTTGTGACTTCTCCCAGTTCACATCCTTTGTTATGGTAGGCTTGTGTCCCTCAACCTCATCCCTTCCCATCCCCAACATCACCTGTGATGAACGTAATGTAACGAGAACGTGAGTCTGACCAGATGGTACGTGTGGGCAGATGCAGTAGAGTTCAGCTTTTAGTGTGACCTCAGCTAGAATAAGGTAGGATATCCATCTGAAGTGGTGCTGGCACATTTAAGATATGTAAAATAAAAGGCTTCGATAGCAGTGTTTCTTTCAGACATCGGCTCACGTCCACCGCCAACGACCCCCCCCCCCCCCCCCCCATTGACGAAATAGAAAAATTTGTAAATGTTTAAAGACAAAATATTTTTAACTATTGCCTCCCCTTCCCCCTCCCCGTGAAAAATGTCCTCTGAGAGAAAACATGGCATTGACGTTTTCGAGTTGATTGTAATCATGCACTACCGTTATTACTGTAATGAGCTGTCTTGTTTTGGTTTTCAGGCAGAAGTTCGAAGCTTACAGGTCTCCGAGAACATCGTGACTCAACATGACCGCTCTACGTGTCTAGACGACATTTGACGTTCGTGTTATTTTTGTTTGTTTTCGTCACTTGGATCAAAAAACTAATGGCTTATTGTTAGCGGTGACCACTCAAACTGAGCTACCGGTGTGCGTTTGTTCTGGCACCTTCCGGTGACGATACAAAAGGGTGAGGGCCGGAAAAGGTGGCTGAACGTCTACATGTTAATGACTAAAAATGTTTGGAGTCTTGTGAAAACGAGATTTCTGGAGATACCCAGAAATGTATATTCATTAACTTTTCTAATAAAATGCATGAGTTTAAAAAAAAACTTTAAAATCTTGTTTTTGTTTATATTATAAATATTTACATTATAAATATAATAATGGGGGGGGGGGGCATATAAGAGTAGTTCTTGTTAGAGTTTCTTCCAGGCATCTCTTCAGGAGGAGGGGGGGGGGGGTCCAACAGGAACCATTGACCATAGCATTCAATTCTGCCGCCCGTCCTCGCTACTTAACGGCTTAGGGTTTTTATAGGCATCTCTCATGGAGGTGGGGTGACAATGCCGCTTATCTTTACCCCCCCCTTCCCCTCCTCTGAAGAAAATTTTAAAAACATAATTTTATTCAGAAATGCAACCAGTATCCATCCCGGACAATTGTTATTCCAAAAGTCTAAGGAAAAAAAATCGAAAGGGAAAAATAATAATCAAATGAATAACGTTCGAAGTGCCAGAAAAGATGTTTTTTTAAAAGACCTTTTTCTCCGAGGGGAGGGGCGGCACTTTATTTTTTCTGGAGGTAGGAGCAGACATTGGTTAAAGTATATTATATTATTGTCTATATAAATTAGGAAATAGCCTATATTTTTCGGAGGGGGGGGGGGGGGTAATGGGCGTCAGAGTTTCTTCCAGACATCTCTTCGGGGCGAGTTCCCCCCCCCCCCCCCAAAGGAAAGTCTACCGAACCTCCCCCCCCCCCCGGAACGAAATGGAATTTATCTAGAAAATGTATACTTTTAACAATGTCCGCCGCCCCCCCCCCCCCTGGAGAAAAAAGTCTCGAAGAAACACAGATGGGCGTGCTCCGATGTAACGTATCATGTAATGATGCTGAATTATGTGACATTTAAAAATATTTTACTAGCGATACAATCTTACGACGTTATTTTGCATGTTCGACGGTGAAGCTACGTTGTAACATTAAAACTTCAATTGTAGACTACCTTTTTTTCCGTTTAAACATCAACATTTTATAACAGACGATGGTCTCGTTTTGCGGAATCAAAATTTTACTATCACTTACCAGTAATATCCACAAAATGACATGACGTCACAACGTACTAGACCTTGCCAAATTAACCATGAACAATGAAAAATAATGTTTTTAAAATCATTTTTTGTAATAATAAAAAGAAGAAAAATTAATTATTTCCCAGGCTTTCTAAGCCCAACTCCTCTTTAGACACTCTCCCTCCCCCTCGTCATGTTGTTCTAACCCCCTTCCCCATCCACCCCTGATCAAATTATTATAATTGCATAGGCCTATGTGTTTTATTAATTTAGATCTACGTGCATTTTATGCTTATTGCTGGTAAATAGAATTTTTTTGTGTATTGTTACAGCTCACGTTATTTACATACGCAAAAGTAGACTAAAAAATTTAACAACTCCGTTTTTGAGCTTCCTAAAACAATACGTTGAGAAACTAAGTAACTGGATATCTAGACTACCTTTATCAGCTAGCGATGTGAAGAATAGGAATGTACACATAAACGGAGTGTATAGAATCTAAATCAAATTAGCGGTTAGCAATAATAAATTACTGAAATTAATTTAGTTAGATCTAGATCTATAGACTAAATTTTTTTAGTGATAGAATCTAGATCTAGAATCTAGTAGATTCTTCTAGATTAGGGCCTAGTAGTTTTGTTGTTTATGTTAAGTTGGTTTTAGTTTTTATATTACCAGATTTGAGATTGGCCTATCTATCAGCAGATTACCAGACCATGTCCAATAAATCTGGTCTCCTTCCTCATAGTCATAGGCAATTTGTTTTCAATTTTTAAAAATGTTATTAATTGAATTAGATTCTAATTATGACCAGTCTAAATTTTAAAATTTGTCTTTTAGTGGCCCATTGTAATTGTCAAATCAGAATATTGACTCTAGCATGACAAGCACCAGAAAGCTAAACATTGTTTGTCCTGTCATAAAGCTGGCGCCGTTCCATGACCCCAATTTTTTAAAAATACGTGACTAGTTGCAACCTCTGAGCATGTGAAATCCAAGTTTGATGAGCTGGAAAGGGGAGGGGAAAAAAAAAAAATTTTTCTGGACAGAATACGCCTAAATTATAAAATACTGTCCTGGCTTTAACAAAGGGGTATAGTGTGTGATTTTTTTTTCTCTCATCAACAGTTTTTTTTTTTCTTCTTTTTAGTCTATTAATTATTTTTTTCAAATTATCCAGGCTGCAAACAAAACTTATTCAAAGGATTATATAGTTGAAATAATCAAACATAGTGCACAGACATGTCATAGTAGTGACTTCAGTTAATCACAAACTGCTGTTGAGGTTTATATTTATTTCACTCAAAGTGTGATTTTGAATTATAATTATAACTAAAAAGACTTGACTTATTCAGTTGTTATATTTAATAATTGCCAGCTTGGCTATTTTTTTTTTAAATAATATAAATAAATAATATTATAATCAACATATTAAATTTATAGGCTAAATGTCATTTAAATGAATTAAATGAAACTGAGAAAGGAATGTTGATCTAGAAATGAAATGTGGTTTTGAATATAAACAAGGTTAAAAGTCTGTATTATGAGTTGGAAACTGCTTATAAATATTGAAATGTTAATATAAATTTTATAAATATTTATATAGGTCCATAGAATAGTATAAAGATATGTTAATTTTAGGTATACATACAAGTGTAGCCATAACATTTTATTGTTCTATCAGTTTCTGTATTAAATTTTTCATTATATATGAAAAATTAAAGAAGGTATATGTATGCAGCTCTAAATACTAGATCTAGATCCTAATAGATCTAGTAACATTGTAAAACTATTATTTTGAATGCAGTAAAAGTAAAGATAAAGAAATTCATTAGATTCTACAACTATGAGTGCTGTTTTTATGTAAATTACTTTTATTCTTTTTGAAAACATACAGCTTTAAACTTTATATTTATCCTGCAACTTCTCCTGTTTTAATATGATTGTTTTTCTCCACATATTTTTAAAATTACTCTTGCATTTTTATTTAGTAATATTTACTGTCAACATGAGAAAGGGAAGCAACTTTTGTGGTTTAGCTCAATAAATTATAATCATTATGTTTTATTCAAGTATTTTCCAGCTCCGATCATCAGTTTTAATATTTACAAACAATTTTTCTAATCCACAATTAAACAATCACATTGACATTAGATCTTTATCAGAATAAAAGAATCAAGAATAGATTTTATATATATTATATATTTTTCTGTTATGCCTCATTGTGCATTGTGTCTGATACTTATATATAACTAATCACAAAACCTATCTATTTTATCTAAAAATGTGTTGAACCCTACTAATTATTGATAATTATTATAAAATAGTTGTATTTATTTTCTAGAAAAGTATTCAATCGTCCCAACATGTCTACACGACCTGAAGACTTGTTTAAAAGGGTTAGATCTCAGCTGGATGAAGAGGATGAAGAACCAGAAATCATTCAAGCTAGGCAAAAAGGCATTCCTTCCCCCTCTAAGTTGGCTATCTGTGGACTTGCCGGAATTGTGTTTGGCATTTCTATTGAGAAAGGAAGAGGTATGTTTTAGGTTTATCTAAACAAATTATGTAATTAACTTACACATAGTGTTATTAAGCATAACATCAATTTTATGGGTTGCTTTACCTTCTTTCTCTTAAAAAATAATTGAAGTTTGCATTTAATATATAAAGATGTCTGCTGATTAGGCTAACTACAGCAGCATTAGTGTTGAATGCTGCAAAGTTCTTTAAAAACATAAAAACAATTTATAATTTCAGTATTTGAACCACACATAATAAGGGAGCAAATGCTGTTTACTAATTTTACAATGCTGAAAATGTTTTTGTCAGCCTCTGCCACAGGTAATGTGAAAGTAAAACATGTCTTTATTTTATTTTTTACTAACACTTCTCAAACAAATCATATATATTTTATAACCACATTGCATCCAGTGTTTATTTCTAGAACCCATGTGTATCTACCTCTAGCTGTAAAAGAGCATGTTTTTATACCAATTAGCCATCCTCTTGCTCACACTTCTTTGATGGGTTGGCCTGTTTATCCTAACATTCATATAACAATATTTATGCATGTTTATTAAAAAATGTCTGAACAGGTATGCTGGTGTTTTCTGTTTTGATGATGATTCCTGCGACTTCACGGAAAATGGATCAAGCTATAAAAGAGTTTTTTTCATGCTTTTCTTCAAAGGGTGTTTTGGCAGCGGGTTTGGGAGGTGCTATGTTGGGCTGTGGCATGACTTTAGCTGGAGCGGTCAGTGTTTTTGTTTGTAGTTCATCACAGTAACTTTTGAGAGATTTTGCTCCAGTTTTTGTGGGTTTTTGTTTACAAATGTGTGGTAAAAGAATTCAAAATATTTTTAGTAAAGCTAGTCAGTCTGATGGTGTTCTGTGATGTTCACATGAGTATATGAAATATGTTTCACTGGGGTGCGAAGGTGGAAAACTTAATGAAAACTTGAGATTGGGGTTTTTTACATTGTAGAATTTTAAAAATGGCAAATCAAATATTCCCATATAAATTCGTATGTGTAGGGGAGAGCAATTATTACACCTCATCACAGTAAACTAGTTGGTTGTTTTTTAATACTATTCATTTCTTGTCACTTTTTTAGTGTCCTGGAATGGTTTTGGCTCAAGTGGGAGCTAGTGTACCTGATGCAAGTATGCTCATACATTTTTTAAAAATTTTTTTTAGCGTGCGAAAATTAATTTGGTTTATTTTAACTTAATTCTGTTAACATCATCCTCATCAATTAGCTGCATAAACTCACGCCTTAAAATTAAATGTAACTTGAAACTTGTGTCTGTGCCACTAAGATATATAATGTTTAAAATATTGAAAGCTTTTAAATTTTATGCCTTAATTTTTCAGTCCTTACAATGGTAGGAGGATTAATTGGAGTATATGTATATGCATTGACAAATCCTATTGTTTTAAAACTTTTCACACCCACCAGAAGATACAGATACAACAGGTATAACTTTCATTAGGCTTAATCTAATTGTTGCAGTAATTAATTACTATAAATAACTACTGCAATTACCCAGTGTCTAACATAATTTAAAAAAAGCTATACAGCTAACGTAATTTTGAGTTGTTAATTCATTAGATTACAATCCTGTTCATGTAACATATTTAAAATATTTTTCTTTGCATTTAGACATAAATAATAGTTTACAAATCTTTAAGTTTAAGGAAATAGTAGAGGTTATTTTGAATTTTCTTTTGTTTTTCAGTGTTGATGAATACTTAGGAACTCCATTTTTTATTATAGCTTGTCCTCTAGCTGCAATGCTGGGTCTAGCAGTATTTGCTTTTGAAGTAGTCTTTCCTTGGTACACTCAGGTAATTAAAAAATCTGATATTATGATGGTTTATGTTAAAAAAAAATTTTTTTTTCTCTTAAATTTGTGTGTACAATTAGGGTAAATAAGTTTCATTTAGAGCATAGAAAAAATAAAACATAAGCAGTATTGTGTGCTTTACATTGTTTTATTCAAGAGATAATTTGTTGAGTTCTGTGTGGCAATGTTTTTTAAAATCACAAATATATAAATTGTTGTATAAAAATTGTTTTCCTACTTAAGAACTCTGTTCTTTCAGTAACCAGTGTTCTATCATATTCTGTCTAGGTTGAACTTTCTGGTAGTGGAGTTTTAGGATCTCGGGCATGGCCTCCATATGTAGCTGGCATCCTAATTGGACTGCTTCAACTCCCTGTTGTTTTAACTGTGGAAGATACATTAGGTGTATAGAGTTAGAGATGCATATATTTAATTTTAAAAACGTGCTTACAGTAGTAGTTAAAATTGTGTAATGACTAAGGAATATTTTTTTAACTAGTTGATTTTTACTATTTAAATAAATTTGCCTCCAAGTTTAATCTAAGATTTAAAATGTCTTTCATTTCATAGATGAAATGGAAAAGAGATTTTTTTGTTTTGAAGAAGAGTTACTTACATGAATTGTAATTATTTAGGTTCAGGTACAAGTTATACAACATTGGCATCTCAGATCCTTATCATCAGACCTCTACAGTCTGTATTTGCATACCTGAAGAAGTATACCTCAGGTGTAGGGAACTGGTGGCAGGTGAGATAAATAATACTAGTCTTAGAAGAATTTTAAATTTACATATGGTGCAATTGGGGTTCATATATGTTTTACTACTGATAGTAATTCTAATTTCCTAGTTCATAAACATATTCCATTTTATGAAGCATATATATTTTTTGCTTGTTTCTAAATAGGTGTTTTATGTTTTTGGCGCTATTTTGGGTGCCAGGATTTCCGCCTCTGCATCAGGTACAATAGGAAGTGTAGAGGGTGTTGGACCTTGGTATAGTTTGACAGGAGGTTTTCTAATGTTGTATGGCTCAAGGTTGGCCGGTGGTTGCACAAGGTATGATTAACAATTACAATAATAGATTGTTTGTTGTTTGAGACATTGTACTAAGTCAGTCTTGCCTGATTGGAAAAGTTTTAAAATAAAGCTTTCTTAGTTCTCAGATATTGATAGTAAATTTCTAGTTCAATTTAAGTACTATTTTAAATGTGTATTATTAATTTTCAAGTGTGGTTAGTTTTAATTTTTAACAATTTAAAAAAAAATTTGTTTTAATCTATCTGTCAGGTGTAACCTCTTTTTATTTTCTTCATTATAGTGGCCACGGTTTGTCAGGTATGGGACTACTAGCTCTGCTGTCTTTTGTAGCAGTACCAACGATGTTTGCTGGAGGCATTTCAGTGGCTTTCCTCATGAAATATGGAATAGGTGTCAAAATGTGAAACTATTTCCAAAATGTATGGAAATATTTAGTTAACTGCATCCAAAATGATGTGTAAAAATGTTTCCATATTATTATACATATCAATAAATTAATGAACATGTGAACAAATATTTATTCCACTGTTTACATGTATGATGGTACCAAATTTTAACCAAAGTCATGACCTAATTTCCCACTTGGCTAAGATACAGCTGACTGCAGGCCATTGGTATAAAATTAGTTTTAGATAAACTTAAGAAAACTGTTTTACATATCTGCATTCTATAAACAAAGCAGTTGATTTTCATTTCCTAATCCTAGTCTCATAAGTAAAGAACTAAATGTATAAATCCCATTAGAAAATTTAAATTTAGCTTTGTGTCCTTCTGTTCTTGTGCTGTTAAGTACAAATCTGTAAATTTATTTCAAATTGTAAGATGTGATTGAAATATTTTCTAAGTTAAAACAAGAAATCCACTGTCATTTTCATAATTTTGTTATGGAATGATAAAAACCTACTGAATTTTGGTTAAACATTTTTTATACCATGGTGGTATCTTTTCTGGTTTCTTGTTATTCATGACCCTATCAGTGAACAAAGTGGCTAAATCTACTATGATTGCTAATAGAATATACCATGTTAGATTGTCATGACTAAAAGATCATCACTTTTCAAAAAATTTTGCAAAATCTTGCCGGTTCTACACAGGAATATTGGCTATATGAATGATGTGGTATGAGGAACCCAGCGAATATTAGCAGCACAATTTTATTTTTATGTTGTGTATAATTTATTTCAACAAAGTTCTTATATTGTAAGTCTTTTTTTTTTATTATTGAAGAATTTATGTGAAATGATTGATACCTAAAACTCTTATCAACCATTTCAAAATGGTTGTTTTGTTTGACAACTGATTTGTTACTTTCAGAATTATTTTCAGTAAAGGACTAAATGCTTAGTGTACAGTCATAAAATATTTCTATTGTGCCAGTGTACTTAGTTATACAGACTAAAAACTGTGATTTGTTATATTTTCAATTCCATTTTCCTTAGCATCTCAGGTTTTAACTGTTGTATTTATAAGTTTTCATATTATGAATAGTTTCATATTCAAATTTTTCAGAATGTCATCAATATTTGTAAATATTTATATAAATTAAAGCATTAATAAATTAAAGCCTTTTTTGTAGATTTTGTCAATTTCATAATGAATTTTATTAATTTCACATGATTGCACATAAATATAAATGGTTCTCACAGACTTGTAGCCCCTTACCCATGAAAGATCTTTTATTCAAAAATGAATCATCTTCATAGCAGACCTATTCAATTCACTTATTTTAAAAGCTTTTTTTTAAATTAAAATTGAACACAATTATTATTCTAGCTAATTTAGTTGGTAAACATTTGCAATTCTAGTAAAATATATGCATGAAGCAAAATTGTGCACAACTGCTTAATGCTATGCCTGCAAAGAGATAAAAACTATGACCCACACAGAAGAGAAGTTAACATCAACATCAAAACAATAGTCCCATAAAAACATTTAGGCATGTATAAAAATAAATACAAAATGTACATATTTGTGCGCAGAGAACTGAATTATTGTCTGTAAGACAGTTCATTAGAAACGAGAATAGCTTAAAAATTTGTTAATAAAATGTCTGAGATAAATTATCATGAACAGTAGGCTACTGCTAAAGTTTTTAACTGATCCTTAAGAAAATATTTTCAAAATGTAAAGAAAAACATTTAAATATGGTTATACTCATTTTTACACTGAACTTTCTAATATCAGTTGCTTTGTCATTGTCATAAAATGTAAAAAATTAAATTTTTTTTAGCTAGTAATAGAGTGATGGATTTTTAGAAATGGTCTTTAACTATATACATAGCACTTGTTTCTGTTTTAAAAAAACTGCTGCTAAACAAAATATCTAAGCAGATGCAATAGCTATGTACATTACAACCCAGCAGAACTATTTTATAAAATAAATATTTAATATATTCCAAAAGTAAGGCTCAGCAAATAATGAATTCCAACAATATATATTTTAATTAAAAGTTTATAATTTAAAAAATTATTGTACAATATGAATAAATAAAAATTATTTGATTACTGTAGATAAGTGAAACATAGAATTTAAAATGTGTATGTTTAAAATAATAGATTGGTAATGTAATTTCAAAATGTGAACATAAAATTAATAATCTATTTTGTGGATAAAACATAGCTATCATTAACATTAAAATATAAGTTGTTCTTTATCAGTTAAAATGTACTTTAGTAATGAGTGTTTAATCTTTTTGCTTTGTCCTTACTTTGTAATTTCATCACTTTAAAAATCAATAGGCAAATTAATGTATTTTGTACAATATTTACAATACTTTTTAAATGTTGTCAATACTAAAACTAAGCGTAACTAATAATACATATATTGAGTACTATTTTATTTCAACCATGGTAAAATTTCAATATTGCTTTTTTAAAAACTACTCACACAATTCAAATGAGAGAAAAATTTTACTAACAGGAATTTTCTCCTGTTAGAAAATAAAATAATGCCAATATCACATTTCTTTCATGTAGATTATTATTATATGTAAACATGAAATATACAGAATTAAAATTTTAAACCAACTAAAACCAAATGCTATTATCCCCAAAAATGAATCTGCCATGATATTCAAAATACTACAGTCTGTGCACTCTCAAAATAAATGTTATGAATCTGAAACATTGGCATATATAACACCAGGTTTTCTGGCACTCTTTCTCACAGCTATTACTGGACTTTTCATACCTCCACTGGCGCTAGGTCGAATCAATTTGGCAGCAACAGTTGTTTCTGACACAGGATCTGAGCATTGACCACTGATACCTTAGTTAATAATAAAATTATTGTGATTTATTAAAAAAAATTTATTAAAAACAGGCAAAGTAAAATATTTTAAAACTTTTTTTCTAAAATTGCATTGGTAATGAGAACAAGTTAACAGAATGAAGTTTAATCCTTGTACAAGGCTAATAGTTTTGATAAGTAGGATAAGAGTAATTCTAAACATAGAGAAGATTTAGCATATTCACGAAATCTAAGATATATAAGTGCGTTGTTACATTAAAATATTTATAAATCAAGAAAATAAAAACATAGTTTTATATTGATGCAATTTACAAATTAGTGAAGTATGGATCCAATGGGTTGTTTTATTAGCATACAGGTTTAGTCGTTAAAATAAACAGTAACATTATTTTTATCCTTGTAAAATACCTTCTATGCTTGTAGAACTTTTTGGTACATGTCTTCTGCGCTTGAATTCCACTCCGTGTCCATTGCTGTTGTTATTTGTATTGTTATTACATGTGCCTGGCAACAATGTGCCAGGATGATGACCCTGCATTCTATTCCAATGCTCCCTGTCCTGGAGAAATTTCCCAACGGTATACCTTGGCATCTATTAAAAAACAAGATCAATTAATAAGTATGCACTTATATTCTTATAAATGGTTTTTAGTAAAAAAAAAAAAAATTGTAGAAACAATGCTCAATCAGCATAAATTATTTCAACAGACAAAAATGTTGACCCACTTTGCCTTTCAGCTTTCTTCTGCCTAACCGAATTTCCCGGCCAGTCTGTAGATGCATGAAAAGAAAGTTTTAAATTACGCACTTTTAAGCAATTGAGATGAGACAAACTTTTTAAAATTTTGTTTTAAATAAGAAAATACATAGTTTTTTTTCTTCTGCAATGTCTTGGGTAAAGTAAGGTTGCATGTTAAAATAGTTAAATAGATATATACATAAACACACAATGAAATGAACATTTATAAATAGAAAGCTATTTAGATATAAATAGATGGAACATACTTCCATTTAATTGAACATATTACACACAATTTACAGATGTTAGCACAAAGTGATCTTTCAAAAGTTGGAATTTAATGATACCAAATCCAATTTTAAATTAAGGTTTTTTAACCCTTTACCTGCCGGGGCAGCAAAACAATTTATTTCCCCCTACTTCCACCCGGACTAAAAGATGACACATGTTATTATGCCTGAGGTTAAATAGCTTAGTTATTTACTAATAATTAATAAAAATAGCACTGGTCCCAGAAATAAGTACACAAAACACAACTTCTAATATTATTTCTATAAAAAAACTTATTTCAAATGCTAAAAACAAATTTCAATTTAGTCACTGCAGCTACTTTCTTTTTCAATTGCTAAAATATTAATAAAGCCTGATTCAATGGCAGAGGCATTTTAATTAGATTTAATTTCACTAATTATACTGCCAGTAATTTTGAGAAAAAAATTCTTAACTTTAGAAAAATCATAGAAAATGAACCACTAGTGATAGTACGAGAAAACAACGTTAAACAAAACATATTTCCGCTTCTGCCAATATCATCAAAATCTTGTTACAAACGAGACTTCTAATACTACGCACAAATAAACATACTATACATGGTAGGGCGACCGCATCAACGCACTGTATCACACAGAAAAATTCTCTGGCAACCACGGGTGCATAGGCTTGAAAAGGGTTAATACAGGTATGAAAATTTCACTTATTACAGAAGTTATTCCACTTGTGAAACTGATATTTCCCCCTCCCCTGTGAAAATGAATCTTTATGTGATGACATTTATTACCCCCGACAGAAGACGCCCCATTCTGGCTTTAAAACTTTGATTAGAGAACTTAGGGAGATGCGCAAATGTTCCTGTTAGTATTTTTTCAAAATCAGAATCAATTTGCAGAGGTTCATCTGTTACCCTTTCATTTTCCCACCATGGTACAATATCTGGGATTCCACATGCAGGTCCTGGCTCATGAAAGAAGTCACTTTGTTCATCATCAGCTGGAACAGCATTAATTCAACTTTTAGTATATTACAGTATTTACAGGTAGAAAAATTTGAGCAATTAATACAAATTAATTGAACTACGATGATAAATAATTTGAGTGTTCACTGCGAGCAAGCTATGATGTTGTTTCAAATTGGATATCTGCTAAAACTGTTAATATCGATGAATGAAAAGAATTTAGTTCAAATAGTAAAACAGTGTAGTACAGTGAAGTCACTCACCTTCTCTTGCATCTTCATTGTTAGCATTTAAATCACTGTCAAACTCACTACTGCTCAGAGAACTCTCTCTGTAAGAAAGATTCAATTATATATGATAAAAAACAGGACTATATGGAGATAATAATGTATAATTAATATGCTAAGCTTTGGGAGAAATATAACAAAATAAAATCAAGAAATTTTTTAAAATTAAGATCCATATAAGTAGTATTAATAAATAATGACTAGCGCTCAAATAACAAAATAAAAATTATTTGCAAGTTACAACAGCATATACAGATCAAACGATATTTCAAAATGTTTATCTGAATGTATTAAAATCATTACTTATTTAAAACAATAAAATAATCAAGTGAACTTCAAGAGAATTCAGCTATCACTTACTGAGAAACACTAGCAACTTCCATCCTATCCATATTCAGAGAAATCCCTTGATGTGGAAAATCACTATAATTATAATCTGTACGGCTTTTGCTGCTTCGTTTTCTTTTCCCAGCAGTCACCGCATGAGAATGAGATGTACTATACATTGAACTAGACACAGGGCATCTTAGTCCAGAGAAGCTTGCTTTATCAACAGTAGTGCTTGGTGATTCCTCTTTCCTTTTACCAAACTGTCTGTCCCCTGAGGCTGAATCAGCATCAGAAGGAATAGGATCAGTTAGAGGTGATGAATCCACTGCCATAGTTTTAAATTTTCGTCTTCTCCTCTGAGGCCGAAGAGGAGAGAGATTTTCTGTAAATGAATCTGATTCTACCGGAGGAACAGAATCAACTATGGGAACTGTCAATTTTGGAATTCGCTGACAAGCTGCCAAATCATCTGAATCACTATGGATCACATTCCCAGCATAGTCTCTAATCGGATGCTCATCAATGCTGCTTTCTGAAGCTTCACTTATAGTTCCTCTTTTCCAGTAATAGCTATTGGCAGAAGGACGTCTGATTCCTCTACGTTTTTTGACATACCTTCTTGGATAAGTGCTAGAGTTTGCCCCTTCAGTCTGAGATGTTCCAGGCCTGCCTACAGTTGCTGTTTCTTCCAAGGCAGTGGTAAGATCTTGCACCAACTCATCCATTATAAAATTACGTTGTGCATAAACTTTTAAGTTTTCAAAATCTTTAACAATATTGCTCTCCATCGGACCTCCATAAAGTTCTGAGAATGTGTTACAATTTGAATGAGCATTATTATTTAGTATTTTAATTTAGGTGAAACTTTTGTTTTTCATTTTTTTTTTGTCTCTCAAAAATTATTTGTAGCATATTCATAGGTCTATAATACTATAATATAGAAATTTATGCTTTTTATAGTATAGTAATTTAGTAGGCCTAGTAAATTTAATTGAATTTGGATGTAATAATAAGTTGTTATTAGTAATACTAATTAGGCCTACTTAGTAATTTACTAATTAGGCCTAATTGATTAGGCCTTAATACTAATTAGGTAAATATCCATTTTAGCGTATTTTATTCCCCGCTTCACGTTCACCTCCAGTTGAGCGTATTTTATTATAAACACAACTGAAACACACAAAAACGTTAGGAAAACACTAGATCTACTTATTTTTTTATGAATGTGATTTTTAATTAGAAAAGGTAAAAAAAAAACATAAAAAAGCATTAGAACTGTTCCAATTAAATATCGTGTGATCGTCAGCGGTAGAAAATTCCTTACACAGTCGCGGGTTCACCGTGAGTTCACATTGACTTTAATTATCAGCATACGTCATAGCTCGGGCAATAGCTGTTTGAAATTGTGTTGGCCTCAGTTTTGGGGTCATTGTAAGTTCATTAGGCCTAATGTTTATTTATAATATCATGCCTGGAGTTTTACCTACTAATTATTAGTACTATAGGGCCTATTTAATAAATAGTAGGCCCTATTTATTTATTACTACTGCTATTAGTATTAGACGGGCCTACACACAACTACACAGACTACACTCTACACACACACTCTTGTCTTAGCTTAGTTAGTCAGAGTCTTCTACTTCTACTCTTCTCTAAGGTCTAAGTCTACTAAGTAAGTAAGTAGTAAAACTAGATCTAGAATCTAGATCTAGATTAGAAGAGTATAGATCTAGATTCTAGATCTAGTAATAAACTTAAAACTACTAGATCTAGATCTATAATAAAAAAATATAAACTAACTAGATCTAGATCTAGAGTTCTAGAGATTAAGAGATTCTAAATAAAAACTACTCAACTCGTAATCGCTAGACTGCTAGACTAGACTTCTAGTCTAGTTTTATCATTTATGAATATATAGAAGTCTAGACTTAGATCAGAGAAAGTGACTCAGCAGCTAAATCTAGATCTACTTACTTGGCTCATTTCATGAAAAAAAAACCTATTATTTTTAAAAAAGCAAAACGAGTGCTAGATCTAGATTTAGATCTATATTTCAGTGTATCGACTTAACACCATTCATTAATCATTAATCGCCATATTGATATTTTGTATAGTCGTAAGCGAGATTCGTATTCGATATTATCATATAGAGTCCTTTCATATGACGTCACGTCCGTTCGTGATACCTACGCCCGCCGCCACAGTGGTGTACACAAGATGTAAACACAATCAGCTGTTCGCCAGCGCTGGACGTGTTTACCAGCGCTGGACGCGTTCACTGTATGTAAAGAACCGCACCCGCGGAAAAGGAAAAATACGTTAAAAAACTTGAACTCTTAGGAATTGAAGATCCTTATACTGTTATTGACAGTTTCGTATAGATAAATATGTGGACAAAATTTCTAAATAAAAATACTGTTAGTAATACTGTTTGCGTTTAGAGTTAAAGTAGCCGAATCTGATCAAATGCAGTTCTCGATACTTTGTTTCATGTAAGGACAGTAAAATAATGAACTTCATTTTAATTATAAAAGATAACTATTAATAAAACAAGTATGCTCGACCTTCACAAATACTAATAGTAAAAGACAAAGTCAAAAGTAATAATAAGAATAATAAGATCTAATAGTAGGCCTAATACCTGGCTCCGCTGGGTAGACATAGAATCTAGAATCTACTTCTTTACTTAAATTTAATTACTTTAGATCTACATTCGATTCAAAATACACCCATACTAAATCAAAAGTAGTCATAATAGGCCTAATAAAGCATTTAATTGTCTCTAAGATCTAAAATCTCGCTCTATCATCTAATCATTTTTTTAGCAAACGAAATTTTCTGAAATTGAAATAGATTATATGACTAGACTTAGATCTAGAATCTGCTACTTAAATTAAATTGTAAAACTTTATACAAGCATGTAGTTGATATTATTGTAGTAGAAGGCTTTAATAAATTACTAAGGCCTACCTACTTTGTTGTCTTTTTACAGCAATATGTATCTGATACTGGACTGAGTTTAATTAAATTCAAATTCATATCTAGTAATTGGTCTACTAAGTTTTTGTAGCCTAGTAGTACAATCTAGATCATACCAGCCAACAACAAATAACCACATTATTATTATTTGGTTAATGATTAGGCTAATTTTTTTTTAAATTCACTGTTTATAAAAGAAACAAATCAAGCTAGAAACATTATAAGTGAGATGGTTTAGAATAATAACAATGGACCCAGTCTACAATTGATACAATTGCAGGTCTACATAGGGCCTACAGTCTAGTAGTTTACAGTAGGCACCTAGTGTGTAGCTAGTATACTAGTGTGTAGCTGTCCAGAGTTAAGATTCTTAATGCCTTAATGCTTTCCCCTGATAAGCCGTGTGTGCTATAAATGACATAACATGACACCGAGGTGAGAAGTGTTGAGGGGAGAGCAGTGGGACTTTCTCCTTTGTTCTCCCTGCTGGGCCCTGAGGGTCAAAATTATATAAGAAATACTATCTCTGTGGGGCTGGGTATCACGGAGGTGAGACATTTTCAGGGGAGGGCAGGGCAGACTCCTCTTTGGTTTTATTGTGGGCTAGATACAGGTGGGGGCAGCCATTATGAGGGTTGAACGTCAGTATTAATGTGTCTGATTACTTCCCTGCTGGATTATAAGGTCTTAAATTGTATAACATGCTACCCAGATTGGTTATTACCCATGGATTATATTAGCCGTTGTAGTGTGGGTTTTGTAGGAGTTAAGTGGTCTCACGTTTGCTACAGTAGATAACCTCTAATATATTACTGCATTTGATCAGCTTCGTCTACTTAAACTCTAAACGCAAACGGTATTACTAACAGTATTTTTATTTAGAACTTTCGGCCACATATTTATATTATCCACGAAACTGTCAATAACTGTATAAGGATCTTCAATTCCTAAGAGTTCAAGTTTTTTAACATATTTTTCCTTTTCCGCGGGCGCGATTCTTTACATACGGTGAACACGTCCAGCGTTGGCGAACAGCTGATTGTGTTTACGTCTGATGTACACCACTGTGGCGGCGGGCGTAGGTATCACGTGATTTAGGTCACGTGTTTGCAAGGACTCTATTATTTAATAGTCGAGTTTGTGTTATGCATTTTGTATATTTAATAGTCAGCTAAAACTTTTTAAATTTTTTTCTTTTTAATTTTGGATTATTACTAGAATACCCGTCATCCGTTGGATAACTGTGGGTTTCGGGGGTCATCCATCAAAAAACATCACGTCTGTCACTCAGAGGCATAGCGACCCTTCCCGGCGCCCAGGGACAAAGTTTTCGATTTGAACCCCCCCCCCTCAAACTTTTGATGTGCACCCCCCCCCCACTCAAACTTTCGATTTGAACCCCCCTCAACCTATCAATTTATTTTTCCAAACCATTTTGGCGCCCCAACATATGTCCCCCCCTCTTCCCCCCTCCACCTCCCCACCCCCCCTTCCCCCCCCCCGCCTCCCCTCCCCACCCCCCGCCTCCCCTCCCCACCCCCCGCCTCCCCTCCCCACCCCCCGCCTCCCCTCCCCTACCGTCCCCCCCCCCCCTCCTCGGTACGCTACTGCAGTGTCACTTATCGTCACAAAAAACAGACCCCACATTCAAAAATATGTTTCTTATCTTTTAAAAACACCGAAAACACCGATTTCGGACTATTCCTTCATATACTGACGTCACAGGTGACCTACTCAACTCTACTTCACCTGCCCAGTGTCCTGTCAAGTCTCAGACAACATGTTTTTATCGTTTAAAAAACAATTCCAGCCGAGCATGTATCTGACCACACTATCCTTTCATATGCTTAGGACAAAGAAACAGATGAACTCTACTTCACCTGCCCTGTATCTTGCCAAGTTCAGATAGGCAACGTTATCATTCACATCTAAAAAAAAAATTGAAAAAAAAAATGTCATTGACATATTGGTCTAGAACCCGTGCCTCCTGCATGAGAGCTGACTACGCTACCATTTTAGCTATTTACTCGTGACGTCACAAGTGAATTTTTATACTATACTATGTGTCTCCTTATGCAACTTGATTTACGCGTATAGATTCTAGATCTAGATCTAAAAATAAGTCTAGTAGTACTAACTTTCAAATTAAATTTTATCTTAAATAAGCCAAACAAAGATTTATATAAAATAATTAAGGCCTGAAATAGATTCTAGATGTAGAATTTACATTGAATCTAGTGACCTACATCTAGGCTAGATCTAGATCTAGGCTAGATTCATAAATTTCCTTCGATAGCTGATCTTTAGATCTAGAGAAATTTATCGTAAAACTAAATGAAAAAGACAGTTGAAAATTGATATAAGTGTTGGAACGTAATAAATACAGCAAACGGACGTATTGTTAAAGTTATGACCGACAGAAAATTAGATTTAGAACGCGTTAAACTTTTGAATGGGAACACAATTTTCTTCAATAGACGCCGCCATTTTATTGTACTAAAGAGTAAACAAAAACCTGTGACGTCACTATTCCCACAAAGTTTAGTCAAGGTTTTAACATTTTAAAAAAAAATGGGTTATTCTGCGTAGGAATAAATCAATTAATTAATTAACGTCTTTAAATAAATTTGTGATCAACAGTCTGTCTGCATTAAAAAATTATTCTCTACCTGCATACCATTTTACAGCTTTCCAGATAGAGTCGAACATATCACAATTTTCGATCAGGCAAACAAATAAATATTCAAACATGTAAACAAACTTGACTTTTAGTAGTATATAGATTATGACTATATATAGATCTAAATCTAGATCTGGTTTAGAAGAGAGATAAATAGGATGGTAATCGGGTGTGGGGTTTTTGTTTTTAGGTATTTCAACCTCCCCAAAAAATACAAGTCACAATACATTCTAAAAACTATGTAGATCTATTTAGTGTTAACTACTTGATATATTAGACCAGATGTGTAGCGAGGGCGGCGCGGGGGGTGCGGACCGCACCGGGTGACACAATTTAGGAGGGTGACACCATGCCAAAAAATGCAAAATGTACAGAAGAAAGATGCTTTTTGCCATTTCCTTAATGATTAATTAAAGTTAAATAGTCTTTTAAGTACAAAACGACAATTATTATAAGTGTGTGCTGGGGTGACACCATGACGTAAACGTGCTAACTATAGAGAAACAATGTTACATCCAATTGTATTATTAACAAATTATGGAGTTTATAATATTTAAATTTGTATAAGCTAATTGCTTTAAATTATTCATCGTACCATTTTCTATGGCAGGAATTTTGCAAATTAAGTATTTAAAAAAACCAAAGGCAAGTTTACAATAGTTACATAAAATTGCTCTAAAGGGGCCGTCCATAAATGACGTCACACTCGTAGGGGGAGGGGGGTTCGTAATTTTGTGCCCGTGTGTGATGAGGGGGGGGGTTCAAATTGTTTGACGTCACATTTTTGCATTATTAAAAAAAAGCAATGCTAGAAAACGAGTTTTAGCCGTTATTTCGGGTTTTAGAAAACGGTTTTAATAAATTGTAATAGGAATCGATCAAAATACTCTATGTTGACAGAGTTCTGACAAGATTTTGGGAAAATATCGATGTTTTAAGAAAAACTCATCAGCAATTTTGAGGGGTGGTTGTAGGCTGAGGTGTGATATCATTATGGGGGGGGGGGGCTGGCTTTTTGTGACGACGTATGACGGATGGGGCCAACTTTCAAGCCATTCCGGAAAGGTTTGTCGGCGCTTTTTACTGGTCATTGGCTCTTAAGGAGCCGCCCCCGTACCTCTGTCCTAATACTCTATTTAAGAATAGTTAATGCACTTGAAAAGCCAGATTTAGACATAGATCTAGTTAGTTTTAAAATGTTTAGTTACACTTTGACCGCTTTGCTAGCTATAGTTTACTACAAAAAATATATAAATTAGGTATTCAGCCAACTTGCTACATTGTTTTTTAAACCGTGGGGCGTATATCGTGATTATTTAGATGATGTTGGTCACCTTCTGTTTACGATTCTAAAGTAGTTATTACGAGTATTGCTAATACGATACTACCGTTAGAAACCAAGGTTGTTTCAAAATGGCGAACGTAGGCGACAAGCAAAGAAGAATACCAATAACTAATAAACTTGGTAAAACGCTGTTTACAAACAGTGAGCCTAGGTATTTAATATTTGCTGTAAATATCTTGTAGTTATCATTCAATCAATTACTTTTTACTATCATTTTTGTTTTGTAATACTATTAATTTTTAAAGTAGATTTATACTAGATCTACTACTACTACTATAGATCTAGTACTTGTCTTGTAGTACTACTACCACAGACTACTAGATCTACATTCTACTATATCTACTTTATACAGTAAACTTTACAGTTACACTTTACAGACTTCACAACTATTATATTATAAAAATAAAATACTATAACTATATCTATGTTATAATTTTTAAATATTTTATTATTATTAATATTTTAATAATATTAATATTTTATATTTATTAGGCCTATATTTTTGCTTAAAACTTAATATCTAAATCTGAAATCATAATAAAAAGGATAAACAAAATATATATTGTATTATTATGCAAGTTTCCAAATTTTCATAGCTTACCCTAATTCAAGCCCTAATGTAACCTTAATTTACTAAACCTGATATTACAGTACATCACTTACAACAACCTAATACACCTATTTTTGAAACAGTACATTTTCAGACACTAGTATTACTAAAATTAATTTAGTTATATCCATGAAATTATGGCATGATCCATTTTAAAATTCAAACTGGCTTTTATTATTAAATTTCTGAAATAATGTGCTATACACATTTCCTTTTTGTTGATTTGTGAAAATTAAAATAATTTTTTATATAACATCACAATTTTGAAATTTTAAAATTAAATACTTGAGTGTGGATTATCAGTGTTTCCCATTAATTTAAAGTAGTATAAAATGGAGGTATTTTTTGTTTCCACAGGATTCCAGAGTATTCAAGATCACATCCAATTATTCCAAAGCTGTATGTACAAGACTGGAAAAAGGACATGGCTAATAGAGATTTAATCACTAAGGTTATTATTAAGTTTGAATATCCTCACAAAAATATTATCAAATCGGAATTAGGAGAAAAAAATATAATCTTCAAACTCCAATTTGCTTTGACATAATTATAAAGTTGTTAGGGTGAGTCATTGAGAATATGGTGTACATTTTGCTGATATATTTTTCCAAATGTCACCTCTCCATCCATTGTTAATGAACACTTTATATTCCTTCTATTGTTCAAGCTATTCAAATCTCCTAAAGTAGGATGAAAATGTCCCTCATTTATTTTTAGCCATAGAGCTATTATATGGTTTTTTTTTACCTCAAGCTGAGTGGTTTATTAATGTTTAAAGTATTTTAACTTAGTAATTATTTTCAGATTTATATCTCTGAAACTTTCAATATACGCTACTTATATATGCACGTGTTACCATTTTTTCTTGATTTAGAATGCATACCTTGGAGGCATCCCAAATTATGAACATGATGAAAACCTTTTTCTAGAAAAGAGAGAACAAACGCACTATAATGTTGAAGAATGGAACAGGGTTCAAGAAAAATTAACCATTCCACCTCGAAGTGAACTACTACGTCCCGATTTTCATCATGAAACATCAAAATACCAGAGTGAACTTATGTTCAGAAGAGATTCAAGCGCAATTTGAGATAAATTGCTACTGTATTGAAAATGTTTCTAATTTAAAACTAGTATAAATGTCAGCACCAACACAACTTTGATATTGTTTTTAAATTTTATTTAAACCAAGATATTGGTTTTTATATATACAACAATTTCATATATCATTTGTGTTTTTATTTTTTTTTATACATGATGAACCTTTACAATTCAATTTTAGTTGTAAAAACATGTTTATACACCATCAGTATTAAAGTGCATTGAAAAACATTTTTTTAATTGTTTTTTCATACTGTACATTTTTGCAGTCAAATTTAAAATATTTGTCTTGTGGCTGGTTTTCTTACAATTGATGGTAAAAAATAAAATGGCTGAAGATCAAGAAGAGAAAAAACATAATCTAACGAAAAAATTTGGAGGATAAAGCAACTAAATATACAAGACAAAGGTATTACTTGCATTCTTCTTGTGCATATAATTATTAAACAAAATAACTTGGTACAACAGCTGACATAAATTTGTACCAAACTAAAATAAAGACACGTCTTCTAAAAATGAGTTTGCTTTTCCGTTGATGTTATTTTACCTGAAAATTTAAAAAAATGATGAGCCTCTTCATAGTTTTTCTTTTAAGCAGGTTCATAATAATATAATAAAATAACATGTTTATTTTAATCTTAAAACTATAACTGAAATTTCTTTTTTTTTTTAAAGCAGTAAAATGAAAAAGTTTTTTTTTACCTTATGCTAATTATTTTGCTACTCATCATCAGAAGAGTCATCACTATCACTAATTTCAACAAAGGAGTTTACTAGACTGTTCATAACAAAGTTGTGTCCTGAGAGACTTATAGCATTACCTGGTGAAACAACTAGAGATAAATTTCAAAAAGTTATTTGTTTACAGTTTTAAAAACTGTTAGCCTCATTAAGAAATTGAGTTTAATAAAGAAAATCTTATAAACTGAAATATAAAGTTAAAAATTTTAATAATAATCCAGTTAGTGTGAAACATTTGCAACAAGTAATATTCAAATCCACAAAGAACAAACATGTTCTTAATCACTGCATACAAAACAGAGACAAAAGAGAAACAACACTCATACAGCTGTTTTTAATTTTAACCTGCACAATTTTTTTCTACAGCACCAATGTAAATTTTTAAATATTGAATACACACATTTTAACACTATAATTTTCAAGTTTATCTTATTTACTAATTTTTCATGGGAAATTCTAATTTTCTCTGGGTGCACATAAATTTGCTGATACATTGAAGTAGCTCTAAAGTGTTCAGGCTTTATATTTACAACTAGGAAAACTTTAAAAGGTGTAGGTTATATAATAATGCTACCTTTTTCTGGTTCGGACTATGTAAGAACATTTTTAGTAAATACATTTTAATTAAATGTTGGATTAATCAATCATATTTAAACTTTTATTAACGGACACTAATTAACAAAAAATGTACTCCCAAGCATTAGATTAAAGTAATTTTGCTGAATTAGTTTTTTAAATGACTTTTCATTCCCTAATTTTGAAATGTCTATTGGTGTGTACACCTTGAAATAAAAAAACATTACCTTTTTTGCTATTCGTTTTTGAGCATATTTTTAAAATTAAAACTAAATGACAAAAAGTGAGTTATTTTTATATAGTTCATGATGTCTTTTTTTTGTTGTGGGATATGGCAAATATTGTAATTTAATTTTGACCCACTTCTAATGCAATCAGTTTGTTTCCAGTGACAATGCAAGAATATCTATTTTTTAAATCTAATCAGACATTAGTTAGTCATTAAAATGTAATCTAAATGTTACTAATTTAAAGTCATTAATTAGAGGGAAGATAACAAGATTAAATACTAGCGAGCACTTTATCAGCTGGCAGTTGACGGTGAACTGGGTTTTTTTCACGTCTGAGTGATTTATTTGCCTGAGCATCTGTTATGCAATAAAAGGAGAAGGTAGTTGTCTTTTAGAAATTGCAAGCTGATAGCACAACATGTAAAAAATAACAGTAATCCACCTTCTACTAGGGGTTATCTATTAAATAATAATGTTAATATTTTTTAAACAATTGTCTTGTCCATCCCTCTCAAAATTTGATATTATTTAAGTTAGTCAAAAAGACACAGAAGGGGGGGGTTCTAAAAAGATTTTGTGAAGTCATGTCTCTGGCTTTTTTCCTGACCTGCCTATTGTTTATTGTGTTCTAGGGATTCAAGCTGAGTCATATTTTGATAAGCGGGTCAGCTTACACAGTGGGTGTCCAATCTGTTTTATTTTGAGGATTTCAAATTTAGCAGTAATTAATGGTATTGCAGAGTATGTTATTGAACTTCTCCTTCCTCCAACCCAATGAAGGATTACATGTCAACCTGTTATGCGATATATAGACTGTTGACTCTGATTTCAGCCTAGTTTTAGTCCTGCATTTGCTTCTATAGCCTTTGTACAACCTAGAACAAGAGAGCAGTCATTTAAAATTAGAGTTTTCTTTGCTAGATGGGTTGATATCCTCAGCTATCAAGCCATCTGCTAGCAGGTTCTAACTCAGTACTTTTTGGTTTAGCTACCATGAGCTTTACTAACCCTATCATGTGACTCAGCTATAAATAATTGTACAGATGACACCCAAGTTTTAGAGGTCAGCTGTACTGCAGTTGTTTAATAGCAATAATGAATAGCTCAGCAAATGAGGTAAGTAACAGGTATGATGCAATTTGTAGTGATTACCAAAACAAATTAGGACAAACTCTGAGGAAAATAAGACCTAACATTAAGATAAGTATGTTTTGCCCTTTGAACACATATTAAACTAAAACATCCATTTAAAGTGAAGCACTAGTTAGGAACTAGTGAACAATGTATTCTTTTTTTGATTTTTTTTTGTATTTTAATTTGTTCATAAGGTATTAATTTTTTTTAATCCTTAATTCTTTTAATTTTTTAAAATATATTTCACCTTTCAAGTCTAATTACATGTTCTTTTAAATCTTTGAAAATATTATGCATTTAATGCATTGCTACTGAGAGTATGGTTCCATTGGAACAAACACCTCCCTTTCTTTTAAGGACCAGTGATTTCAAATGAAACTGAACTGGATTTAGTTATTACTTTTTTAAAAATAAAATATTTTAATAATGCCCTTAGCATACTACGGTATGTCGGTCTTTTAATATGTGTGAGGCACTAGTTAGATACTAGTGAATTATGCATTCTATTGTTTTTATTTTAATGTGTTCATAAGGTATTATTTATCCTTAATTCTTTTAATTTTTTAGATTATATGTGTGATTTCACCCCTCAAGTCTAATTACATGTTCTTTTATATATTTGAAATTACTATGTGCTTAATGTAGAGTATGGTTCCATTGGAATGAACACCTCCCTCAATTTTAAGGACCAGTGATCTCAAATGGAACTGAACTGGATTTAGTTAATTTTTTTAAAGTAAAATATTTTAATAATGCCCTAAGCATCCAACAGTATGTCAGCATATGCTGGAAAGTAACAACCGCTACCAGTACATCACTGGAACCTTCCCGAACTAAATGCTTGTAAATGATAAAAGGCATCTATTGGCCCAACACCATCTCCAATGATGAGTACCAGAAGAAATGGAAAATGAAACAGTTTCAGAAATTATCGCAAGAGAAGATGGTGCTGAATGGGGCACGTTTTAAGAATGAATCCAGATGACATCACAGGAATGGTACTTAACTGGACACCTCAAGGAGAAAGAAAATAGGGAAGGCCAAGGGAGAGAGGCACAGCTGAAAAGTAACTTTCAATGGCTGAACTATCTTGGGGGACTGCCAAGAAAATTGTCAGTAACGGTCAAAAGTGGAAAGAGCTTTCTATAGCCTCCCCAAGTGTCTTGGGCACAAAAGAAAAAAAAAAGATGAGGAAAATATTTTAATGGTGGTCTTTACATATCTATAAACAAATTATAACACAAAAAATAATGTGATCCAAGATAAAAATAGGTTAAAAACATTCTTAAGACAGTCTTATTTTGTTACATTATATAAAACAAAATTATCATTAGATTTATCTGTTACTTATATTCTACTTGTATTCTGTTTCATTTATAGTCTCTGCTTACAAAAGAGCTAACTGCTGTTAATGGTTTATATTTTTAACTTCCCTAGAATTAAAATTGTTACAAGATAAGTTAAATTATACACGGCCAATTAAAATTTTGTATGACAAAATAAGAATTGGAAAATGTAAATAAATTTTTAATAATATCAATAACATAAATAACATAGCAGGTCCTGAGTAACAAAACATTGCGATTCAGAAGTATAACTTCAGTTATATAATCAAAATGTATCAAGATCAACAATCTAAACCTCATGAATAAAAACAAGGTTGTTTTTTTTAACTTATTATATTCTGTGGTTTAAATGTTTTGATTATCAGAACCGCATGACAACAAAATCATGCATCTATCATTAGTTTAGTTTTGACTACCTAAAGAAACTCCATTGTATGTTGATGTTGTGGGTGGGTGTTGTACAAATGGCATTCGAGTTACTGTCCATTGCCTTGTTCCTCTAGTCGCCCGCCTTCTTGCACCACGACCCCTTGGGGCTGTTGATGGACCTGCTACTATTGCTTCAAATTTTTCTTGTTCAACTGAGAAGAAGTATTAAACCATAAACTTCAGACATACTGGTGCTCTGAGAAACAGGCTATAAATTGTTTTGTTAAAAATACTACCCTGCACTTAATCATCTATTTAATACAAATTAACATTCAAACAAAACAATGATAAATTGCAAAGCAAAAAACACATGGCTTACTTTTTCTTTGATCAATCAATGTTTTTCTCTGTTTCTTAAGATCTTCACTGAGCTGTTCAACCATTTTATCTATATAATTATCTAGGGCTAAGGCTTGTGTTTGAGATGTTATATATGTACGACAATTAGGGCATTCTTTTTTCATTTTCGTCCATTGACTGATGCATAATTTGCAGAAAACATGGGAACAATTTAAAGATGTTGCCTGAAAAAAAGAAAATTTCTAATAAAAATAGAATCATAGAGAAAAATAAGGTTTATTGAATAATGTAAAGACTTTCAAAAAGTTGAGTTAAGAAAATTGTAAATACTTTTATAAACAGCTCATTGCAAATACTGCATTGTAATTCCATTTCCATGAGATCCACAAAGTTGGACAAGACATCTTCCCTGGCTTTTAGAGCTTGCATTTTGGCTGAAGCGCTTTCCTCTTTAGTTTCATTCAGTTGACTTTCTAATATTTTTTGCTCCATATCTTTTTTTTCAAGTATCTATAAAGAATACACATTTTTTCTCTCTCCATAATTTGTTTAACTGTGTTTAAAAAAAAAGTTTTAAAATAACAAATCAGAATCTACGGTATAAAAATCAGGTGGTTTAGTGTTTTTTTTAAAACAGAGGGAAGATAACAGTAATGAACATTTATTGATTTAAAGGTGTTCATATCTGCCTCTTGAAAAATGGATATATTAATCAAGCGCTGTTAGTTTACCTTGTTTAATTGTTAAGTCCCCTTAGATTATTTTTTTAAAACTCTTTTATCTTGGTCCCCATATAATGCAGCATCTATTACCACCAAAAACTAACATATCTAAGCTCTCTCATTCTAAATTTTAAGAAAAGACAGGATGATTTTAATAATACTTTCTCAGTTTTCTTCCCTTCTTTATGTATCCTTTATGCAAGCTGAAAATCATTAATACTCTTATTGTTTCCTAACTATACACTGTATTTTCATAAGTGCAGTATACATTTTAAAAATAAAATATTTAAAATAAAAAAAGGAGGAAAACATACCTTTTCTAATTTTAGCTTTTGGTCAAGTAACTGCTGTTCAAGTTCTTTATTTTTTTCTTCCACAACTTTTGCCATTTCTTTCTGTAAACTGCCTTCTATCTAAACAATGCATATAATTTTTAAAACTTGCATTTAGGAATAAATCTAAAGGCATTGTTGTTGTAACTTTGATAACCCAATTAGAAGTACCCAATTAAGTAAAGAGTGGTGACACAGTACAATTTTATAGAACTTTGAGCTGACTTGTTAAGTAGGTTGTATTTGCAATGTTTTTCCACAAATTAAAATTATTTTGTTCTGTTTTTTTATCTATCTGTACCTGTTCCTTTTCTTTTAGAAGCGACTCTCTTTGTGCTGCCAGTTGGCCCAGTAAAACAGCTTCTCTTTCCCTTAGATTTGCTTCTAACTCTTCTTGCATCTTTATTTTTAGCTCATTTTTCTCTTTTTCCAATTGTTCCTGTATAGTAAACAAACCATTAATTAAACAAGCAAATAGGTAAATTAATATTAAAATAAGTTCTTAAGCAACTTTCCTTACCTGTTTGTCTTGCATTTCTAATAAAATTGCAATCTCTTTGAGCTTTAGTTCAGCAACTTCTTTAGCCTGATTTTCCTTTTCTTTTCTTTCCTGTTCCAACTGCTCTTGTACCTAATAAATGTATAATATACATAATGTGTGTGTATTTTCATGAGAAAATAATACTTAAAAACAACATTTAACATGTAGAATCAACTGGTTATTATAAAAATAATTTATTCTTTTTGATATATTGTAAAAATAAATTATTTTTAACTTGAAATTATTGTTACTTGGCATTGTGAATAAATAAATTTCTTGTATAAGTTTTGGCAATAATATTACCCAATCAGATTTAATACAAAGAAGACTAAAACAAAAACCTCTTTTTGTTTTTGTTCTTTTTCCTGTAACAACTTTTCCATTTCTGCCAAACGGGCCAAATATTCAACCTCTTTTGTTGAATGTAGTTTTCGAGATTCCTCCATAGTATCCCTCAAGCTTTTATTAGGTGAATCAGCTTGAAACTGTTGAATAAGATAGAGTAAATTGCTAATGATATATTTTCCAAGAAATCTATTCATCCCTTGTTCTTAATCGAATTTTTGTGTAGGTTTAATTAGTAGGTGTAATAAAAGAAAAGCCTAGCTATAGAAACCATAGAGTCAAGTAATGGGTGATCCCCTTGACAAGAATGAAAGTATGTATATTTTGCATTATCTTGTTAATTTTAAAATATGAATCCAATTTGTAGTTAACACTAGTTTAAATTAAAAGCTTTCACAAAAAAAGATCTATTTCATCAGCATGTAAGTATAAAACCAACTAAAAACTCTATATTTAGTAATAAATATTGAATAACCGTTTAGTTTTCTTTTTACATTTTAAACCTTAAAGGCTTAAATGCTAATATGACTTTTAGATAAAGTTCACTACAACATATAATATTTGTCAAATTAAAAGGAAATTGGGGTTGATGTGGTTGGATTGGTAAAGCTCATGGTTTCTAAACTGAAGAAGTCCCAAGTTTGAACCCCCAAGCAGATGCTGCTCAATAGCTGGGGACAGCAACCCATCTAAGAGAGAAAACTCCAAATTCAAACAACTTCTGCCTTGCAGTGTGTTCTAGATTGGACAAAGGCCATTGAACTTTTGAAGCAAATCCAGAAAGAAAAGCAGGCTGAAATTGGAGTCAACTGCCTACTTGGCTCATAACAAGTTGACATGTAATTGTTGGAGGAAATCCCTTCCAACATTACAATTAAAAACAAAGAAAAAATTGATTACATACTTTTTTTCTGGCACCCTTTCTTTTCATCTCTTCGTCATCCTCTGAATAATAAATCTCACTTGCACAAGGTGTAACTCCTTTTCCTGTACATGATGGGTCAGTCTTGAGTTTTTTGTGGTTTCTTCCTTCTATCCGAAACTATAAAATTATATAGGAAAATCTATATTATAAGAGTAGGGTTTTTTATCCCTGATGTTTATAGAAAGTGTATCCTTATTATTCAACTTATTCAATCTAACAAACAAAAATTATTTACCTTTAATGATGAGTGAAACTTATATAGAAACTCCGCAGGTGCACCAGGAGATGTCGGAACCCCTAGCTGAACCATATCTCCTTCTTGTAGTGTGTATGGGACATCTGGTGTCAGCAAGCGACCATTGACATATACACCATTCAAACTCTATATATTATTTCAAAATAATGTGTAAATAAGGTCTACAAATAAACAAATTAAAACAGTAATCATAAAACACGAAGTGTTTTTTTATTAAGAATTTAAGTTGATCTATATAGAAAAATTGCTTTTGGTATCAAGCATTTACAAACCTTATTGTCTGTTATTGTCCATGTATTATCTTCAAGTTGTCTGATGGTGGCATGACACCTTGAAATCATGTCAGACAAAATGCAGTATGTAACATCGCATGATCTTCCAATAGTTACCTAGAAAAAAATAGATGATTAAAAGACTTTCTTTCTAGGCCTAAATGATTCAGACTTGTTTTTTTTTTTAAATATATTTTTTAAGGCTAAGCTATATGATTTAATCAAATATTATAAGGAATATGTTTTTATTTGATTATCTTCTTTAAAAATGTTTAAACTTTAGACTAGTTTTCTTTAGTGACTATAGTCTAGACAATAGGGGTACTGATTATTTGAAATGACTGAGCCAAGCTATTATTATAGGCCTAAGCCCTAAACTAGGGACTTGGATGAAATTTCATTTTTAAAAAAATAAAAAATGTAGTAGCACCAGTTTATAGAGCTCATTTAGACAAGAACAAAGATACTTTTATTTTAATTTTAGCTCAAACGGTTACGAAGTTATGAATTTTTAATGTATTTAATTTTCGGGTTTTTTTAATATGGGGTTTTCTCAATTTTTTGCTTCCCTACTTTTTTGGATGCGAACTAAAATCTCTGTAACTTTTTAAAAAGCAGGTATTTTTTAATGAAAATTCACTAAGATCAAGCTTATGATATCAGTAAAAGAGTAAGATAAAAATAATTGAATTGGATGAGAATGATCATAAAAAATAATGTTAACAAAGAGGGTCACCCCCCTAAAATTTTTTAATAAGCGTCTTTGATAGGCTACACACAATCTGTTGCCAAATTTTTATTATATGGAATATCTTACTGAAAATTGGCCTGAATAGTGCCAACACTGTATACATTAACAGAAAGTCAAAATATTTTACTTAGCTTATGTGGTTTTATTACAATGTTGGACAAAATAAAAAAGTCATTTTTATTCTGCGCAACTACTTTTTTTGCAAGAAAGAAGTACAATGTTGAGCTGATTTTAGATTACTTTGCTTATATGCAAGAAATATTGTAAACATGAAGGTTATTATATACTTTGATATTTCCTTTGTTCAAATTTGATTTTAAAAATATTTTATTTAATGAAAAAGGGGTTTAAACTCATATACCCCCCTTAATTTTAAACAATAAATTCTGCTATAGGCAACACATAATCTGTTGCCAAATTTTTATTATATGGAATATCTTAATGAAAATTGGCCTAATTGGTGCCAACATTGTATACATCCACACAAAGTAAAAATATTTCACTTAGCTTATGTGGTTTTGTTACAATGTTGGTCAAATTTAAAAAGTCATTTTTGTTCTGCGCAACTACTTTTTTGCAAGAAAGAAGTACAATGCTAAACTGATTTTAGATAACTAAAATTGTATCTAAATGTTGTCAATATGCATGATATTTCATCCATGTTATGTGTATAATACATAGAATTGATATAATTTAATTTACAATTATTGTTGAACAAATAATTTAATAATTGAAATGATTTTATATTGGTGGAGTAATGATCACCATTTAATGTTAAAGGTAAGTTTTATAATTTAGAAACATCTGTCATATATTTAAGTGACATCTCATGCTGTGTGGATAACATGTTTAAGTCTGTTAGCTTGTATCACTTTTTTACTTTAAAAAATAACACCATCAATGATTTAAAAATGAAATCTGATTAAACATCTACTGAAGCTGTGTCTCCTCTGGCTGATAGCTTTTAGAACTAATAAAAACCAGCAACATCCATTCTTAAGTGGGCCTATTTCTCCTTCATTGAAGTTGCTTATGAGTAGATCCACATCTTTTGATTCTCTATCCCCTTGTGAACTGGTACATTTTATCTAGGGCCAAGACTAGTAAAAAAGCAACTGAGATGTATACTACAGCAAAAATACAGTAGTATCATATGTACTTCAAATAGGCCTACAGAGATGAAGACAGAACATTGTACAAGGATTGTAGTAATTTAGTAATAAATCTAAAACGAACTAAGTCCTAGAGCTATAAAGAAAATATAGGACTCCTAAAATGTTTGAATATTAGTAATATTGGTAATAAAAATTCGCTTGAAAAGCAATCAAAAGGCTATATGTTTAATATAGAATTACCCTATTGGCCTATATTTTATAGACCAAATGATAGGCAAATGGAATTTTATATTAGATTCTAGATCTAGGCCTATATCAAGCTTTAAAATTTAAGAAAAATGTGGAAAGTACACAAGTTACTATAATGATAGCTAATATAAAATACAGAACTCATTCAAGAACAATATAGATCTATATCTAGGCCATACAATTAAAATGAAACAATAATTCAACTTGAAAAATTTCGCAGAAATCTATTTTTAGATCTAACTCAAAATTACAAAAAAAAATGAATCTAAATAGAAAATATGCGCACAAAGTCAACAAAAAATCATAGTTTTATCAATATAAAATATAATTCTATAATTTAAAATGATTTTAAAGTCAGATTCGTGTGGATGTTGCTGGATTTACAAATCAATTCAATTGAGAGCAATGGCGTCATTAACAACACAAGTACACTTCCGGTTTAAACCTCTGTCTTTCCCGGTAGTCGTAAAATGGCTTAAGCCTATACTTTCAAAACTATTTATAAAAAATACTTTGCTATCGATTAACATTATGAAAATTTACACACATAAAGAAAAATGGTGATTATGGTCGGAGGGCTTTTTATTGGCCTTCTTTGTTAGTAAGTTTTTATGGTACAAAGAGTTTTACGTAGCCAAAGTTTGGCTCCAAAAATCCATTTTCACCTTCAACAAAATCTCAAAACAAAAATACAGTAACATATGAAATCCATTTGTTTTTCAGAATCAGTCATCAAATTATTAGTAGCATCGGCGATTTATAATAAAAAAAAATTTTTTCGATCATCACCCGCGACCGCACGGCCAAATCGACGAAACTCGGTATGGGCAGAAAACTCTCGTTTTTAGTGCCTCAAAATCTACGTCATCCAAGTCCCTACCCTAAACAGTAGTAAAACAATTATGAATGTTAAGTTCAAACATGAATTTTACTTCATCTGCCTACTAATGGATCACTAGGTCTAAACTAAAGACAAGGAACTTCAGTCAATCAGTGAAGTAATGTACACAAACTTCAGAAGTTTTTTTTTTTTTTAAAGAAGATTCCATTATCAGACACCAGTGTAAACATTCTCCCCTAGTCCTAGAATCTCTCTAGAATCTAGAATACTCTGGTCTAGCTAGATCTAGAATCAGTAGTGCTTTAGTCCAAGTTACTAAACTCTTCAGTACAGTAACAAGCAAGTAGATCTAGAAAATCTAGATCTAGATTCTAGTAGGCCCACTGTTCTACAGTTCTAGATTACTCTAGACTCTAGATCTAGATTCTAGATCTAGACTACTAGATCTAGATTTAGATTCTACCTCCCCCAAGACTTGGACTTACCTGAGTTTTGTCAAGCTTTAAAAGTTTGTATTTTTTAAAGCGATCACCAATCCTAACAAAGCAAGGGAAGATTTCAGTCATGGTAGAATAATGATGGCAGAATATATCACAATTATTTGTTAATGTTCTTATAATGTACAGGTTTAATGTTTATGTCAGTATTAATTATTATTACTTTTACAATAGCAGTTAACAGCCCGCTATAGCTGATGTTTACTACGTCACTAACAACCAACTTCTTTCGTTTTCTTCAAATTTCCGAAAGTCTCCACAGGCATATTCATATAAGTTTGCGAAACATGTTTGGTGTCGTTAATTTGTGATTTCGACGTATCTAAATTTAGATGTTTCTAATGAGCAGTAGACCTAGTAAAATGCCAAAATGTAACCTTGATCTTATCTGGTCTAGATACTCTACTTTTAAATATATATATACTAGCCGTCCCGGCCAGGCCCTGCTCTGGCTTCTGTGAAAAACCTTTCTGTTAAAGACCATTACCTGTGTGTTTAGTAATCATCATAAACCCGGCATTGCACACCCAAACCAAAACCAAAACAACAAAACGCAAACATAACGCTAACACAATTAAAAATACAAACGAAAACAAAAACCTAACAACTAACCCAACCACAACCACAAACACCAATACGAACACAAAGAAAAAAACAAACGAAAAAGCAAACGAAAACAAACCAAATCCAAATGCAAAACCAACCACAAACCCAAAGAAAAAAACACAAACGAAAAAACAAACGAAAACAAACCAAATACAAACGCAAAACCAACCACAAACACAAATACAAACACAAACGCAAAGAAAATAAAACACAAACGAAAACGAAAAAAGAAAGAACAAAATCGAACCAAATCAAAACGCAACCACTAACGCAAACCCAACCTAAACACAAAGAAAACACTAACGCGAACATAAACGCACAGTGCTCAGAGTCTAGCCCGGGGCGGAATCGCCTGTTTCAGCTTAATAAACGACTATAGTACCCCAACTTATTCATAGTCTTTTGCACTCACTTTAATGAACGTAGGCGCGAAACCGAACACGGGAGGCCCGGGACCCCAAATAGCACCCTGTCTGGGCGCCAGAGGACGCACCATGACGTCACCGCCTGATTGAACTTAGTAAACGACTATAGTACATAACTTATTCATAGTCTTTGGAACTCACGCGAACGTAGATACCATAGCGTACACCGGAAGGCCCGGGGCGCCAAATAGCACCCTGTCGGGGTGCCGGAGGACGCCCGGATTTGATTCACTTAAAGTCTATAGTAACCTTTCTTATACATTGTCTATCGCACTGTTCAAAACAAAATTGTGCAGCATAGCGCTCACATGATAGCCCAGGGTGCCAAATCGAACCGTGCAAGGGCGCCGGCGGACGCGCCTGTTTCAATTTAGTGAACAAAAATGATAATACTCCAAGCTTATCCGTAAATGGAAAGAAATAAACATATAGGATTTGTAGGACCTGGCTTATTAAATGTTATTGTTTTAAAAAAAAAAATTATTGAACAGTATGTTCAGTGTATAGAATAAATAAAAGGCAGTGTTAAAAATACCTAACGACATTGCACTTAATCAATCCCCGCTAATTATGTAATTATTTTTTTTTTCTTAACACCAAAAACAAAGTAATAAAATGTAAATTCTTTCTTCTTAAGAATTTTTTTTATTAAAGGGAAGTAACTGTGCAGTCAATACATTTCCGACACAATTTTAGAAATTTTATAAACGTCGATACACTTTTTAAAAATTTTATGTCGCGTTCACAATTGAAAATTATTCTTCTAAGTAAATAGAGTGAAAATTGTTTTTAAAGACTTTCAATGGTAATTTTTCGACTCGTAAATTTAGACTTTGAGCACGATAAAAAATCTAACACTTAAATCCGTAGAAGTGTCAACGACAAACTTTTTTGTTTTTTGCCACACGTTACAGAACTGAGCTTTATATATTAGATATATATATATATATATATATATATATATATATATATATATATATAATCCCATTAAAGCTCGCGTTGATTTTAGCCACATCCAATAACATTATACATCTATTGCTATAGGGCCTACTTGGGATCGTCGATCAGATGTTATATGACGCTGACTGTCGCTGACCGGCCGTGCTGATAGATAATTCTCACCATCCCACCATTATCCACTGCGTTTACACCTACGACATGTATACATTTCTAGCACACACAGCCCGTCAAACGTTTATTTTATCTGGAAACATTTTCTCCACGGAACATGTATACATTTACACTTAAAGAACAATCAATGTTATAGAACCAGAGGCGTAGCGAGAGGGGAGGGGTGCGGACCGCACCGGGTGACACCATTGGGGGGGTTACACCAAGGCAAAAAATAGCAAAATATATACAGAAATATGATAATCTATATATATATATATATATATATATATATATATATATATATATATATATATATATATATATATATATAATTCGAGACCATAGAAAACACCTAGCTGTAAGCGTGCCTAGCAGCCCCCTCTCTTCCTCTCTAGGCATATCCCTCCCTACCACCCCCACCCCCACATGGTCTGGTAAGCTGTGGTTCACGCTAAATGTTTACAATCGTACAGCCGGGTTTAGTGACGGCTATTATGGGCAGATAATTTAGTTTGGAACTATTTTAAACTTAGTTGAGGTAACTAAGAGGAGGCTGCTTTCACGGGGGGAGGGGTGTGGGGTAGGGATTGGGGGAAAGGAGGGGGTGGGCTCTCGCCCTTAACGATCTACTGATAGTGTTTTAAAGCAAATATTTTCATTGACAGCATTGGTAATTGGTACTGTCGAATTCACAAATTATGAATTACTGAAAAGTAGAAAATAAAACAACTAATTAGTGACGATGTGTGATGAGGGGGGGGGGGATTCAAAAAGTGTTGAGAGACATGTAAGCCTAACTCCTACTAATAAATGAAATACTTTTGTTTTAAGTTGAAATAAAAATTGGTGAAATTATCATACCCAACTCAGCTATTATATTATTTTCAAATGAAATCTCTGTTTAAAAAAAAAAACGTAAATTGAGAGCCTGAAAGAAAGTTAATGTGTGACGTGAGTTGACATTTTAGTGAAGATCGGGATGAAAATTGTCCCAAAAAAAAAACGTGACATCCTTTATGAACGATCCTTTAAACCAAGTTTGTTTGGTCTCTAATGTTTAAAGCTAGTATAATTCTTGACCTATTATAGCATATATAATGAGTGCTTCTTGTAAAATATAATTTGAATGTAGCCTATTAGCTACTTTAAACGAATCAGAGTTTGTTTAGCCTTCATAGCGCAATAATTTATTAATTGAAAAAATGTCTAGCTAACTATGGGCCTGGATTCTATATAGAATTCGCTTTCCTGTAGTTTTTGCATTCTTTTTTTCCTAATTCTTTTTGCAAATGTAGTATTTTAAGTAATTTCTTCTTATTTATTTATTTTGCATTCTGTTTTTTCCTTATTCTTTTAGTAAATGTAAATTTTTTCCCCCATTAACTTGTTATAATAGATCATTAACCTGGTCTACGATCAAAAGACCTACATTTTTCCTCGTCTGTGGCCAAGACACAAGGGGCAGATGAAGTAGAGCCAGTGGCGTCGCAAGGTTGGGTGTCAACGATGCGGAACATCACGGTGTCACCCCCCTCCCCGAAAAAAAAAATGTTATACACATAATTATATATATATATATAGGTCTTCATATGCCTATATATATATATATATAAATCTAGTTGCAATAGGTGACATCCACATCCCATTTTGTCTAATGATTTTAATTTGTGCGCATAATCCACCTATTAATTCATGTGGAAAAAGCATAGTTTTCATTCTAAGTCATTAGATTTTGGTGTCACCCCCTCTACTGTCGTTGATTGACTTATCTGTTATTCAAAAACATTTCTTTTCTATATGGTGGTGTCACCCCTAAATGGTGTTACCCGGTGCTGTCCGCACTCCCACCTCTGAGTAGAGGTCATATATTTCAATGACCGCAGCATACATTGCACTCAGCTCATAATGAATCTTAAGAATTTACATTTTCTTTTTTTTTGCTTGCTTTCCTTCATTATAATAAACCGGGAGTGATCTCCCCTACACTTTCTCGAATATTCTTATATAACTCGGAATATAGACATGATTTTTAATTATTTAAACTTTTAAAAATAGAATAAAATCTCGTAGAAAAAAGAATTGCGCACCAAGCGACCGCCAAAATAAAATGTGCATAATAGTGTGCATTATTATTAGTACTTTATAAATTTACATGCGTTTTTTGAGAAATCGGAAATAGCGTAAATTAGTACTTCCGGTCAACGGAAATTACTCAAACTTTGAAAGAAGGTAGAGAATGAGATCTTTTACTTACATGTGAAATTCCCTTTATCTATCTGAAATAATACTCAAGTTATAGGCTTTTGAAAAATTCAAAGTAGAAAAAGCACCACTTCCGGTTATCGGAAATCACTCAAAAGTTGATACGGATCTACGATTTTGATAAAATACTTATATATGAAATTTCATCAACCTAGCTGTAACGGTACTCAAGTTATCGAGTTTACACGCAGACACACACAGACAAGATTGCAAAATTATGTTTTTCCATATCAGTGAGGTGTAAAACGTCGAGATTTGTAAAAATCTCGATTTTTTTTTCTCTATATTTCGTATATACGAGAAAGTAAAAAGGGAACAAATTACTCAAACAAAAATTCTACCAAATATGGAATTTTATTTTATAAATTACAATACAATATAAAAAGCTTTATGTAGACAATCACTATAATGTTTTTTGTGTTTTAATATAATATAAAAAGGTTTACAAAAGCATTTATTTATATAGATTATATATATAATTATATATAAATTAAAGAGATTATAAATAATTTTTGCATTCATTCATTACTTAACTTCAGCCTCTTCATTCACATCCTCTTCCTCACAATATTCATACACATCCTAACTATCTTCACTCTCATCATCTTCACTCTAATCATCTTCACTTTCATCATCTTCACTTTCATCATCTTCACTCTCATCCTCTTCACTCCCATACTCTTCACTCTCATCATCTTCACTCTTATCCTCTTCACTCTCATCATCTTCACTCTCATCATTTTCACTCTTATCCTCTTCACTCTCATCATCTTCACTTTCATCATTTTCACTCTTATCATCTTCACTCTCATCATATTCAACCTGGCTTCTATAATCATCATAACCATCATCAGCAACAGCCCTTGCATCATTGTTTTCGCTAAGGCCAATTAATGTGTTAACTATGGTGTCCAGATTTCTCCTGATTGACAAGAACTGACCTGCAACTAATTAAACAAATTGATTACTTTTACACTGAATCAATCTTCTAGCATACCCGTCCCATGCATTGCTGCTGTCTCAGAGGAAAGCCTGACAAAATATTTTAAGAGGATTTCATCAATGCATTATGGGATGGTATGGCCTAAGCGGTAGAGCTATAGGCTTCTAACACAAATGTTTCGAGTGCAGATCCGGGCCTAAGTCAGTAGAGCCCAGCTCTGATGGATACCTAACTCAGGTTGGGAAAAGTAATGCTTTATCAATCTCATATTTTTAGACCCAAGACCTTTAGTTAACTAAAAAACAGTTATCTAAATGTAAACAAAGCAGGTGCTATATTTTTTGGATCTTAGTTGTTGAGCCACAGATTTGTTCACACTACACTGTATGAAAGCCTTGAGTGTACAATGATGAAAATGTTTCTGGTAAGTAGAAGTAGAACTAGACTGCAGCAACGCACAATGGGTATGCTAATTTGAATCATAAACTAATGATGCATTTTTTAAAATACATAGTAGATCCACAAAGTCTAAATTATGTGTGACTGCATAAATCTTTATGAACCTAAAAATCTTATTTCAAGTCCAATAAAATAATTTGAATGTGTCTGTCATTTACTTTAATTAATAATCAATAAAGACCTAATTTTATTATCAGAATGGCTTATGAACACCAAAAATCTGCCCATGATAAAATTATTTTGACTTTGGCTGGTCACACCTAGCTGGTCAATGGGTGATGCTTATGGCATGTGCATGAGGTGACATTTGTCATGTTTTGGCAGCATCCTGGTGTAATTTGTTCAAGAAAAGATGAACACAAGCTTTGCTTGTTAGATTGAATGTTAATAGCATTATGATACATTTTGTAAATTATGTATACAACTTATTTTCAAAATAGTAATAATAATAGTGAGATTATGGTAATATTATAGTTATAGTGAGGATGAAATGGTGTTAAAATGTCTTTGAGGTAAGCCGACAAAATACGTCAACCGATCTTTTTGTTTTCCGAAATTTCAATAATAAGCTGATCTACATTAAAATAAAAGTTTTATAATATGAAAGAAAATAATTAAAAAATATATTTTAGTTCAGATTACCTAGGGTGTATCCTTGGAGGTCTAGGTGTAGACTTTGTGATGCTAGTGTTGCCTCTGCAGTTTGGGTTTCTGGTGTGACTAAGTGAGGTTCTATCCCTTCAGGTGCTGTAGAAGGGCCAGGGACCATGATATTATATTCAAATTCCTCAGCTGCAATTCATAAAAGCATTTGATATATCAACAGGACTTACAAGAAAAATTAGTTCTAAAAATGCTAGTATATTTTGTCTCCTCCCCCCCCCCCCCCCCCCCCACCAGTAAATTTAAAACATAATTAATCAGTGCTGCTGTTTGGGGCAGAGATTTGGAGGACAACACAGACCACCATTGATAAAGTCCAGACCTTTATAAACAACTGCCTCAGACAAATACTCAAGATTCCCAGGCTCGACACCATCAACAACACACACCTATGGGAAATGACAGAACAGCTTTCCGCAGAAGAAAAAATTAGGAAAAGATGGTTAGATAGGTGGGAAACTCAGGGAAAACACAAGCTAGGTCCATCAGAAACACTTGGGGATAGGACCTGGAAGATAAAACTAAAATATTGGGTTCCTCTTGGACTCAGATTGGGAAAACGGCACAGGACAGGGGACTCTTTTTGGTTGGTGTCGGGCAGTGATGATGATTAATAGTGTATTCCTATAAACAGAATAATAATTCAAGAATATGTGTAAAGCCCCAATTTGTTTCAGAATAGTTTCATGGTAATGTAGCTATCATAGTTAAAAATTAACTGCTTTGTAACTGCATTTTTACACATTTCAATAACTATTCGATAGTTATAAAGAAAAATCAACAGCAAAAAATATATACATGATGTTATAAAAATTTAAATTCCTTATCAGAAGTCCCTTTAAGATCTGACAAGACAGATGAAGGATTATTCATGTTTGTTTAACCTTGTCATATGAAGGGATTATATAATCAGCATTCTGCACTATCTGTCTTAACCGAATCAAGACAGGTGCTTATCCGGCTAAAGGACATTCTACTGACTCAAGCCTGGAAACCAAACTTAAAACTTCCAAGTGCAGTTAAGCAATCAAGTGCTCAACCATGCTATCATATCATTTTTTTTTAATCAAAGTAGATTTATTTCCAATACAATATATTTTATGTGTTTCTTATCTGCTTACTTTGAAAGATCCTATAAGAATTTTCTAAATGCTTGACTTAGTGGTATTTATAAATAATAGACTGATTGCTATTGGGTACATCTGAAGCAATCAAATACTTATACTTTCTTAACTACTCTTTTGCATTAAACATAATTTGCAGGTTACATTTTCAGACAGCTCCACTTAAACTGAGTCATTTAGTACTTTCCTTGCCCAGTAAAAAGTTGAAAATCCTGCTATTCAGAAAACTAGTTCCAGAAAAAAATACTTGAGTTTTGAGATGAAAATTTTTTACATACCGGTACTACAAACAAAATGCATGACAAACTTACTCTTTCTTTGATCAATCAATGTTTTTCTCTGCGTTTTACGATCTTCGCTGAGCTGATCAACCATTTTATCTATATAATTATCTAGAGCTAGGATTTGAATTTGCGTAGTTATAATAGTGCGACAATTAGGGCATTCTTTTTTTTGTTTCATCCATTTACTGATGCAAAATTTACAAAACACGTGCGAACAGTTCAAAGACGTTGCCTAAAATCAATAAACCATCATTATATAAAAGCAAAGAGAAAGTAAAAAGGGTACAAATACTAAGAAATGGTTTATAGTTAATGTTGTAAAGTAAATTAACCACATGCATATAATGCTTGATCACCAACTTGTCTTTTTGTGAGTGGCATGACTGAGAGGTATAAATTTCCACTGATTTACTCAATTAAAAAAATAGACTACACAATACTTAAATCCTTTATTTGCCTCTTGCTATACACACTTTACAGTAACTTCCCTTAAAGTTTTCAAACCAGAATTCTCAATTACAATCGTTTATCCTGCTTTTATAGCTACATTCGGCTTCAGGGTAAATAATACAACAGCACATAACTAAACACAACTCTCTATCCCTGGGGATTTAAAATATTTCTAACAAAGCCCTAAGAGTGTAAGACTCTAGCTGAGACTTAAGGCATAAAATTACATGAGTGAGTACAGGAGAGACAAAAAAAGGAGAAGATAACTGGTTGCAAGACAAGTGTTGATAGTGCTAGCCATATATGGATAGTCCTGGTCTGTGTTCAGCTGGCATCAATAAGTGTTTACAAGGTTAAAGATAGTGGTGTTCAGCTGCATTGTTATGGTTGGGTGAACTGGAGAGTAGTTGGACACACCACTGAGGAACAATCACCACCTTGTACATTAGCACCACAGTCACCACTTTTGCAACTGCTTTGAATTAAGGTTAATCTACAACTCAAGTCACAAAAGTGTTGATGGCTACAAAAAAAACTAAGTTTTTTAAGATCATGTTTTTGGTAAAGTTAAGAATTAATATCAATATTCATTTCTAGTACATACCGCTATAAACAGCTCATTGCAAATACTGCAGTTTAACTCTACTTCCATGAGAGAAACTAAACTGGACAACACATCTTCTCTGGTTTTCACCTCTTTTATTGCAAGCAGGTCTTTCTTAAATTAGAAACAATATAAATAGGACAATTTGATTTGTTTCTTTTACATTATATGTTACAAAATATTTTTACTTTTTTTTTCTTGCCATTACAAGTGGTAATTAAACAGAAAACCAAGCCTTATTTTCATTTATTCACTTTCTTTTAAGGACATTGTAAACAAAGCATATTTTGCAAAGTACTAATATCCTTAATTACTGGACTATAAAGCTCTTTGCAGCCCATTGTCTAAGTAGCATTGTTAAAACTTCCATAAAGTTGACCAGAAAATTGTAAATTTTAATTCTATTTCTTACAGAATTTTGTACCTGTTGATCTATCAGTTTCAATTCTGCTACTTCTCTTTCTTGCCTCTGATGTTCTAACTCTTTCTCCATCTAGCTCAAGTTAAAACAAAATTTATATTAATTTATGTGGATTTTTTAAAATGCTAAAATCAGTTTCTGCACAAGCGAGATTCAATAAAAAGAGTGCGAAAAAACAACAAACTATATTTTTTAACTTTGTTTTTTTAAAAATTAAATGAGTTGTTTCTTTTTCATTGAAGACAATAATAATATTAATAATCTAATAGTAATGATAGATTTAAAACAGGAAAAAATAACAACCTCTATTTGTTTTTCTTCTTTTTCTTTTAAAAGCTTTTTTATTTCTGCCAAAGCTTTTTGGTTCTCACATTCTTTAGGTGACGGTGAACTTGTAGTAGTGACATCCACTGGGTATAATCTCAAGGTACCCTTTTTAAAAAAATAAAGTTGATCTTGTTATAAAAACTTCATTGTGTGGCTTTTGTATAACTTTTCTAAAGATTTGGCGTAATTGATGTTTTTAGTATTTTTTGTAAATACACAAAATATGAAAACAATGTTGTCTCTTTTCTCATGTAAAAAAAGCGGGAGAAATACACACACACACTGACAGAATTGCAAAACCCAGTTTTTCTGATTCAATTTACGCATAAAATGCAGAAATTTTGATAAATCCTGATTTATAATTTTTGCCCGATTAAAATAAGTCCCCTATACTCCATATAAGTGTCAAAATTTCTTGTGATTTTTGTGCACGATTACTATACTTCCTCTATACTCTCTCTGTAAACGAGAAAGTAAAAACACAGTCTAACTTTAGGTCATGAAGTCTTTAAAATAGTAAGCTTATAAAAAACATTTAATGGAAAAGTTCTGAGTAAAAAGTGGGGTTTAGAGACATGTATTATGTAATCCACAACCTATGATATAGCGAATCAACAATTCCCTAACTAAATAGAAACTTCAAGTTTAAATATCAGATTGAAGTAAATAGTTATTAAATAGATATGTAACCTTAAATGCAAAATAATATTTTTAAGCTCTCTACATTTGCACTTTTTGTAGCATTAATTCTTAAAATATTAAGTTTCTGATTTTTTTTCAGCTGTAAGTTACTAAAGTGTTAGTTTTTTTAGGGCAACTATGAGGGCCTAATTGATAGAAAACATGTTTTTATACTTTTTTTTTTAAGACAGTCATGTAAATATTTGTAGCATAAACCAAATAACATTAACTGTTGTAAATTACAAAGAAACAAGATAAAGTTTACTTTCGTCCTAGCATCTTTTCGTTTCCCATCTTCTGCAGACAAATTCTCACTTTTACAGGGGGTTATTCTTTCTTCTATACATGAAGGGTCTGTCTTTAGTTTTTTGTGCTGATTTTTCGCTGTTTGAGACTAAAACAATACACAAATGTAAATTAACTTGGCAAAATTGTTGACCTATGTCAGGATTTATAAAAAAAACATTTAAATTGGTATATCTGTAAAGTGTGTGCTTGCTAACCCAAAAGCCTTTAACTTGGTAACCATGCTTGAGACTGTAGGTTGTCCCCCAACCAATCTGGGAACTTTATTTAAACCAGATGCACCCACCAGAGGAGGATGTAAAAGCCTGGTGGTAACCCACAGTTCTAGTGGCTGGCAATATAGGTGTGAGAAATACTAGAGTTTAATTCCTGTATAGGATAGCTGGAACCAGAGATGATGAGAGAGAGCGAGACAGAGAGAGAGGGAGAGAGAGTCATTGCAATCAATATTTTTAAAATACTAGTTCGTATTTTATTTTTAAGTCAATGTGCATTTTCACCTTTATTAAGTGGAATTTGTATAAATGCTGAACTTGTTCAATTGACGAAGTAAAAACCTGCAATTGGATCATGTCTCCTTCTTGTAGTTTGAACGGGACATCAATAGTCATCAAACAACCATTCACATGTATTCCACCCTAAATGATATTGTAAGAAGATTATAATTTTTTTTTAATTTTGAAAAAAAAATTAACATTAGGAGTCATCCATTCCTTAAAAAAACTTAATATTTCTCCAAAGCTTTACTTCCAGCATAGGCCATCAAATGAAGTAAGGGGTCATCCATAAATGACGTCACACTTTTTTTGACAATTTTTACCTCCCCCCAGCCTACGTCACATGTCGTCACAAAAAGCCAGACACCCCCCTTAAAATGACATCACACCTCAGCCTACAACCCCCCCTCAAAATTGCTGTTGAATTTTTCTTAAAACATCGATATTTTTCCAAAATCTTGTCAGAACATAGAGTATTTTGATCAATTCTCATTACAATTTATTAAAACCGTTTTCTAAAACGCGAAAAAAACGGCTAAAAACTTGTTTTCTAGCATTGTTTTTTTATAATGCAAAAAAGTGATGTCACACCATGTGAACCCCCCTCCCCCTCATCACATACCATCACAAAATTTAGGACCCCCCCTCCCCCCTCCGAGTGTGACGTCATGTATGGACGACCCCTAACATCTGTTGGGTATGTGTAGCTTGCAATGCTAAAAAATTAGATAAATGTATATTACTAACCATGTTGTCTGTTATTGACCAGATATTATCCTCATCTTGCTTCATAGTGGCGTAACAAGTAGAAATCACATCAGACAACAGACGATAAGTAGCCTTACATGTTTTTTCACGGTTTATCTAGTTAAGCAATAAATAATAAATAAGTAATATTTTGAAACTTTTCTCATCAAGATATGATGCACTTGTTTATCTAGTGAAAATAGCTATGCATTAGTTAATTAGTTAGATTAACTATTAGCCTATTAACTTAATTAAATTAAGTTATTAACTAAGCCCTAGTAGATTCTACAAGAATAAACTTTACTAGATCTATATTCAATATTTTTTTTTATTTAGCCTACTTTTTTATTTAGGCCTAATAATTAATATTAATAGTCTAAACTCTTACACTATGTATTACTTATTATAAGTCTTTGTTTTCTTAGGCTAGATGATAATATATCAGATAGGCCTATAATAAAAAATAATTGAATAAAAACAGAATCTAGACTTGACAGTTAGAGAGAGAGTGTAGTTGTAGTCAGTGTTTCTTCCAGACCTTTTAAGACTTTTTCTCCAGGGGGGGTGGGGGTGGTACTTGATATTTTCGGTGGGGGCGGTCTACATTTTCGGGGGGGGGGGGGGGCAACTAGTAAAGAAGGCTAAAGTAAAGTATATGTGTTGGTTGTTTATGTTTACTAATATAAATTCCATCTTGTTCGGGGGAGGGGGGCCTGAATAGATGCCTGGAAGAAACTCTGGTTGTAGTTGTACTGTAGGCTGTAGAGTAGATGTAATGAGTAATGAATGAGTATTGTAGAAGAATGTAAGGTGTATTGTCACTGTGTAGTTAGTAGTGTGTAAAGTCACTTTAAAAGTGTAAAGAAGAGAGAGAGAGGTTACCTACTTCTTCAGCTTTATCTTTATGAAGCTTCAAAAGTTTATTATTTTGCACGCAATATCCTACTCTAATAAGGCATGGGATAATTTCCGTCATGATTTTTTTTTTTAAATTTAGATCTAATTATATTCTACTAGATTCTAATTGATTATAATCTAAAATGACTAAAATGTATTGAAAAGGCCTGTCATTTAAAAAAAGCAATTGTACATACAACAGCTGATTGTTTACTACGTCATTAGTTTCTCGTTTATTTCGTTTTTCTCAACTATCCGAAAATGTCCAGAAACATATTTGAATTAGCGGAAGACAAACTAGTGTACGTTAACTTGTGGTTTCTAATTTTAGATCCTTTTGCACTAAATTTCACAACTGTGTCGCAACAGCGTGGTAAGGTCTCTCTTAAATATTTATAAATGAAATTTCTAGCTCAGTTGTAAGACTGTAAACCCCTAACTTCATCTTCAATAAACCGATTATTCTTGTGAACAAAGAGTTAAGGTATGAATATTGACAGAACATTGTTTTTTCCTTGCTGTTTTGCGCTGGCACTCTATGCGTTTTTAAAGATGTCCAGTTATCGATAAGTCCAATGCACATTTTTTTTTTAATTAAGAAGTTTAGATTTATATTTATCTGTTGTCGCTAAACAGTATTAGATTTTACAGTTAGATCTACATTGATTTTTTAAATGTTAAGTCTTACAGATCTTAATCACTTTTACATTAGAACTTAAAAAATTACTTTAAGCAGGTAAAACTCCATTTCAGCTTATTCCCCCCCCCCCCCCCCCATTATCTTCACCTACTGTTGAGCGTATGTTATTGTAATTTAATCTCGACTAATTTTATGGTTAGAAATTAGGGTTAGGCGTATGTTATTAAGCATATTTTAACACTTTTGAGAGGGAAATTATAAAACAGCCTTGCAACAAACATTTTCAATGGCTGTACTTTGGTGACAATCAAAGTCAGACTGAAATTTAGGTAATCTATCGTTTTAGGTACGTAAAATCGCCCGCAACTAGTAATATGAAAAACAGGTGACTCCTTACATTTTAATAATATTTCACATTTTGAGGAGGATTTATGTTTTGAAAAACACAAAGTTTCCTTGTTTCATTTATGTACCTGTTTTTAAACAATTGAATTAAAACTTTTCAGTAATAAATGAACACCAGCGATGTTTCCAACAGATGCAACCATGCTCATTTACTATAGCAGCCATCTTGTTAAAGTTTTATTTTTATTGACTTATACCGCGAGATTCAGGCGGAAGTCACTCTATTTTACAAATGGCTGCTGTTTATATAGCAAATCTCGCTTGCAGACACTGCTGTTTAAAGTTAACTTCTGGCCTATATTGATATATTTAGCGATTGATTTAGGTTTATTATTCATTTATCTTTAATATTTGACACAAACATATCACAATATACTTCTATTACAGCCTTGACAATGAGGTAACGTTTTCGTACATTAATAGCCGCGGGCGATTTTACGCACCCAAAACGATAGATTACCGAAACTTAGATATCAGACCCACTTCCTACCCAAATTGTGCAAGCTTTATTTTTTGTTTGGATTTGTGGTTATCTTTTTCAAGACTAAATGAAAATGTTAAATGTCAGAAACAGCAGCATAATTCTTTTACAAGAATGATTTTTTGGGTTTCGTATACTTTTTGTCCTTGGGATGAATGTAATTTGCTAATCCGGCTGAATCTCATTTGTTAATAATGGATCTTAACTAATTACAATACAATTAAATTTGCAACACAGTAAGACAACACACTATAAATAAATCAGCTAGTGATTTATATTTAGGCCCTAAAGGTTATAATTTTCTGGTCACCATCAGGCTGGGTTGTAATAACAGTTTATTTTTTTCTCTCCAGAAAAATAAAGCCATCCATCATGCCTATGTTCGTACATTCTCTCCAAACCCATGTTTTGGACCTTGCTCAACAAAAGACAGTAGGAGATGTCAAGGTAATGTTAAACTTTGTTGTACTTAATGCATTTGTCTATTATGGCTTTAAATAAACCACATAAAACTAATATATTTTTCCACTTTGCATTTAGACTTTGGTTACAGAACGTGAAGGTCTCCCTCTTGAGCAGATGGCAGTGTTCTATGAAGGCCAGCCATTAGAAGATTCCTGTGAGCTTGTAACTTTCAGAAATGAGGCAACATTGAATGTTGAGCTGCGCTTGCTTGGAGGTTAGGATTTTTAATTTAGTCAGTCACATTCAGTTTCAGTTCTTTAACGGAAGAGTAGACCTCTGATCCCAGTTTGTTTACTACTTAACTTACATAGTCTTTATTATTTACATACCAGTATTTTTAATTAATTTTGAAATCATTGCTAAAAGTGACTGTTTTACTAATAGTCTAGTAACAACAGTTGCTGACTTATAACCTTTTGTGACTGTGCTATGGGCCCCACCCCATGTTAAATACTGAATGGTTTGGGTGGAGATGAAGTGACATCAGCAGCAAATAGGCCTAGATATGTGCACCCTTGAAGGTGGGGGGTGGGGGACCTGCAGTTTTTAAAAGCAGTCCTAGGCTACTCTAACAGCCAAAATAAATTGGTAATTTTCTGACACTATTTAAAATAGTAGACCTTATCTAACTTTAGGTTATTTTATTTAAAATGTTAAAATTTACACTTAGGCTCTTTTCTGTTGATTAACTTCAGACAAAAATCTAGCTGGCCAGCTTTAAAAAAAATAGACATGGTTAGGCCTATGCATTTTTTTTTTTACCATTGTTTATTAACTATTTACTATCAATAGAATCCAAATTATTTTACTTCCCCTATGGCCAGACAAAAGACTACCGATTTTTCAACCACTGCACCATTTAAAAAATTATTATTTTGGGGGGGGAAAAACCTCTTATATCAAGTCTTATTTTATAATGTATGAGGTAAAATAGAACATAATTTACTTATAATTAATAAATATTACTTTAATCCCTGTAATATTTCAATAAAAAAATTATTTTAAATGCTAAAAAATTCACCATGGTCACTGAAACTTTCTTCTTTTTCAATATCACTGTATTCGTTACATTATAAATAAAGCCAGATACAGGGAGTCATTTTAATTAGATTTAATTTAACTAATTGTTTAACTATTTCTTAACTTAAGAAAAAATTAAAAATAAACCACTCATAGTAGAGCAACATGAAATTAACTTTTATTTTAAAAACTTTTTTACCACATGTAAATAAACTCCAGGCGGCAACGGACGCATCATACTAAACCACACAAAGTACCTGGTTAACCCAGATGAATAGGGCTGTAACGGGGGTTTGGAAGCAGGCAGATATTAGAGGAGTTTAAGTCACTTGCTTCAGGGACTGAGAGTGCTGTCTGATACATCATTGTTACAAAATGCTTATATTGAGTCTATGTATTGTACCTGTTGTTTGTTTTTTTCATACAAGTAATTTTATATTTTCAATCTCAGGTAAAGTCCATGGTAGCTTGGCTCGTGCTGGTAAAGTACGTGGGCAGACACCTAAAGTTGATAAGCAAGAAAAGAAAAAAGGAAAGACTGGCCGTGCCAAACGTCGTATGCAGTACAACCGTAGATTCGTAAATGTTGTCGCTGGCTTTGGGAGAAAGAAGGGACCCAATGCCCGCTCATAAGTTTTATTAAATGTACAATAAAAAATAAACTGGCACTTATTTTAGACATTTGTATTTTTACTTATTTTCCTATTTAGAGTAAAAAAGAGTATTGTCTTTATGCATTGCATGGAGTCATAGAAAAAAAGATGTGACAGGAAAATGTGTCTATTGGCAGAATTAAGAATTATTTCCAACAAAATCCTCCTAAGATAATTTAGTATTCTGGTTATTAAATAAACATGCACTAAATTAGTATATGCTGCTTTATTTTGGTTTGTTTGGTTTGAGCTATTACCAGCTAATTTGGTATATTAAGATAATTTAATATTTCAGTATTTAACTAGGGTTTGGCATGGTTGAGTCTGTAAAACTCACGGTCACTAAACCAAAAAGATAACTGCTGCATTGTAAGTTTGTTTTTTTTGGTTGGACAAAGGCTATTGAAGTAAATTCAAAAAGAAAAGCAGGCTGAAACCTGCGTGAACTGCCTATATGGCATAAAAAGTTGACACGTATAATTGTGTTGGGGGGGGATCTTTTCCAATTCCAACACTAAATACACAGAAGGAGAAGAAGGTATTGAACTTCAAGCACACATATACATCGTATTTAGTCTTTTTTTTTTTTTATAGAAAACTTGCTTTTAATTTATGACTTAATTTCTACTGCTTTCAAACCTTAGTGGCTTTTTATTTAGAAGTAAAAAAGTAAGGTTTCTTTATGGCTGTATTTTTAATATTAGTCGGGGTATTGAAGAAAGGTGGCATGACCAAAACCTAATATTTTAATGACAAGAAATGTTCAATCTATATATATAAATGTATAAGGCAGTGTGTGTGTTTGTCTTTATGCATTACTACACCTTTCATCCTGGTTAGGTTTCTGCGGGGAAAAAATTTTCAAATTCTCGGGAGGGTGCGATTTTTCTCGATATTTGATATCAATAACGGTTTGACACTGTTCATCCGTTCGCCGTGAAACTGGGGAGTTGATTAGACCACTCCAGGTGAGATTTCTGTTTAAAAAATGTTTTTCAATTTCGCAAGGGCGCGCAACGGAAGGTGCGATTTTTCTCTATATACGGTATCTATATATATAATTCTCTTCTTGGATACCATAGAAAACACCACGCAGCTTAGCCACCACCCTCAACCCCACCTGTCAGGTGAGCTGTGGTTCACCCCGAATGTTTACAATCGTAGAGCCGGGTTAGTGACGGCTATTAAGGGCAGATAATTTAATATTAAACGATTTGAAACGAAGGGGAGGTAACAATTTCTGATTGATCTTTTCTTTGTCTGTAAACGGCTGCTTTTACTGGGCGAGAGGGAGGAGGTAGTGTTGAATTCACAAAGGCGCCCCGGGAGGATGTAATTCTTCTCTATATGGAACATATTAAAAAATGAAAGTCGGATGCAGTGTTTCTTCCAGACTTTTTTCTCCGGGGGGGGGGGGGGGAGACTTGAAATCTTCGGGGGGGGGGGGGGGCACTGTTAAAAGTATATATTTTCTATATAAATTATATAAATTTCGTTCGGGGGGGGGGGGGGGGGGCGGTAAAAAAATTCCCCCCCCCCCCCCCCCCGAAGAGATGCCTGGAAGAAACTCTGGTCGGATAATGTTCGACACCGTTTATCTGAGTGCCATAAAACTCACTGATGTTTATAACACGTCAAATATTTTTTTTACGTGTTAACGAAATAAATCCTGCTGATTTGTGTAACTTTAGCGAATGACGCAATCGCAAGCTGCATTATTGTTTCAAGATGCTATGTGGCGCTCTGGGTTATACTGTGAGCACTATGGCGCCTATGTTAGTTTTAAGAAGCCGTACGCTGCGCCTCTGCGGTAGTGTAATCGACGAGCTCCCTGACACATGGACAGTCACCGAAGTGTGTTGTACCTCATTATTTCGGTGAATAATTAACATACACTCAAGGTTTTCAGGCGGTAGTGTAGGTAAATCCGTGTCCCGATATTTATTATCTAAGCGCAGGCATTGTTTACATTTAAATAACTCAGCTTTAGAAAACAAGGTCACGCGTCTAAGAATGTAGGATTGGTAACCCATGGAAGAAACCCTTCTTATATATTTCGTCAGACTTTCTTCTATTCCCGCGGCAACGCGCGGGGACGGGTACGCTAGTATATTTATAAATTACACTATAATCAATCTTTTCATTTAGTTTGGGATCCCTTCCGAAGAGCCTGGTATATTGGACTCCCAATTCCCCTACATTATAGCGTGGGGGAGGTGAGGTGCAAGACTGCCGGGAACCAAAAGGGGTCTGCTCTCGACCCTAACCAGATATTTTGACTTTAGTTTAAGCTGCGGCCTTAACGTGGCTTCGGAAGAGTGCCATTAGTCGGACCAAGCTCATGACCCCCTTAGTGGGTGCGGAATGGCTAATGTTAGCTAACAGCAGTTAGAGGTTTTTGATCTGGCCGGACGCCCCCCACGATCAAGCTGGGTACCAGGCGGTAGGACGACGTCCCGCGTCTGGTGGGTGGGGAAGATTTATTTACAAATCTCGACGTTTTACACCTCACTGATACGGAAAAACATAATTTTGCAATCTTGTCCGTATGTCTGTGTGTGTGTCTGTGTGTAAACACGATTACTTGAGTACCGTTACAGCTAGGTTGATGAAATTTCATATATAAGTATTTTATCAAAATCGTAGATCCGTATCAACTTTTGAGCGATTTCCGATAACCGGAAGTGGTACTTTTTCTACTTTGAATTTTTAAAAAGCTAATAACTTGAGTACTGTTTCAGGTAGATAAATGAAATTTCACATGTAAGTAAAAGATCTCATTCTCTACCTTCTATCAAATTTTGAGTAATTTCCGTTGATTGAAAGTACTAATTTACGCTATTTCCGATTTCTCAAAAAACGCACGTAAATTTATAAAGTACTAATAATATTCCCACTATTAAGCACGTTTTATTTGGCGTGCACAGGTGTGCAATTCTTTTTTCTACGAGATTTTATTCTATTTTTAAAAGTTTAAGTATTTAAAATGGATTAAAATTCATGTCTATAGCCCGAGTTCCCATCCCCTGTTTTTTTTTTTTTTTATAAAAGAATATTCGAGAAAGTTTAGGGGAGATCGCTCCCGATTTATTATATTTGTGTTTGTTTTTATGATTTAAAACCCATTATACAAAAGTTGATTTAAAGAGTTTTCTCTGTCCTTCCCCTCATATTATTTGGATGTTAATAACACCATCATTTTAAGATACTGCTAGATTTAGACTATTTTAAACACAATAAGAATCTGATGTTTTTGTTTATTTTAAAACGGCCAATGTGAAAAAAGGCTTCCGTGCCTACTATTGTTACCGTAATTGAATAAATGAATAAATAAATGATGAAAGAAGTAAGACATGCACGATTTCGGATTCGATGTTTCTCAGGATTGTAGGTTTCTTTCGACAAGTAATTATACCCTAAAGGGAAGCAACTGCATTAAACATAGTAAAATATCTGAATTTTCATTCATCGTGCCGTATCCTAATTTCTATAAAATGTAGAGAAAACATCCACTATTCAGATTCAGATAGAATTAGACATTTGAATCATGACAGAATAAGGGGCATTTTAGTACTTTGTGTAAAAGAAATATTTAAATGAGGAATCAATCTAGTTCTTATAAATTTAATTATAAGATTATCCCAAATTCCGAGTCACCCTGTCTGTGTCTGTCTCTGCTGTGATAATCTCAATCTGATTGAGTGAGTAGCCTACACTTATTTAATATTTATTAAGTATTAAGTGGTAGTCTAGTAGTTTACTAGTTAGTAGTTGTTATTCAATCTGTATAGATCTAGATTTTAGGGTCCTAGGTGCTTTGACCTTAGGGGTTTGACCACAGTGGGGCTTTGACCACAGGGGGGGGGGGGATAATATATAGAATTTAAAATAGAAATTATAAACTGTTATTTAAATTTATGATACAATTAATACCATTTTTTTATAGATCTACATGTTTCCTGAAAGTCCATTCATAGAAATTAACATGTACCAAAATAGTCAAGAATGATATTTTAGTCTCCACACAAAGGCGGTTGTTAGTAGACCTCATAGATCTAGATTTATTTTAAATATAAATGGAACACAAATACTACGACATACAACAAGTTTCACAAATAAATAATGTAGATGTACTTGAAAATACATAGCATATATAAAGGATAAAAAAGGATTAAATAAACATGCCAACAGTATAGTCAAACAGGTAATACTTGTATGGTTAACTAAGTGACGGATGAATTAAAAATTAAAATACTATTACATCCTGCCGCAATTTAAAATATAATTACACAACTTTTAAAATTAATCCTTACCATATATGGACAAAGAGCTTGTTATCAAACCACCTGTGGTCAAATACCCTCTGCTGAGAAAACACCTGTGGTCAAACCCCCTGTGGTCGAAACCCCTATGGTCAAAACCCCATTATGGTCAAAACCCCTCTGTGGTCAAAGCCCCTCTGGTCAAAGCCCCTCTGTGGTCAAACCACCTATGGTCAAACCCCCTATGGTCAAAGCACCTGTGGTCAAAGGTCTGCGCACTGATTTTAAAATCTAGATGTAATATTTATATAGATCTATGTTATGTATTGTATAGTAAACCTAATTAAAATTATATTCACAATGACTTTTGTTAATGTTTTTGTATTGTGGCTAAAGCTTTTCAGCGTAGATCTAAGTATAGTGGTTCTAGACTAGCCTAGACTGCAGTGGCACTGTAACCATTAGAATAGATTCTATTATTTAATATGGCAGAATCTAGCCAGATAAAGATCTGCATGCACCAAGGAGAGAGACTACGATTTGCCTTTGCTGCAATGTTTTCAGTGATACTGCGCATGCATGCGTGTGTTTACAACCGCAAAACCCTAGCCCAAACTCTAACCCTAGTATCCCTAATCCTAATCCTTGCCCTAACCATAGCCATAACCCTAGCTCAGCTATGAAGTTCACTGCACATGCACAGAACTATCTTTTGCCGGGGCGAAAAATTTAATATAGCCTATTGAAATTTAATATATTTAGGCCAATACAAGTATGTAATATTTTTAGAGTCTATTACAGTAGGCTTTATATATATATATATATATATATATATATATATATATATATATATATATATATATATATATATATATATATATATATACACACATATATATGTACACATTATAGGCCTATATGAACAGTAGGTCCATTAATTATAATAGGCCTAAAGGGGATTATTAATTAACTAGACTTATACAATATAGCCTTGTCATCCTTATGTATGGTATGTATTTGTAAGACTGCCTCAGTAGGGATGATATCACCCACTGAGGTGTAGTATTAAAAGGTATGATCATGAGAGATAACACACAACGAAACAATGCTTTGGTTGTTAGATACAGGCTTTATTGCAACTCCGAATATGGCTAGTTCATAAATGTCCAAGCCATAAACGGTTATGTAGACAATAGCCCTTCATTAGGTCTACATGATCAAGTTAACATAGGCAACGGCACCGGGCACTGTCCATGTCATTTAAAGCCTGGGGTTTGAATGACGGGGATACATGTACAAACTACCCAGAGTCCCAAGATTTGCGTTTCCACAGGGACCGCAACCAAATAAATTATAACTTATAATTTATGCCCCTTGACTGGTAACCATGATATGTGTTTCTTATTAATATGTGCATATTGGCTGTTAGTTATAAAATGTTTAATAATTAGCCTATATTACTAATATATTTTCTTAGAGTAGAACTGCTTATGAACACATTGTCATCATGGCGAAACGTTATGACACATTACTTCGCCTAATGTTAGTTGGAGATACTGGAGTTGGAAAGACCTGTTTAATTAACCAGTATGCTTTCAACGAATTTCTTGAAAATCACACAACAACTGTTGGTAAGTGTCTTTTCATTATTAATTTTCTCGTAATTTTACTTCTTATACAATTAGCTTATATTAAATTATAGGTGATGTTATATATGTAGGCCTTAAACATAGAATGCAGACTTATACATAGAATGTTGGTCTTATACATAAAATATGCATTAAAAATTATTCCAATTTTAAAAATTCTAACTTATTAAAGTAACCCAAAATGTTTTCAGGTGTAGATTTTAGGATGAAAGTCATCAATCTGGATGGAAAGAATGTTAAACTACAAATCTGGGATACTGCAGGGCAAGAAAGATTTGAAGCAATAACTAAGCAGTACTATTCCAGAGCTCAGGTGGCATATAGTTTTAAATTGATACAACTTGACATATAGTTACAAACAACTAAAAAGAAACCACAGTATTATATATAATATTGTTTTATTATGGATAAAACAATAAGTATATCTTTCTGTTTAGGGTTGTATTTTGGTGTATGACATCTGCAGTAGGAGCTCTTTTGAATCTTTGGCCAAATGGCTTATATATGTTAAACAGGTTTGTAAAGGCTTCTTACTCATGACATGACATAGCTAAAGATATCTGCTGCCTGGTTCAGCTCTTTTGTTGATGTCCATAAAATTAACATGTTGCCTTTTCTACATATTTAACATTGTATGGAAAATTTAAGAAATGTTCCCTTTTGAACTTGATGGTTCATGGGGCAAGTGAAGTAGAATTCACCTGTTTCAGTAATCTTGGCATTTGAAGGGATAATGTGGTCAGCATTATGTCCAGCCATCTCTAACTTTCTAAAGTGAATCAGGTACCTTTCAAAAAGCTGGGTGGACTCAAGAATGCTCTATGGACTAGAACCCCAGATTTGAGCTAGAAACTTTTGGATTAGCAGTCATACGCTCTGCCTTTCGACCATGCAAAATGTATTGTAATCATAAGAAATTACTCCCCCTTCCCCTATATCCCCTCACAAAACCTCAGTGGAGCACTATTACCAACCAATGTCATGGTCCATGACCCTATAAGTAATAGGGATCTTATATAAACCAGCATACTGTTATCATCAAGGTTTCCAAACCAGATTCAATGTACTCCAACTTTATCAATTTGCTATCAGAGCAAAACTCCAGACATCTTAGCTGCTTTGGACCTAGTTTTTCTGGGTTACAGCTACCTATATCAACATTAAACATCTACCCAGTTTAATTTTCTATGGAAAAATAAGATTAACATTGTATGGTTTCAAATTACAATTGATACTTTTTCATTACAATTTCTAGTATGCAAAAGATAGCACATCAGTAGTTGTGGTAGGTAACAAAAGTGATCTGTCCATGAAAAGGCAGGTCCCAACAGCAACAGCTAAACAGGTTAGTTACACTTATAAAACTTTTGTTTTAGTAGTTTTTTAATGATTTATTTTAGTAATATGGAGATTGCAAATATAATTTTTTGTGTGTCCTTAAGTTGTGTATCTAAAACTTTTGTTTTGTACCAACAAGAGCTAAGAGAACTTAGTGATCAGATACCTCAGCTTTACTTACAAGTGTTTAAACTGCTTTGTAAGATATTTGTTAATTTTATGCTTTGACCGTGTCTTTTGTTAAAAATTATTGATCCAGAATACCAAAATGACTTGTAAATTTTGGCTTTAGTTCGCAGATGAAAACAATATAAGGTTCTATGAAACAAGTGCAAAAGATGCATTAAGTCTAATTAAGGTAATTGACATCTTTCATTTTTACATTAATTGTGGACATGCGTTATGGACAAAATATTTGTATGCTTGCTTAGAACAACATCCTTGATTCCACCCAGCTTTGAAGGGTACCTGACTCAGGTTAGGGATAGTAGAGATGGCAAGGCATAAAGCTGACCAGACTATCCCTTCATATGCAGAGGTCACTGAAACCGTTGAATTCTATTTCTTAATATTTTAAAATGCTTATTTGCATAGACCACCCCAATTTATATATATATGTATGTCTAATAACCTCTTCTTCCCCCTCGCAAAAGCTCAAGGGCTAGAAGTGCCTAAGATAACATAAGACGTAAATCAAAATCACGTAAACATTAGACGTAAATCAAAATCACGATTTTTAAAATTATTTTCTTTGCATTGTTCTCTTTTAAAATGACATTTTAATTTTTTTTCTGCTTGAAATATTATGAGGCATTTGTGAATAATTTATTGTTGTATGATTTTTCTCTACTCAGCCATTTGAAGATATCTGTCGAGACATTTTGCGAGCAGGAAATGAACCCCCTCTATCACCTGCTATTACTACTAGTAAAATAGACCTTACAGCTTCTGTCAACAATTCTCAAGAAAAAAGAGATCCTGCTAGGCAAACTAAATGTTGCTAGTTTTTTTAGCCACCTGTTGTTGTGGTTTTCTTGTGAAAATTAGTCAAAATCTTCTGAATTCTAAGTATTAATGAATTCAAGTTTATTAAGGGTTTTAAAACAAATGTTATTCTGGATCTAGTGGGAAACATTTTTGGATTTTTTGTCAGTGTGTATTTTGTCACAAGTGAGAAAGAGTAAAAAAAAAAATTTTAATCTATTTTAACAGAATTATGTAGGTAATTCTTTAAAATATTTTTTTTTTAACCATAGCTTTTTAGTATTGAAATTCATGACTTAAAATTTTGAAATTGCTCCTGAATATTTAGCTTAAGTACTACTAATAAATACTTCTGCTAGATGTTTTGACTATATTTAGTAAAAATTGTTTGACAGATCCTAATTAGTGATTAATAGCTTGATAGACCCTAATTAGTGATTAATGGCTTGATAGAGCTTAATTATTGATCAGTAGCTTAATGATAGATCCTTTTATTTAATGTCTTGATAATTCTTCCTTAATTGATTAACGCCCTGATTGGTCTTCATTATATGATTAATGGCCTGATAAGCTTTATTGTGAATGATTAATGCCTCTCTTAGAAAAAGCTGGGCTGATCATTACATGAAATGTTTCGTAAGTGTCCTGTGCTACTTTCATTGTTAATGTTATAAACTTTCAGCATTTTAATTATAAAAATGTATCACTGTCAATTAATTAAAGTGGCCACATAATGAGTGTTACACTAAATAATTTGCAACTCATCAATGACATGAACAGTGGTAGTTACATCCAGCTGTCTGTCCTTACATTTACTGTTGGTCTGCTGTTGAGTTTTGTTGTAAAAAATGTATTGTTGATTCAGGGATATTGTGTGGACCAATTTTTCTCATAATATTCCATAATAAACCCTAAAGACCAGAATGTGCCTTGGTTAAGACAGTGCCTTAGCTAAATTAAAACATGCTGGTTGACTGATGTTGCATGTCTGTGATTTCAAGTAGTAATTAATTACTAAACATATCAATTTTGATTGAATTTAAAATATTTTACTTTGATAAAGTAACTCACATGTAAAAAAAGAACCTTTGCCAGAAGGCACATTTCTCGCATGCTGATTATAATGGTGGCTTTGTCTTTCTATATGAGTTGACAAAAATTTATTTTTCTGTATACATTTTACAAAGTATTAAGAGTTTTAGGGTAAATAAGACATATACCTTAGGTTTTTTAAATTATTTGATTAAGTTATAATGTACAAAAAGTTTGTTGTTAAAGTTTTCACTCATGAGTTCTGCTGAGTTTTAAAAAAAACCCAGTGTTCCCACCTTAAAGCAGTAGGTGATGGTTGTTAGATAAAATCAAACTATTTGATCTCATATATTCATGTCACTGTGGCTCTATATTGCATGTCTTCCCCTAAAAGTTCTGTTGCCCTAGGTCTGAAGGTGGGTAGCTGATCTACCCTAATATTTCTCCACGTTGACAACATGTATTTTTTGTTGTTATTGCCAAAGATCTGTTTGTCAGAAGAAAAAAATATTCATTACTAGCTGTATGGTTATTTATTCAGAGGTTATTATTTTTAAGTACCATTGTATTTAATTTTTTGTCAGTTTTTTAAATTTTAAATAACATAAGAAATATTTGATTGCACTTGATATTTAAATAAACTAGACTAATTTATAAACTCTCCTTGCCCTTAAATAAGATAGAGAAATGTATTTTTCCCTTTGTCAGGCATTTGAAAGATTTATATTTTATCTAGACTTAAAATTTCGTGAAGTAGATTTTAAAATATACATGATTTTATAATAGTTTAACATATTTTAATTATGTTTCATGGTCATCATTGTTCCTTTTTTGTTCCTTGAGGAGCTTAGGGCATCTGTTAAAGTTCTCCACTATACACAGTCTCCTTCCACAATTTTCAGCTTTAATTATTTTAAACATTTTTTAAACATTTCTTTTATTATAGACCTGTGGCTGGTAAATATAAACTTTAAAAGGATAAAATCTACCAGACAGATATTTGAAAAGTTATATTTTACTAATGAAAGTTTATTCTTGACTTGTAACAAGTTTTAAAATATTGATCACTCTTACATATTTGGTTTTTTAAATTTTGGGGGAAAAAATTCCAACAATGTATGCACTATACATGCATAATCTTTGTATAATGTTATGACAGATTTTAACTGCTAGAACTACTTTGTATGAGCTTTATCTGCAATATATTATTATACAATATGTAAGACATTTGTATTTCTAAAATACAATGTAAGAATTAAAAAACTTGTATCTCTGATAAGAAGTAATTACGCAATGGACTAGCACATATCTTAGAAATTAGATAACCCTTAAAGCTAGCTGCGTTTTTTTTCTCCAGAAAATAAAAAAAAAATACTATATAAAATTTTACAATATGCTTTGTCACATTGGCTCAATTATAGACATTTTTAAAAAGTCCCTGATGTTGCCAAAGAGTTATTTTGTTATGTGATCATGTTTTTCACATACCTAGTACATGGTAGCTTAGTCATACATCACACAGCACTGCTAGTCAATAAGGTGATTGTTGCCTTCATACCTCAGTTTTAGTGGTATGACATTTTAAGTTTCACAAGAGTTTGTGATATAGCAGCAGAACATTGTTCAAAGACAGGTGGTGATATATGGACAACACGTGGTGATACACCTCATATATGCTGACAAGTGGTATATGCCACCTTCCCACTGACAGTCATTTCCTTTATTTTTTATTAATATCTATAGGTCGGGTAATTTGATTGCTTAGTTTGATGTAGACAAAACATTATGTTGATATCTGAGAGTGTATGAAAACAACAAAAGCATGCATTGGCTGTGAAATTTTTCTGTTCATGTAAAACCAAGCTCATATTTTCTTTTCATGGTTAACAAAGTTTTTTATATTTAAATATCAAACCTTTTATTCTACTTTCCTGAGTATAAAAAAACAAAAGTTCTTGTAATCCAGCTTTTTACTCACTAAATTTTTAATGCATAATACATTGTGTGTTATGTACATGTTATATTTATATTACTTGCACACATCCTATATAAAAGATTTATGATTCGTACAGTTACTTATTCTCATAAAATTACTAAACTATTTTATATTATCCCTAATACTGATAACAGAAGTAAAATTAGATCTTGTTGCTTAGTGTTAGAATAGAATTTCCCTAATGAGTGTCATGCAGTCTGAATAATGCCGGCATACTGTTTACCACAGTAGCTGAAAGTTTATTCTTAAAATCAGAGGCACTTTCGTTTAGATAAAAAAAATTCCCTTTTTTCTCCATATTTTGCCTGGCCTGATTCTGGCACAGAGACGCTAAGGTTTTAGCCTTACATAATTTATTTAGAATGCTCCAAGTTATTTTGTGATTTTTCTGAAGACTTGAGTAAAAGCTTTTTAAAGTCAAATTTTTAACCAATTTTCTCTGGTGTTGACTTATATACACTCATTCTCTTTCTTTTTTAAAAATAGAGTTTGGAATTGATTTTACAACGATATTATATTTTAATCAAATACTTTACCTCTCTCAATCGCCTTTTATCTTTTTACTTGTAACAATTTTTTTTTTTAATTACTTAAAAGAAAATAATTGTTGACTGATTTGTCTATCATATTTAATTAACAATTTAGAATTAAAACCTGTAATTTGAATTTTAAGAATATTTTTGGAGACCAAAAATTTTAGTTTTTTTCTCATTCAATTCAATATTTGTTGAATGTAAAAATATGAATGAAGTCATTTATATGGTTTGACAGAGTTTTTGTATCCATAGCTTTGTTTTTGTTTTGAGTTTTTATAATTCATTTTTAGACTCCGCTTTCAGGGAACTATTGGTGACAGTTTCTTTCTTGTTTTTTTTTAAATTGAACAATTCTTGAATTGTGTGTAATATTTAAAGCTGATATCAGGATATAATAGCGCATGTTTTATACTTGTATACCTTTTATTTTATACCAATGAGCCAATAAAACATCTGTTACCATGTGTTTTGACACTTTTTTTTTTGACATTGTATACCATTAGTTCACTTTTCAAACACAAATGAATAAGTATTTTGTTTTCTCTGATAAGCACTTCAATAATATTCAAGTGCATAGGCTCAGCATTTTCAGATTTAGGATGCTATAAAAGAGATAAAAGATTTAGAATTGTCCCACAAATCAGTTCACCATCCTAATATATAAAACCCCACGTTCGCACATCTCTCTCTCTGTCCGCAAAATATTTTCGCCGGACATCACGTCGGAATCGGCAGCGATATATGGATACCTTTATACGGACTTTTGTTGAAAATAATATGTTAGATGTTTTAAATGTATAACCACAATTTTATTTAAAGAAGAAAAATAAAAAATAAAGGCGTATTCGAATGTAGAGAAACAGTATTATTTATGCAACCGGAAAAGTGTATAAACTTGGGACAAGAACGCATTTAACAATGACGTCGCTTATTGTTTACACTAAATTAAAAAAAAGCACAAAACTGATGACGTCATCTTCCGAGTTTAGAATTTTAAAAAATGAACTATTTCATTCAAATATGATTAAGAGCTATGAAATGTAGACTACACAATACGATATTCTCGGCCTAAACTTTAAAAAAAATATTTTATCTATTTGGATTCTAGATCTAGAGATTCTAGATCTAGATGTTGATCATATAGATCTAGAGATTCTAGATCTAGACCTAGATGATCTATAAAGCTAAGTTGTCGGGTGCCCGATAGGGCACTTCCCGGCGCCGCAGGCGCTTCAAATTTGGCAGGATCTTGCCTTGGGGCGACAGAACACGGGGGCCGGTTGGCCGAAAAGTCTACGATGAGGGGGTCAAAACTGACCTCGACTGACCGGCGCCTTATATGGGCGAATTAATTAAGCATTCAAATTCTCAATGTTTTCGAAAGCCTAAGCGAAGCTGGGCAGCATGCCTAGTCTATTAATAAAGGCCATCTATTAATAAAGGGAGTTAAGCCTCAAACAGATGATACATTTTATTGGCTGTCTCCCTTGCACATCGCTTTGGGGACGCCACACTTGATGGAGTGATGGTTCCAATTTTGGGAGAAGTGGGGTGATCAGAAAAGGTCAGTCATTCCTTTACTTTTTAAAAAGATATGTTTGAAACTGAATATTAGCAATTATTTCGCATATCTTAAAGCCTTTTATATATTAGTAATTTGCAATGAAAATCTATCAAACCTAACTAATATTTTAACAAAACAATCATTGTTTTAAAATTTAAAAAATGTAAGAACTGTGGGAAGGGTGTGAAGAAATGTGGCGTTATTTTAAAATTGATCGATGGGGGGGGGGGGGGGGGGGGGGGGGTTGACGTGTTATGACGATAGGGAGATGAGGTGAAAAACGTGAACGTCTCCTGATTATTTTAGTTTAAAACATTCAATGAAAAAAAGCAATCATCCATTCCGCCAATTAACTAAAAACAAAGATATTAAAGTTGTTCAGTATTTTTAAACAAGATTATACTATATTGTCTATATTAAGTATTTATCAAATAAATATACAAATGATTGCTATATACACAACATTACTTTAAAAATAAAACTAAGTGTAGCCTAGAGATCTGGCTCCTCCTGTACAGAGTTAAGATTCCCTGCATTGCTTATCCTTCTCGGTCCTTTCCTACCAGCGTCATGTTTGTTGTTACTGGACCAGTTACCCCACTCATTCCCGCCACTGTTATCATAATCCTCCGTGTCTTCCCAGCGTGCCCTGTTGCTCATATGATTTATGTCGGCTGCGGGCTGCTTCAGGTCAGCAGACGTAGACCACAGCGAATCGTCCACGCGGCTGAAATCGTGCCGCGATAAGTTGTCCTGTAGCAAGTTCTCGGATATTCTCCCGCGGTTCACCGACTGCGTCACTTCCGCTTTCAGTTCGTCGTCTGAGTCGAGGATGTCATCTCTGACCTCGACGCCGTCACTTAGGTCGTCGTCATCGTCTGACCCAGAGAGTTCGGTGGTGGTTTCTTGGATGGCGTGGAACACGGCGGAGTAGCCCTTCTGTAGCAAGGCGGCCATGAAGGCCTGGTAGGCCCTCTCGCCCCTTTGTAGTAAGGCAGCAAGGATCAACTGGCAACAAGAACAAGCAGATATGGATTAAGATAATCAGGGTAGTAGGAGGGCAGCAAGGATTAACTGGCAACAAGAACAAACAGATATGGATTAAGATAATCAGGGTAGTAGGGCAGCAAGAACAAGCAGATATGGATTAAGATGATCAGTGTAGTGGCGCAACAAGAACAAGCAGATATGGATGAAGATGATTAGTTGGTCAGGAAATGAAATATTATCTTAGCACCAGGTTTTAGACCCACCGGATTTCACACCAAGACAACACTAGAAGGAAGTCACTTCTGTTGGTGTTTTTAAAAAGCACAATCTAATGCTGGCCTTATAATCCCTTCATAAACCCCGAACGAATTAGAAATTTTATATAAAATATATACATTTTGTGTACCAGTGTCCGCCTCTTCCCCCCCCCCCCCCTCGAAAATTGCAAGTCCTCCCCCCCCTCCTCGAGGAGAAAAATGTCTGAAAGAAACACTGCATATACCTAGGGCCTAGGCCAAAGAAACTAAAACGCTCTACATCATCTGCTCTATGGAACTTCAGGTTTGGTAATGAACTTAAGACTTCAAACCAATCTTTATTCGAACTTTTAACTATCAAGGATCAGATACACAGTCTTATGCTCGACCACTCCCCCCCTTCTTCGACCACCCCCCCCCCCCCTTTTTCCACATTCCTCGAAACTTCAACATCACGAACTAAACATTTCGTGAATAAATTTCGGACGACCCATACATATTTCCATAACTTCAACATCACGAAATAAACATTTCGTGAATAAATTTCATACGACCAATGCATATTTTTATAAAGCGCATGAATATTCAATACTAGTTTTAGATTAAGTTTGTCGCCTAACTTAATGACTTATTAACACGAACACATATAGGCAACTCAGGTTAAAGTTTTATTTACACTGTTATGTCGCATCGATCACAGCGACACTGCTATTTGAAGACAGGACCTCACGTTTTTCATCATATTGATTGCCTCCAGAGTTTCTTCCAGGCATCTCCGCCCCCACCCCCAAGAAAGTCTACCGCCCCCCCCCCCCCCCCCCCCCCGAACGAAATGGAATTTATATAGAAAACAGATACTCTTACCAGTGCCCCCCCCCCCCCCCCCCCCGAAAATATCAAGTGCACCCCCGGAGAAAAAAGTCTGGAAGAAACACTGCGTCCAAATGCTTATCCTTCGGCCTATAATTAGCACCCGTTCTGAAAGATTTCATAACCTCTCGTTTTTCGACTTAACTACCTTTCCGTCTATTTAAGTGTGCTTTAATAATATCCCTTCTCATTCCTTTAAAATGTATTTGTACTTATATAACTGAAAATGTAAATGTACTTACTTCCCATGCCATACAATGTATATGTATTGACCTCCCATGACATACAATGTAGATGTTATTACCTCCCATGTTATAAGCTTTATCTGTATTTACCTCCCATGCCACATAATGCAGATATACCTACCTCGCACGCCACATAATGTAGATGTACCCACCACCTATATCATATAATGTATTATTACCTCCCATGCCATGTAATGTAGATGTTATTACCTCCCATGCCATTCAATGTAGATGTTATTACCTCCCATGTTATATGCTTTATATATATTTACCTCCCATGCCATACAATGTACATGTACCTACCTCCCATGCCACACAATGTACATGTACCTACCTCCCATGCCACACAATGTACATGTACCTACCTCCCATGCCACACAATGTACATGTACCTACCTCCCATGCCATACAATGTACATGTACCTACCTCCCATGCCATACAATGTAGATGTTACCTACCTCCCATGCCACACAATGTACATGTACCTACCTCCCATGCCACACAATGTACATGTACCTACCTCCCATGCCACACAATGTACATGTACCTACCTCCCATGCCATACAATGTACATGTACCTACCTCCCATGCCATACAATGTACATGTACCTACCTCCCATGCCATACAATGTACATGTACCTACCTCCCATTTCTTGGTCCGCCCATGGATGTGTACCACCATATCCGCCTCCCTGGCAGTGATGACCTTGTTCTGGGTCAGTACGGGACTAATCTCCGCGGGGTCAACAAATTCACGAATAAATTTGGCGTTCCGCATCAACCGCACTGCATATTCATGTGGGTCGGGGCCTAGAGGCAGGGGGGTATCAGTGGGTGTTTTGTTGCCCGGGGGTGGTGACTGGAATTTTTTTTTATTGAAGAGGGGGGGGGGGATAAAAAAAAGAACGTCAGTAAATGATAATATAATTGTAATCGGAAGATAGATAATTAATTAATATTTAAAATTAATAAAGATTTGTAATAACGAGTTATCCGATTATACATGTAATTCTGTATAGGTATTTTTTAAAAATTGCAATATTGTAGCTCTTTTATACATTTCTTTAGATATCGGTTATCAACGATCGATGTCCACATTTTCGTGGTAAGGTAAGCATCATCAGATCACCAGTATCGATACATGGATTCATTGGCTTCGCTAGGTCTGGTGTTTCCCTCTTTTCATCGACCAAACGAGAATACACAAAATATTGAGTGCCGCTTATATTGTGTATGTAACAAAACTGCCAACTATATTGTGTATGTAACTAAACTACAAAACATGAAATTGCCGACCTGAAATAATTCTTCCAAGTTGACAGCGCCAGCTTGCTGTAGAAGTAGGTCAACCAGGTGTTGAGCGTTTGCTTCCTGCAAGGATTCTAGAAACGCCTGGAACGCCGTGGAACCTCTGTGGGGTAACACGGCCAACAGGTACCTGGGTATGCGAGCAGACGGACTGAATTATTCGAGCTTCTCTGTCTTCTGCTCATACATGCCTTCATGCCGAAATTTCTCGCATTATTATTTCAGTTTTAAAATTAATATTATACATATTATTATTTTAAACAAATACTACATTAAGAAAATACAACTAAAACTTGCATATAAATTTTGGTGGGTTTTTTTTTCATTAAAACATGTAGCCTTTTGATCAGCTATTCAATTTGCTACAGAGGATACCTCACTGAACGCTATTTTCTTTGTAAATTAATATATAATACTTGAAAATTTTCACTACGTACAGACGTAGGCTATATCATTAATTTTATTTTTAAAATATTAGTACTAATATAAGCAAAAATTAAAATAAGCAACAATCTCTGAACTGTACCTGGCTAATGCCTTCCTCCCCTGATGTCTAAGTGTTTTCAACTGTTCAAAATCATGCCAGTTAAGAATGTTCTTGTTACGAATAGCGTCTATGGTTTCATCAACGGGTATTTCGTTGACCAAAAAATCATGGTTGGTAGCTAGCAAGGTGTGGTGTCGACGCTGCATCGCAGGAGTTCGTTCTTTTATTCAAAGGCTATAGACTGTCTGTCGAACTTCTTCAGCCGTTTAGAACGGGAAACACGAACGTCAGTTTCTCCTTCGAGAACATTCCAACTTGAATTTCATGAAAAGATGGATAAAGTCACACTGAAATTTTAAATGAGAGTTGAACTACATGAATTTCATACTAACAGAGTTTCTTCCAGGCATCTCTTCGAAGAAAGTCTACCGCCCCCCCCCCCCCCCCGAACGAGATGGAATTTATATAGTAAACATACACTTTTACTAGTGTCCGCCCCCCCCCCCCCCCCGAAAAAATATCAAGTGCCCCCCTCCCCCTCCGGAGAAAAAAGTCTGGTAGAAACACTGCATACTAAAGACATCGTGGTCGAACGGTAGAGCTTCTAACTGCGTCCAACCGTTGGAGTTAATTCTGTATTAATGAGGCCTGTCGACATAGGCCTACCCAAAGGGGTGGGGATGGCAGGGCGCAAAGTGAAGCTACGGGATAAGCACACGTACAGGCGTTTATACACAACGAATAAACTCCATAGTCACACTGTGTCACAAATAAGCCAGACCCCCCACCCTAATATGACGTCACACCTAAGCTGCTAACATTCCACCCCTTTTAGAAGTGTGACGTCGTTTACGAACGACCCCAAACATAATCTGTTGCCTGAAATGTATCGTTTTAACAAGTAGAACTTCATAAATGGCAGTGAAAAAAAAAGAACAGGTTGCTTTAATTAAACCCATTTACGTAGCGCACAGATAGCCATAAAATAGAAATAGCAAAAGTTAATTAGGTAGGGCTAAATGAGTGCGATAAATATTCAAGCATTTCACCGCAGGCTATCGTGGGGTTTAACAGTCAATATTTGAACACGATTTCAGTAGAGGTTTAACACAGTCAATATTTGAAAACAAATTCAGTAGGGGTTTAACACAGTCAATATTTGAAAACAAATTCAGTAGAGGTTTAACACAGTCAATAAATATTTGAACACAATTTCCCATATCAAGATGCATCTGGCGGAAGGGGCGTGGAAGCGGGGGGATGATGGTGGAGTTCTATCGATTTGTCTGACCCGATCTTTGGAATCGACTTTTCGATTAAAATCCCCACCTGAGTTATCTGGAAGTTATGGCAATATCGATAAACAGTGTGGCATTGATCTAAGCTCATTGTTTAATACAGCGCGAAATTTCCTCCTTCAATTTAATTGACTGTTCCTGCGTCTTCGTGAACTGCCGTATTGAGTTATTTATAATGTATCACCTACATTGTATCTGAGATGTTTGCAGTGTGGAGGTTCTTAGTGATTGAAAACACTTAAAAACCAAGAAGAATAAGGAAAACGGCAGATTAAAAATACACTGTCGTTTCCATTCAGATATATTTTATTTATTCGTCGCCATTAAAGATGTCACTCTTTTGTGATGATTCCCCCCACCTCCCACCCATTCATTGTCAAATATTTAACCAACAAAATATCAGAACCCCCCCCCCCCCCTTACTGAAGAAATGACGTCCTCCCTTAATTTTTAAACACAGCTAATCATTATTTCAAGTTAAAATGTTAGCAAAATCTGGATCATTTTCGTACAGCAGTTTGTAAATTTCAAAAGCTAATATTCTGTTTAAAAAGACTAAACTTTTCAAATTTCCATAAATTATAGTATAAAGTAAAAATGTATCAAATTTCTAGGAACTATTGAACAACAGAGTAAGAACAATGTGTTAAATGTGTATCGGAGGTAAATTTCTTAACATTAGTGATGGTAGCACGAAATCAACATTGTTGTAATACAATCACTTTGGTAGCACAACATTGTTGTAATACAATCACTTTGGTAGCACAACATTGTTGTAATACAATCACTTTGGTAGCACAACATTGTTGTAATACAATCACTTTGGTAGCACAACATTGTTGTAATACAATCACTTTGGTAGCACAACATTGTTGTAATACAATCACTTTGGTAGCACAACAACATTGTTGTAATACAATCACTTTGGTAGCACAATATCACAATTGTTGTAATAAAATCACTTTGGTAGCACAATATCACAATTGTTGTAATACAATCACTTTGGTATCACAACAACAACATTGTTGTAATACAATCACTTCGGTAGCACAATATCACAATTGTTGTAATACAATCACTTTGGTAGCACAATATCACAATTGTTGTAATACAATCACTTTTGTAGCACAATATCACAATTGTTGTAATACAATCACTTTGGTAGCACAACATCAACATTGTTGTAATACAATCACTTCGGTAGCACAACATTGTTGTAATACTATCACTTTGGTAGCTCAACAACATTGTTGTAATACAATCACTTTGGTATCACAACAACAACATTGTTGTAATACAATCACTTTGGTATCACAACAACAACATTGTTGTAATACAATCACTTTGGTATCACAACAACAACATTGTTGTAATACAATCACTTTGGTAGCTCAACAACATTGTTGTAATACAATCACTTTGGTATCACAACAACAACATTGTTATAATACAATCACTTTGGTAGCACATCATTGTTGTAATAAAAATCAGCGTGATTTCGAACAGAGTAACTCAGCAGTTTTTTTAAGAATAACTCAAGAACTCTATTACTAGACTTAACTGAAAGATACAGACTTTCATTCATCTGGTATACATCTAGCTTACTTAATCTAAAATTGACTTTATTTGAACAATCGTGCTACTTACTAGACTGAATAAAAATTCGATTTAAAATTCTGAAGCCTTAACAGTGTTAAACATCAAATAAAATAAGCTCCTGATTAATTTAATGAAATTAATAAACTCACCAGTTTCCTACGATACAACTTTCAAGCAAAATACCGAAGTCATCCGTACAAAATGAGAACCAACAATTTAAAACAGCACCAGTGCTACATAATCCACGATAACATTTCTACCATCTACACCAGGCATCGATTTCAAGCAGACGGCAGTTACAAATCGCGTCTGCTGTCTGAGACTGACTCGTTTTCGTTTAACTTATCATGCAGCTGTCAGGACTTAGAAATAAATAAAATAATTTATCAAACTTCACTGTACCCTGTCACCTTCTACCAGTCCTGTTCTACCTGCAAAAGTCTTCCAACCCGCGCGGGACGATTTCACGTGTGGCCTGTCATAAAATCACCCCCCCCCCCCCACCTCCACCCGCCGACAGACCACAACACTTCCCCGGATCATTTTTCTGTTTATTCTGTGTCATACACCGTCGCTTTATCGACAATGCAAACAAGCAATAGATCTTTTCAAACTTTTCAATGGCCCGAAACCAACCAACCAATCACTGTATGGGCAGTTAAAAGACTCGGCTTTCATTCGGGTTTCACTTTTCAATAGAGCGTACACGGTTGTTTTAAATAGGAGTCCTGCTGATATATGGCCATAGTACAATCATAGTGTGTTCGATTTTATATTCTAGCCCTCCCTGCTCATGGAGAGACATGGGCCAAATAAATTTTCAGTCTGGATTGTTTGCTGTTGTTTCTCATTGGATTTTAGTTAATTGAAAATAAATGCTGATAAAGTAATAAAATGCGCACATTTTAACATTTAGTTTTAGCAAGCTGACGCGGACGTAGCAGGCTCTTAGCTTTTATTATCAGCTCCTCGGGAAAAAGAGCTCAGATGATACTGATAACTTTTATTTTACACACAAACTCACAGGATATTGATAACAATCTCATAAACATAAGATTTCACAGGATTTTAATAACAATTTCATAAACACGAGACTTGAGAGGATATTGATATTTCTACAACAAATGATTTATCCAGTCTGGATTATTATTTTTTAAATAGAAAATAAAATGTGTAGGAATATACTATTATTAAAAAGATACTTAAGGGTATTTTATCTAGACTTAACTATAAAACATTACAATGAAAAATTGGTAAATAATGGCGTTACTAGGATTATACAAGGATGGAGTGGTGGGGTGGAATTAGTGACCTATGATGATCTCAGGCGTGAATAGCAACAAAAAAAATGTAAACAATTTGTCAGCCCACACCTCCAACATGGGAGGTGGGGTTCAACTCCCCCCAAGTTACGCCATCAGACTGATTATCTACTGATGAATATTTTGGCCATATTGTTTCCTCTGATGACGGTTGTACTCCCTACTCGGGAAAACAAAAGTGTGTGATAGGAGAGTCATGTAAAGCGCCCAGGAAATTATTGAATACACCCTTGTTCAATGGCTCTTATCTAGAAGTTAAGGCAAGCTAATTGAGTCATCTATTGAGATGACTGGAAAGTAAATTGAGTACCTATTGAGATGACTGACAAGACTAACAAATTGAGCATCTATTGAGGCAAAAGGCAAGCGTATCGAACATCTATCTATTGATGCGACTGACAAGAGTATTGAGCATAGGGGTCATCCATAAATGACGTCGCGCTTTTTTGACGATTTTTACCCCCCCCCCTCCCATCCAGAGTTTCTTTCAGGCATCTCTTCGGGGGGGGCAAAGCCCCCCCGAAAAATTTTTACCGCCCCCCCCCCCCCCGAACGAAATGAAATTTATATAATTTATATAGAAAATATATACTTTTAACAGTGTCCGCCCCCCCGAAGAAAGTTTACCGCCCCCCCCCCCCCCCGAAGATTTCAAGTGCCCCCCCGGAGAAAAAAGTCTGGAAGAAACACTGCTCCCATCCGTCACACATCGTTACAAAAAGCCAGACCCCCCACTAAAATGACGTCACACCTCAGTCTACAACCCCCCCCCCCTCAAAATTGCAGTTGAATTTTTTTTAAACATCGATATTTTTTCCAAAATCTTATCTGAACTCTGTCAAAATAGAGTATTTTAATAAATTCCTATTACAATTGATTAAAACAGTTTTCTAAAACGCAAAAATAACGTCTAAAATTCGTTTTCTAACATTGCTTTTTTATAATGCAAAAGTGTGACGTCGCACCATCTGAACCTCCCCCTCCCCACACACCTTCACAAAATTACCGACCCCCCCCCCCCCTCTACGAGTGTGACGCCATTATGGACGACCCCATGTACTTTATTTTGTTGTGTGAAGCACGCTTATGCCTACACAATATCTGTATTAGACATGCCGTGTTGTTGTATGTATTGCGCGGGAAACGTGAATCACGCGCAAGCAGACGTGACGTAGGTATCAAGATCAGACATTGCATCGAGTCGTAGCCAGGTGTTATTACAGGTAAAGTGAACTTTTGTTCCACGTTTACAAGCAAAGGTCACGGTGACTTCACCAGGCACTGACCGGATGTTTGTTTTTATGCCACTTGAAGTGTCCATGACGTCAACTGTCGGACACAACAACACGGCAGCAATGGAGGCAAGCGAGTTGACGAGATTCCTTCCATAATGTTGTTGTCATGGAATAAAAACGTGCTTTTTAGATTTAGACCGTAAAAAAAAATAAAAAATAAAAACTTAAGCCTAAAATTAATTTAGAAATTTTATATTCTTAGAATAAATGCTAATAAAAGTTGCAAATCCAGAGAACTTGAAAATAATTTGTTGAGTTTAAGGCTACATTTCTATTTATTTTCATCAAGCCTAAGTTATAACCGGATGTTTCACTTTCGTAAGACAAATATTGATTGGCTGTACAGTAACTTAGTAATCGATAACTATTTGTTTACAAAACTTTGCAGATCAAGTTTTTAAATTACAATGCAAATTTAAAACCCCATGACCTAGTTTTCTATTTTTAGCTTACAATGTGTACAATAAAATCTATGGCAGCCTATCCAATAGCAGGATGCCATGTTTATGTCGCCATTACACGTGAAAACCAAATTGTTTTTGCTTTTTTTTAAATTTTTATTTAGTTACCGAAAATATTATAAACATCAAATACATCCAATCTTTAGTAAAGTCCGAAAAAAACCAGACAGGCAGGATTTTATAACCATATTAATTGTAAATACGCTGTGCATGATTTTTTAATGAATTTATACACCTCTCAAATACCTTTGAGACTTTTCTCGCTGGTGTCCATTGAGGAAATGGCGGAAAGAATGAGCCTGATTTCAAAGCTATCTTCTATGTTGATTTTTTTTTCAGGACCGTTTCCCAATATCAATCGGAATCTGAAATCAATAACAGTAATTGCGTGTGCGAGATTTTTATATATTGTTTCCCGTCCACGGCGCTTATTTCCCTTGCGACTGCCTATAATCAATAAATCCTTTTAATGTTTTTTTTTTAAACATCTAGTTCTCGAACTTAGTCATTTGGTGTTAATGGTTTAAAGTTGTTTTTCAATGAATTAAAAAAAAAACTAAAAACCAAGCTTGTACTTTATTAACTGGTTCAGATTTTTGTAACAATACTGTCAATATGCTATAACGTGTGTGGGAAAGGAGTGGGTAATGTCATGCGTCTTACTTTAAGGAATAAAATAGTTCCCAGGCATTAAAATAAAGAAAAAAAAAACGCTTTATTGTTTCCTTTAAAATTATGTTTAAAAAAAAAACAACAACGAAAAGTGTGTGTAAAGGGGGTGGGGGCGTCAAGTTTTGTGACGTCGTTAATGGGGGTGGAAGGATCGGGATTTTAGGGATGTGATAATATGAGGACAAGCATAATTTAAAATTGTGTAACACAATTAATGGATGACACATTGATACTACATACCCTACTCTAGAAGCAGAACAAAAGTAAAGTGTAATTATCATATAGTCAACTGGTCATTGGAAGATACAAGTTGTACCTTCTTTATACATGACCTGGGTTTAAACACCAGTTCACAAGTGACATTTGAAATCTACCTCTACAAAAACATTGAGTTTTAAACACAACAGCATCAGATTACAAAAACATTAAGTCCTAAACACAACATCAGATTACTAAAACATTGAATTCCAAACACAACAGCATCAGATTACAAGAACAAAACAAAAGCAGCAAAAATTATTCTTCAACACATAGCTTGGTTTATTTGTTCATATACAGAAGTGTAAAACATATTTTAGTAAGTTACAAGCATATCAAGTTCAAATTATGTAAGACAAATAAAATAACAACCATTGAATTGCTGACAGGGTAGTAGTGATAATGATCTTGTGGGTTTTAATTCTGTTTTGGAACAATTAGCCAACTGTAGTTCAGTTTCCCTGATTAGTTAAGCTTAAAGTTAAGGCAGACCTAAAGAAAAATGTGACGAGGAAGGAGTGGCCAAGGAGATAGTTGTCCTGTAGATCATCATAAAAAAATATTGAAAATAAAAGGTGAAATTTATTGATTGTCATTTTTTGTTGATTTTGATAAGACTTGTACATTTTCATTCATGGGAAAACAAAACATTTACAATATGATTTAGAAAAACTACAAAACTTTTAGCAAATAAAATCTGTAAAATAAATTAGTAAGTTAAAAATAGCAATTTTTTATGACTATAAACATAGTACTCATTCTTCACACATATGCACAAAAAGAAAGAGCGTATTTCCTAAATACACACACAGCTGATACAACATTTACTTCCCAATCAACTAAATTTGGTACTTAAATTCTGGAATGTTTGAATACTATTGGGTTATCAATAAAGAAGGTTACAACAATGATCGATTAATGCCTTCTATTCGGTTCATATTGGTTGAAGACTTATACAATCATAATAAAGTTTTTTCAAAAATATGTGAAAGGTTTCATTAATTTATTATATTAATAAATGTATGTTTCAAAATGCTTTAAGCATTGATTTAAAAAAACAAACAAATGATTCATTTGCCAACTTTGAAAGTCCTGGCCAATGAAAGTAAACAATGCCTGAGTAATGGATGAATTCGTGTATGGCACTCTTTGACAGGCTACAAACAAAAATTATAAATTAAAAAAAAAAATGGCTCAAATTATTTATGTACATACATAGTTTTGCACTGGGCAAAATACATCACAGTTTAAACAAAGCCATGTAATCAGGGATAATGATATTAATTCTACTAACAAGGGAAGCGTGATGTCAATGACATTAATCTGGACATCCACTTCCCTCAACTTTACTAGGTAGGTTAAGAAAGTTGGTCCTAAAGTACCAAAAAAATATAGAAACATGAGATAAAACATTACTAGTTTTATAATAAACACTTAACATCAGCAGTGAGAGTTTTTCAACGTTTCAAATAATAATTAACTAGAAATGAAGAGCCATTGAATATCAATGTGTAAAAAACTTGCAACATTTAAAAATTGAAAAAATAATTGTTGTAGGTTTATAATTGAAATAATTTTTTTTTTTAGCATTTTGCCAAAACATATATCTAGATCACATTATTATTAAAATTTAATTTTACTGTCTTATTTATAAATCGTAAAAAGAAAATATTACATTATAAGAAATAAAAAAAAATTATCAAATGTACAAAGTTTTGATAAGTTTGATTTTGATATGTATATTTCATTATTAAGAAACTTTATGTGCCATTTATTCTTTATGGATAGATGTTACTTTAAATTTTGATCTTAAAATTTGAATAAAACTGTGTTTCAATTTAAAAAAATACCTTTGAAACAACTCCTAAAACTTGATAAAAGTTTAAAATTTCTGGTGTATATAGATCTAAATTAATGCAGTTTAAATCAAATGTTTCAAAATAAATGTGTCCATAGCTGGGAACAAGAAACAGTTTCAATGGTGACACGGTCCTCTCGTCATCAGCAACATGAAGTTATGGAACTTGGGAAGTTTTTGAGTGGGACACAAACTGCCTGCCAAACAGATTACAGTCTGTCAAATCTTTTGTTATAGAATTTAGACAATATACGTTGGCTGTTACAAAAGATTAGAGTGTACACTATATAATGTAGGTTTGCTAATAGCCAATTAAGTAGGCCTACACATCCTCAGTATTGTTCTTCTGTATTTTTAATTGTAGTATTGAAGGTGATATCCTCCAACACAATTAAATATTATGTGTTAACTTATTATGCACCATATGGCCTGTTGACTCTGTTTTCAGCCTGCTTTTCTTTCTGGATTTGCTCCCATAGCCTTTGTCCATCCAAGAACAAACTACAAGGCAGCAGTTGTTTGATTTTGGAATTTTCTCACCTGCAAGGACTTTTTTTAAACCTCCCAACCACTCTATCCCCCATCATTAATCTAACCTAACTTTTGTCACTGAGAAGCAAAGTTTCTTACCTGACAATTTGGGGTAGTTCAGGTGACTTGTAGATCAGTTTATGACCATAGCCGTGGTGTCCTTCAAATGAAATGAACTCTACACTCCCAGTTTTGTGACTTCTTGTATCTTTAGCTTTCATGTACAGCTGCAAATACGGAGAACAGGTGTAAGAATGGCAGCTGCAGTCTAGGTTAGGGAACCAAAGCACAACAAACTCAGGTTCTTATAAAAATTACTCCAGTAATGGTCAATATAGTTTTTAGATGAATGTATTTGTAAACATTTTTAAAAATTCTGTTCGATACAAAGGAACAATATAGTCTAGCAACCGGCATTGATGATAGAATCAAGGTTGTGTAAGGAATATAAGCCTAGTTGTTGTGACCATATTATTGTATCTGACAATATTCTTTAGTTAGGCCTAACTATAATAAAACTAACTAACTAAAATCTAAAAATATAACACAGTAAAATGTTTATAAAATTTAAAAATGTATCATTACAATTATAAATTATTTTTTTTTTTACCTTTTCCCCAAGATGAAAAGGAACAATATAGTCATCCTTGGCATGTAGAATCAAAATGTGTGGTGTAACCGACAAGATACTGTAACAGTAAAAATGTGTGGCATTTAGAGCTAACATATTTATGTGGTGTAAAACATAATATAATAATATACTGTAATAGTAAAAAGTGTAGCATGTAGAGCTAACATTATATCTCAACATACAAAACAACTATTTAATTATTTTAAACCTGACTATTCAAATTACTTCTTTCAATTAAAAAAATTTCCTTAATTTTATTAACCGTTAAAAAACTCTTTACTTTTCTTCACTGTTAAAGAAAATCCCATGTTCTCCAATGCCTTCAACAAAAACCCATTCAAACCAGGGCAGCATTCTGTAAGGCTGTGAAAAAATACAAGTGGTAACAAACTCACAGTCATCAAATCATTGTTCCCCATGATTAGAGTTTGTGCCTTAGTACACAGTTAAAGTACAAAGATGGACCCATTGGACAATGAAAAAAACCATTGAAGTTGTACATAACAAATGTCAAGTATATGATTTTAAACAATACAATTTATCTAAAACTTCTATTTACCGAAGAAAAAGGGTGATGGAAGGCAGCCTCTTGAATGTTGTTGAATGGTGACTCAAGAACAATACCTGCTGGTCTATCACCTATTACATAAAAATGTGTATTTTATGTATTTGGAGACTTACATAATAAGACTTAAAGTGATTACAACTTAAAAGTAGCAGATTAAAAATTACCTTCTTCACACAGCTTTTTTGCCAACTTGGTTGTTACTCTGTCAAAATAAAATAAACATCACTTAATTTTTTTTTATACAGATGCCAGCAATATAATCTTTAATGTAGAGCAATAATTTTATAGCTCAATATTAAAATATTTTTTTTAATACATTAAATACCAGTCAATATTGTTTATTTTTTTGAGTTAGAAATTACCAAATTTGGTGGACATTTTTCAAATTTAACAACCAGTTTAGTGATTTAACTAAAGATAGTTGAGAAAAATCTAAGAACCCTGTTCCTAGTGAGTGACCCCAGATGAAGATTTTAGAGTCCCCAACTCTCTGCTTAAGCCACTTGTACGTGAAGTATGCATCATGAACAACACCGTTTTCTGTTGGTTCACCTGATGAATCTCCAAAACCTAGGAGTTAACAGTTTCAACTCAGTCATGATTCAAACATTACATTTTTAAACAGTTTCAACTCAGTCATTATTCAAACATTACATTTAAAAAAAAGTTATAACTCAATCATTACTTTTCAAATATTACAGTTACAATATTAAATATTAGATTTCAGAGATTTCAGTAATGAAATAATTTCAAAACAAATGTCATGGTCGTAGAATTATGATTTAAATGAATTAAAATCAAACAGACCTCTGTAATCTATTGTGACCACATGGAAGTCAAGCTTTGACAGTAAATTATACAGCTGCACACGGTGGTAAGAACCTCTGAAATTATGGTATAATAAACAGGATAACACAAATTATTGTCTTACAGACAAAATATATTAAAAAATAATCAGCAAAGCCTGTAATTAATACAATTAATAAAAACAAATTTATGGAATTTGATCAACCACATTTAGAAAGAAGGAAACAAAGCATTATATTTTTCAAGATTTTTATCTCAAAAGAAACCACCCAATCATTTTGAAGGTAATAAAAAGATGTTAACCTTGTTCCACTGTTTCCATGGAGATATAGAAATATCTGCTTTCCATTGTCCAGTTCATCTTCAAATGCATCCCATGGAATGTTCACATTGTCAATGTGCATACTTTTAGGAAGAATATGCCTAAAGAAACAATGATCAGTGTCCAAGAATTAAAGGTATACGTAGGCCTACATATTGTATGTGTTGACAAATAAAATAATTTGTGGGTCAGACAGTAGAGCACACCACAGATAACCAGAGAGTTTCAAGTTCAGATCCTGGGCTCAAGTCTGTAACATATCCCTAAATCCACCCAGCTTAGAAGTGTTCCCTGACTCATGTTAGGTAAAGGGGCTGGGCATAAAGCTGACCACACTTTCTTCACATGCAGAGGTTTACCTCATCTCCTCCCCCCCCCCCCCCCCCCCCCATGGACCATTAGGCTTGAAATAGTAACTTTACTTTTTTATAAATAAATTTAGAGAACTTACAGTTATTGAGTTAATTAAATGGAAATGGTGAATGAAAATATTTAAGATGTAAAAATAAACCAAGTAATTATTGTGGCCTAGCTACTCAACTAATAGTTACCATGCTCCTATTGTAACATCTTTGTCAACTTCTAGGTGAAAATTCCTGGTGTTGTTTAAGCCAAATTCACTTGGGTTTGAAAGATTTATGAAGGGTGGCCAACGAACTGAAATAAAATATTTAATTTTTCATTAGGCCAATATTTCTAAATAATTTATGAGAGTATTTTCTAAAATGTACCACCATTTAAAAAAGTTAATTTTTAAATAACAATTTAATAAATTAATTTTAATATAAACAAGACACACTTCTAAGTTTGTTTAAAATATCTTACTTAAGTTTGAAAATACAACTTTAGGCAGTATCCACTGATTAGCTCTTACAAAGATTGGAATAGCAATGTAAATCAGAAATAAGGTCAGGGTTGTTAGTTTGATACATACAAAAAAGATGTTTGCATGGCTGTAAATATACCTGAAAAAATAAAATTTTAAGTCAACATGTATAGCCCTATAAATGTATCAGTCTGTATTTCTTGCTACTGTTGGTTACATATCAAAAACTACTCCTTCATTAGAACTCATTTGCCTTAAATTTAAATTAGAAGTACCAGGTGAGAATAAAAATATGTTGCTTCAAAATTTGTATATATATTTAGAAATAACACACAAAAATGCATATGTAACTGTAAATATTCAGACAACATTCTTAAACATAACATCTCTGAGAATCACCAGTTATTAAAATACCAAACAAACTTACTTGTAACACATTTTACAGTGCCTATGTAAGTTAAAAGAAGTTTTAAGTTTAAAGATATACATTTTACAGTTTTAAACATGAACTACATGTAACATGTATGTTGGCCTATGTACAAGTGGTAACCAATGTGGCAATCATATCTTAATAACTGTCTAAGGTCTAGTTAATTATATGTACATATTTATTATAATTATGCCTGTAAAACAAGTTTAATAAAGCTTGAATAAATTACTGTACCATGTATGTCAAACATTTCAGGAAAGCAAGACTAAAGATATTTATTGTCAGCTTTGTTTTAGAAAGATACATTAAAAGTACAGTTGGAAGGTTGGTATTCTCTGCTTGTTTAAAATGTGCATGAACTGAACCAGACCAGAGTTTCTTCCAGGCACCTCTTCGGAGGGGGGGGGGGGGGGGGTGTAGACTTTTTTCGGACAGAGCCCCCCCCCCCCCCCCTGAAAAAAGTGTACTGCCCTGCCCCCTACCAAACGAAATGAAATTTATATAGAAAATATATACTTTTAACAGTGTCAGCTCCCCCCCCCCCCCCAAATTTTAGTCGTTCCCCCTCCCCCCCCCCCCCCCCCCCCACTCCTGGAGAAAAAAGTCTGGAAGAAACACTGAACTGAACTGAGTGACTTAGTCACTCAATTAACAGCCAATGAAGAAAACACTGCAAATAAATGTTGGCTGGTACGCCCTACCCCTAAAAAATAGGGTAACGGGTAAATAAAACGTTTTATTTATAGTTTTAAATTAGTTGCTACAATTAATCAATTATGCAAAATGAAAACATAAGGCAAAGTTTATTAAATTTAAAGCAGATCATAGATTATTCCAAGATCTAATACTAGATTTAGATCTAGCTAGCTAGATCTAATATAAGTTAAGTAATAACTAATTTATGTAACTAATATTGTAATAATAAATAATATTAATAACTACAAGCCGACCCGCAGCGTATTATACGCCGCTATTTAGTTGTTTTATTTTCTACTTTTCAGTAATTCATAATTTGTGAATTCGACAGTACCAATGCTGCCACTGAAAATATATACTTTAAAACACTACCCCCCCCCCCCCCTTTCCCCTAACCCTACACCCCCCCCCCCCCCGTGAAAGCAGCCTCCTCTTAGTTATTTCTTAGTTACCTCCTGTAAGTTTAAAATCTAACTAAATTATCTGCCCCTAATAGAAACCCGGCTCTACGATTTGTAAACATTTAGCTTTGTAAACATTTAGTGTGACCACAGCTCACCAGACAATGTGGGGGTGGGGTGGGGGGTGGTAGTGATAGTGATAGAGAGAAAGAGAGGGGACTGCAAGGAGGCGCTTGGAGCTTGTTTTCTAACTGATCCCAGAAGAGAATTATATATATAGATAGATACTAATAATAATATTAATATAGATTAGGCCTATTATACTAGTATTATACTATTATTTATTAATTATTTATAGGATAGGTTTGGGTTTAACTAATGGAAATGAATTTCGAATTAAATTATTTACTATGGACTTGATCTGATCCATGCTAACTTATTGTCCTTTCTTTAAGCCTAATTCTAATTTTGCATAAGGTCAGGATAAACAATGCATCCTACAACCACACATGTAGGCCCCTAGATGAAATAAATACCAATTAAAATAATCAGGTGCGAAGTCCAACTCTATCACACATCTATTTTTGGCCTACACCACTAAAAAGCTACAAGACAAGGGTGATGGTTAACTACTTTTTAGTGTGCGTAGTATTTCTATTTCTATTTCAGATATTATAGATCTAGGCCTACCTACACAATGCCCAGTTTGTAAGTATGATTATTCGTGTAGGCCTAAATCCCCTTAGATAAAATGTTACCTCAATATTCTTGTAAGATAGGTAAGCATTGATTTCTTTGTTTTAACGCCGTCTGTTTTCTCAACTGAGGCTTGCACATCCATGTCTGTCGTGATCATCTGGCCAAATCAACTGTTTTCGCGTTTCTATACAAAACAACTTCGTCCAGATCTATTTATAGATGTAGAATATTTCTGTCCAATCGAATAACAATAATGTGGGAAACACCGATTTGTCGATCTAGACGGAAACGCGGGAAATCTGTTTACAATCCATATTTCTTCTGATAGCAGTGGTCTAGCTAAACTATTCAGCTGAGTAAGCCTAGATCTAGATCTAGATCTCTAAAATATTAGGTATAGTATCGAGAATTCTAGAAATTAAATTGCCAACGGAAGCCAGGAAGGTGTTATGAAATAAGATGCTTGCAGAAAAAGCATTGGATTTAGTTCGTGAATTACATCGGACGACAGGCGGGACTCTGCCGCCATACAACGTACGTAGTCGTAGGCGTACCAACTTTTCAAACTTATGACACTAGATCTAGAATTCTAGTAACTAAGTTTATAATCACAAAATGGTCACTCTCATAGTGTACTGTGTGTGTACACTGTACAGTGGCAATGGCATGCCAATGCGGACATGGCCCAGTTGGCAGCACAGTCCCATTCCCATAATGATAATCATAATTAATAATAGCCTTTAGGGTTAGGCCTAATCCTAATATTATTAACGAGAAAAATGGCCCGTTGAGGAAGGATACACCGGGCGCTAGGCTGATAGTGCTGTCTCTTTTCTCTAAACTAAAACCACCCACCCCACACCCCCACACACACCACCCCCCCCCCCCACACACACACCCACCCCCCACACCCCAAAAAACATGTATACCGTCCCATTCAACGAAATATAATTATATACTTTTTCCAGTGTCCGCCCCCTCCCCGAAAATTCTACCCCCGCCCCCGAAAATTTCAAGTACCCCCACCCCTCTCCGGGGAGGAAAAAGTCTAAACTAAAACCACCCCCCACACACACCACCCCCCACACACACACCACCCCCCCCCCCAAAAAAAAAACATGTCTACCGTCCCATTCAACGAAATATAATTATATACTTTTTCCAGTGTCCGCCCCCTCCCCGAAAATTCTACCCCCACCACCGAAAATTTCAAGTACCCCCACCCCTCTCCGGGGAGGAAAAAGTCTAAATTAAAACCACCCCCCCCCCACCCCCCTAAAAAAACATGTCTACTGTCCCATTCAACGAAATATAATTATATACTTTTTCCAGTGTCCGCCCCCTCCCCGAGGTGGGGGGGGGGGGGGGGGGGGCTCAGACGTTCTTACGCGGGGGTGGGGCTTCGCCCCTACCCGAAGAATTGTATGAAAGAAACTCTTCACGCAAACCACTTAGATTAGACAAAATTGCCTTTGTATTGAATGTTTACTCGATAATCAATGACGTCATATTAATGTGTGCACTATCCGGCTTGAGATTATTTTCTACTCTGTGCTAAATGTGTCGACGTCATACTTCGTTTTTCGAATTACTATGCATGTTTTTATTTTCCTTGTGTTTTCTCTAGAGCGTTCTTGTCAGATAGATAGATAGATAGATAGACAGACAGCGAAACTATTAGTATTAATACTAATAGTAAAATTAATAGCACCACATTTAATCATTTATTCATTGGCAAACCCAGAGTTTCTTCCAGGCGCCCCCCCCCCCCCCCCCCCCCCGGAAGAAAGTCTACCGCCCCTATTGAGAGAAATAACCACAAGGCGTTGCTGCCCTACACTTAAGTGGCGCCTTGCCCTAATTACTAACACAAGCAGGAAAAATAACTATCGTTTATGGCCAGAGGCGTAGCGATGGGGGGCAGGGGGGTACATATGTCCCCGGGCGCCGACCTTAGGGGGCGCCAAAATGGGTTGTAAAAACATGTCATTTTAGCTGCATTTTTGCAATTTGAGGGGCGGGGGGGGGGTGCACAAATCGAAAATTTGCTCCCAAGGGAGGCGCCAAATTGAAAGTTTGTCCCCGGGCGCCGTGAAGGGTCGCTGTTTCTATGACCTCTGTATATGTCAGTATATGAACTTGAAGGGATAGTATGGTCAACACTATGCCCAGCCATCTTTATTTTCCCTAATGTGGGTGGACTTGGGAACGTTCTATAGACTTGAACCCGGATTCAAACTCAAAACTTTCGGTTAAGCAGTCATATGCCCTACCAATCATTGACCATGCAGTCTTCTCTGTATACTGTTAACAGAAAACTTTTAAAATGCCTGATTTTCTTCTTAAGGAAGACAAAATTCGACAAGTCTTAGAAGAAATAAAAACACTCTACGACCAAAATAAAGATCAAGTGTAAGTACCTGGTTGACCAAATTAATGATTATTTAGGCCTACTGTATTGTTTTTGTTTAATTTATGGCTACTATATCTTTGTAATGAAAGAAAAAAGGTCTTACAATTAAAATTTTAATACCCTGCATTACTTTAGTTTGACATTCGCTTCACATAGGTTTACCCATAACATTTTAAATTTATTTTTCAACCTGTTCTAGATTAATCCACTAAAATTCAATTACATGTATTTTATAGAAAATTAGTATTGAAAGTACCAGCATTGCAGTGCGCATAAACAATAAATGCAATTAAATTAGTTTGGGACTAATTATTTGAAGAAATATTATATATACTTTTTTATGGGGAAATTCACATTGTGGGGTGGGGGTGGTTTACTGGATGCAGTTGCACTTGCGAATGGTTTGGTAAAAAGAAAAATATTAATATATATTAGTAGACATCATTAAAGGGTTACCCTAATACAAATGATTAATTATACACTAGTATAGAAAAACTTATTAGTATTATCATTAATTATGATTATTGTCATCTATAGTTTAAAGATTTATGATTTTAAATTGTAGACACTTTGCTGCAGAGGGGCAGCCTGGTCTTGTTTCTTCCATCCAAGTTCGTCATGCTGGGATACAGAGAAATAAACGCTGCTTACTGGCTTACCTGTAATTTTTTAAAATGTTTTTTATTTAAAGTTATAACCTTTACCAACAGTGTAACTTTGACACAGCAGAGCAAGTGATATAAACATTGGAACTCATTCAATAAAAATCCAAATCTTACCTCATATAAACATAACTCCAATAAATCTGCACTATAAGTATAAGGAAAAAATATCTATAAATAAAATTAATAATTTTGGTTTTTAATTGTCAGTATTTTTATAATTTAAATAAAAATGTAATGTTCATCTTTGATATAACTGTTTTAAAATTTACATTTTTATGAAACAGTTATAATAGATTGGAACATATAAGAAAAATGAGATGGGAATTTGGTAGTGTCTTACCTCCAGATGTAAAGTACAACATGTGTGAACATGAGGTATGTATGGGTCTCATAAAGGCTTCTCCTTTCTCTAATCACTATCCTAGTTATTTTCTTCACGTAATGCTTTTAACATTAATCTTTTTAAAAAATGTGTGTTGTATGTGCTTAAAAAATATTTTTTTGCATTGTCAAATTAATTTCTCATGATTTAAAAATTATGCTAATCTTCTGTTAAGGTTCAGTGGTTTAATCAATATAACCGATTACTAGCCAATTACATGAGGTCTATAGGTGAAAATGGTGGGCTAGACTTAACTCAGGACATGAAGCCACCAAAAACTCTTTATGTATTGGTAAGTTTTTCTTCATTAACTATTGTTGATTACATATTCAAATGATAAGATTTATAACAGTTTCAGGGTTTTACTATCATAGAAAATACTTTGCTTTTTCTAGAAAAGTTTTTAAATAAAAAGCACTTGAACACATCTGACTATACTCTCCAGGTGCGCTGTATAATGGATCATGGGGAGTTTGAAACACAAGATGGAAACGTTATTTTACTGAAGAAAAATAGCCAGGTCAGTTTTAAACCTAAAGGTATTTTAAAAACCATCCTATCAAAGTGTTGATGCATTTTATCATTTTCCCACTTTTAATTTTTTAAAAAGGGACTTAAGTTGTAATGACTACAAATTTTTAAATTAAATAATCTTGCTGTTTAAAAAAAGTTTGTAAGTGTCAATAAACTTCAGTGTTGAATTTTATTTTTGCCTCCATCAGCATTACTTGCTGAGATCTGAATGTGAACATTTAATACGCCAAGGTGTCCTCGAGCACATTGTCCAGTGAAACAGATCTAATGGGACTTGACTGGGACTTAAATCCCTAAACGTAATAAATATTGTACTCTGTGCAAAAGAATGTATATTTGTAAATCTTTATGAGAAAATAAAAATGGTAAGAAATAAATTGAACTTGTGTGTAGCTTGAATATGTTTATAACGTTGTTATTTATGTTAAAATGTATATAAACACCTTAGACAATCATGAAAAGTAAGGTAATCCAGTAGAATTATTTTTCCATAAAAAGAAAAACCAGTCACATGTCTATTCAAAATACTTTATTTTTAGCAAAATTTAATAATTAGTTTTAACAGTAGAATTTGCCATAAAGAACTGACACAAATGAAATGCATAGATTACTTGAACATGGAGACATTTATTTCAAGCAACAAACCTAAACTTATAAGATTATTTACAACTATAAACTAGTCAGGGTTAGTAACTCTTGTCTAACTGAAATTTGTACAATGGCAGTTCTTTGCCCTAGTTTCATTGGAACTCAAAACATAAGTAAATAAATTCAAAATTAAGAAGAAAAAAATCAAACCAAATTGAACCTTAGGTAAAGATTATTTATTGTGCTTTAAGCTTGTTACTGTTGTCACAGAGCATTAGCGTACAAAAATAAATACATTTTAAATGAGCTGATGGATGATAACCAAGATGAGCCCATGAAGATTATAAATGGAATGTTCCAGTCCACAGCAGTCAAGCATTATCCCCAACAGAGATGTTAAAACACATCACTAACTGGGTTTATGTCATGGCCATTTTTAGAAAGAAATTATCATGTATTTTTACATTTACAACTACCTCACTTGGATTTGTATTTTAATAAAGCTATAATAATAGCAATTTTTGGGTAGAATAAGGCTATTTTTTTTCTTTAACAAAATGAACACTTGAAAAATGGACAATGGGTGATTGACAAACATTTTAGCCAAAAAAGTGTAAGTAAAAAAAAAGCATTAGTATAAGACAAATTGAAATTATCTGTCCTTAAAGAAACCCATTGTGATGGTAGTTAATAAACATCTGCATGTGACATAATATTACAAGGCTTTGATACATTTTAAAATTAGTGCATACAGCCAGACAAAATATTGATCTAGGGTTGTATCACAGTTGAAAGGTTCATTGTTTATAATCAGCATTTTCAATTCTTAGAGATATTCATTCCAAAAGTTAAACAATGTAGGAAACATAAACAAATAAAAATTAAACTCTTACAAAGTATTTGTTTTCAAAAGTTTAAAGCCATTTCTGATGTATAAAGTAGAAAAGCATTTTTCCATTAATTTTATAGGAAAATAACATTATTTATTTTTTAAGCATAAAGAGAACCCTTTGAAACAAAAGTTGTGTGTTTATTAAAAGTTCTACCAGTGTTGATTGTATTGTTACAGTTTTGTGCAGAAGCACATGAAGCAACAGTGACTAAATGTGACTTATTTTTTCTCACTACTTTCACACATTACAGTCAGATCAACACAGCCTTTGTGAAAGATGAAAGGGTTTTGCAGAAGTTGGAAGCTTCTAATCAAATCAGTGTGTGCTTGTGATTGAAAGATGCAGGGGTATTGCAGACATAATGGAAGCTCCAAATCAGGAAACACATCACAAAAGTTTGGGAGGGGGAGGGGAGAGGAGAAATAATGTGTGGTTTCACAACCATATAATCTATGGCCATCAAAAATGGATAACATATTTACACAACCATACAATCTGTAGCCAAGTTAACTTCACAAACACAACCTGATGTTAATCTTAAAAATGAAAACAAATAATCAGCAAGTTTTCAACTGGCATTGCATTGGTCAAAATTGTGGTTTGTTATTGAATACAATTTCACGAAACATAACACAAAATATTTCAACATAACCTGTATACATATCTTGTTTAAGTAAAGGCAGATTTAATCTTCATGATGATCAGTATAATTTTTATTTACATCACATATAGGCTAATAGTGAGCTAATATTGCTTGCATAAGTTGATTGACATTTTTAATGTCAGTGTTGCAACATAATGACCAATGATTCAAGCCAGCAGAGACACTATTAAAAAAAAAACAGACAAAACACAATAAGCTTCAATTTTCAATGTGATTAGTCTACACATCTATGATTTTCTGTACTAGAGAGTGTCTGTACCTATAAACTCAAACAATCTAAAACTGAGACTAAATAACATTTTAATTGTGAGTTGTAGACTTCACAACCAGTAGTGAGCAAAAGGTATACCTAGGTCAGTTGGATCTAACTGAGCTCATGTTACAAGTCATGGGCTACTGGGTTAGAACAGGCTGGCTGTTATATAGTGTTAAGTACATCAGAAAGGTAATTTCAGAGAACAGTTGCTCTGAAAGTTTTGAAATAGTTGGTGAAGGGAAAAAGTGTGTAAAGAGTTTGAGAAGTTAAACAAAAAAAATATAACCTGAATATATTGCACATTTACAACACACTGTTGGCAACTTGAAACATCTACAGCTATTTTAATTTAATGCAGTTTGGTCAGTCAGACTTTTTTGCATCTATAGAAAACAAATAATGAAATGTTGAATCTAAACTAAAAAAAAAAAAACACCCTAAAATTAACTGGCTGTTTAGAGCTTGATAAAAAAAAAAGTGAACTCTATATGGTGGTAATGACTGGTACAGTGATGATAAACAGAACATAGTACTGGTGGTTATTCTTGAATATCTGTCATACCCAATGATATTTTTGAGGACAATAGAATGAATTAGAAATAATTTTATTACAAACATAATGTATGAAACGTTTAACTTTTGTGCAAATTATACTGACAATGATTCAATGTTGTCTAATGATGGTTCACTCAATATATAACTCAAAACTTCCTCCAAACATCAAACAATCGATGGATTTTCACTTTCATCCACTTTTTCCTTGATGTACTTGATAATCCCTCTGCTCAAGTCATGTGACAGTTGACTGACAAACGGCTGCAACATGTCCTTTGTCGCTGACAGGATGGCCAGCTGGTCATCGTGTGACTGTCCCACTGACGAGTTGACCAGCGACGCGCTGGTGCTGACCACGGTTTCTGTGTCGGAGTTCTTCAGGCCGGAGGAGTGGAATGTTTTAGCCTGTGAGTCCTGAGATAGCTGCAGTGATGAGTGCAGGGAGGGGCTGGCACTGCGCTGTGTTTTAGCAGCCAGCTCTGTGAGAAGCTGATGGGCCTCGTGGAAGGTCTGCCCCAACATGGCCAACACCTGCTGGGAGTTCTCATCTGTTTTACCTTCAACCTGTGAGATCAACATACAAAACCAGTTAGCACAGATTTCGGCAAGGAGAATCATATAGAATATAATGTGCAATCTAATCGGTTTTACCTTCAACCTGTGAGTTCAAAATACACAACTAGTTAGCACAGATTTAGGCAAGAAGAATAATATAGTTATTAGTTATTTTTTTATAATGTGCAATCTAATCAGTTTTACCTTCAACCTGTGAGTTCAAAATAAAATACAAAACCAGTTAGCACAGATTTAGGCAAGGAGAATCATATAGTTATTTTTTTATAATGTGCAATCTAATTGGTTTTACCTTCAACTTGATAGGTTCAAAATACAGATTAAGTAAGTTAGTAGTATTAGAAATTTTTTTTTACAATACAATAAATTGAAATAAAAAATGTAACACACTGCATACGGGGTAGTCAACTGTCAAACATTTGTCTATTCTACATTTTTTTTTGAGTTCCACAAATTAACTTTAAATTTGTACACCAGCATTTTTTCCATCTGATTCTCTGATTGTTCACCTGCATTTAAAAAAAAATGTAAACTCACCTGGTAAAAGAGTTCTTTGACTTTACTGAGATCAGAATGGAATTCATTTAAAACTGATTGGCAGTGGTTTACAAATACTGAAAGAAGAAATAAAACATTACAAAGATGTTAACTAAAGTAAGAAAAGAAAAATCTGTACAATCTATTTGATCATGAATGATACATTAGGTAAGGGGCAGCTGAACTACTTCTTGCATTTTTATAACATCCTAAAGAGCAAAACTTTCTGTTATAATCTATGCTAAAATCTACTTCTTAAAAATAAAACCTATCAAACCTTGAGAACTTGGTGATGTGGGCAAAGGTAAACCAAGTTTTGATCTATCCGGTCTGCTGGTCTCTTGGTGAGAGTTTTGTCTGCAACACAAGAGTTATCTTAGCATGGTGACCCAGCTCATACTAGAGGTAGTTAAATAATTCAGACTATTTTTAGCTTTGGAATAAAATACTTTGTTTTAACAGCATCAAGATGCTACAATTTATTATTATTAACTGAAGTTTGTTTCCCAACTAAAATTTTTTTTTTTAAATTATCAAATATTCTTGCCAAAACAATTTTTGTTCTTAAAACAAACATCTGACAAGCTTTACTATGTCCAGTAATCCAACATATGACTGGTCAGGTTTTTTTTTTGTATTACTGCACATTTCTTTTGTGAAACAGCACACAGAAAACTAGATAATTCTAGACTGGTGTGTAACCATCAGTCACGTGGAAACAACAAGTCTGTTTTTGATTATTCTATGTTTGTGTATGTATGTGTGCAAGCATAAGCAAAATGAGCATTCAGCAATTTATCTTTCAAGTTCTATTTGATAATGAAAAATTGTGATTCAATTGATTCAATATGAGCGTTTTATCTTTCAAGTTCTATTTATAATGAAAAATTGTGATTCAATTGATCTGGTACTTACGGATGACAGAACTGTATTTATAATTCTATTTTTTAAGCAGTATTTCAATTTAATTTTTTATACAACATTAGCTACATTTATAAATCTTTACTAAACTACTCAAACAAAATTCTTTACTTGAACAATTTCTATTTAAATATCTGTAATTGAACATACAAATAAATGAACAAGAACTAAAGCAATGAGATGCCCAACTTACACAGCAATGAGCTTGTTCCCTATAGTGTATGTAGCAGTGTTGATGTGTGAGTTGTCTGATGAATCTGACCCCTGGCCCGTGTCACTGTGGTCTGGTGGAGGGCTATCCTGATCCTCACCCTGAGATGGCGCTACAATGGGGGAGGCTGGCAGTGTCCGTCTGTAAGGACTTGATGAGCGAGGACTCGAGCCACTGACCACTGGGTCCATATTCTGAGTCTGAAACCTGGCGATGCGGTCTCTTATAGAGCCAGGGGTCTCATCATCCCCACTCTCCTTACTTTTATCCACGGATGTGAAATCTTTAGATTTCACATCCGTGGATATGGTGAAAGTGTTGTTAGCAGTTGTTCGAGATAAACTGCCACTCTGGATGGGCTGTGAGGCGGATAAACTAAAGTTTGGACACTGAGAAGATTGTACAGGTGGCTGTGGTTTGGGCGAGGTTCTGCGTGTGTTGGGAGAAGGTTGGTCCCTCTCTGGCAGGTCTAGAGGACTGGCCTCAAGATTTGAGGGGGCGTGTGAACTGAGACGCTCTGGAGAGAAATGGCTGCTGGCCTGCTTCTGGTGCCGCAGCATGTTGGCTGTGTACTCTATTTCCTCAGCTACAGCCAGCTGAGAGGGGCTGGCGTGGGCCAGATCAGAATCAAACAAGGGCGGGGAGCCGCTGGACATGAGGGTGGACACAGAGGAGATGCTGGACGCCCTCGAGTCTCTCATGGCCCGGGATGGGACTATTGGAATAGGAGCGGTCTCAGGGGCTTTGTTCAACACACCAGACTTGCCAAGAAGGATGTTCTTAGCTTGGTCTAAAGTCATCTCAGACGCTGACAACTTCCTCCTGGGCTGGATCTCCCCGCTGTCTTTCCTCAGCAGGTAGGTGCCAGCAGTCTGTGATGAGCTCCCATTGAAGCGTGAGGTGCTTGGAATGCTACTGGGTGGGGGCATCAGTTTTTGGTCATTCAGGGCCGCAGCTGCAGAAAATCTGGAGATAAATTTAGACTGGAGAGGCTCCGACCTACGGGAGGATTTTGTTGATGACCCGGTCGAGCTGCTGTCGGTGCTGGAGTCTGCGTCATTAACATCAGGGACGCTGCGGGACAGGTCAGCCGACAGGCGGAGATTGGATGAAAATATAGCCGCAGGTTTCTGAGGTTTTTCTTCAGTTTCCACATCATCGTCTTCAGCTCCGAGGATCAAATTAGGCGTGGAAGCATACATTGCAAGTTTTGACCCGGCCAGTTTGCTTCGGCTCCTAATTGGTTTTTTCCCGAGATCTGTAACTTTAGAGGCTAGAGTAGACTCCATTCCTCCATCACTGACTCTGTTCACCTTGTTCTTAGAACTCTGGGTGGGCTTGAAGTATGTTGGTCTGATCCTACTTGTTGTTGGTCTCTGTGAGGTGTCGGTGCTGGTGCCATTAGTGGAGTCAGCTGTCTTATTGTCCTGTGGCTCCTGACTCTTGCCGCAGCTCTTCCTTCTTTCTCTCTCCTGGTTGATTCGTCTGGCCACAGGGCTGGTCACAGAGGAGACAGCTGGTCTAATGGGGGAACTGCTGCTGGCTAGAGATGACTTGGTCAATGGGAATGGATCTTTTGGACTGTTTTTTATACGATTCTCAAAATCACCTGAAATTTAAAAAAAAAATCTATGAATAAGTAAAAAAAAACCCACGTAAAACCCACAATCCATCTGTTAAATTCAGAAATAATGACTAAGCAATACAAATAAAGAATGTAGTTTAAAGAATGATGAGATATTTACAAGGCAATTTGATGGTTGTATGGCTGACCAAACAATTAGCTTGTCAGACCTAAATAGATAACACTTAAACGTTGTCCAGTGATGAGCTAAATACAGATTTACTAAAGCTTATAGTTAAATATGTAGGTTTAACTTAATATAACAGAAGATTGTTAGATGGGGTAACAAAAATGACTTCAAAAAACTTGTAAAAACAAAATAAAAATGAGCATTTAGTTTTCACACAGTTTTAGTAGAAAATCAACACTAACGCAGAAATATTTTTTTTACTTACTGCGTAAACCAAATAAAAGCACATTTAAAAATAAAGTTACATCAAGTGACAAAAATTCAGGCTCTGTAAAACAACAACACAATAACGCTACCTTTCTTTCTAAAAACTTTCTAACAGAAGTTTAGCAACATGTATGCACAATTGTGGTGATGGGTGGAACACGTTCACTTACACACATTTTTGACTCATGTTCTCATACAACCTGTGTAGCTGAAAGGGAACTTATCAGCTTATGACAATATCTTAAGTAAAAACATGAGGAAAAAATCTGTAATTTTTTTAACAAAATTTTCTCTAAGCGGCTGAATGGGTGATGATTAGCAATGTCCATGCATGAAACAAATACCTCATGCAAATGGTTCTTGGCACAGGTCTGACCTACACATGCAGCAGTTAAAAAAAAAAACAACTCAGCTCCAAAAGACTGAAGACAAATAATCCATGCCAGGTAAACAAAGCTCCACTCTGTGACCAGACAATCTGGCAGCACATCAACATTCAAACATTACCAGAGGATCTCTCCCTGTGGTTGGACAGTGAACGGTGCCGAGGTGGGTGGTCTCTGCCTAGAGAGTTCACCCTCTCCCTGCAACTGGGGCACCTGTTGGTCCCCTCCAAACGTTTCTCTGCCTCCCGGCTGACACTTGAACAGCTGCGACTTCTCTGGATCTGCTCGTGTTTGATGGTGATGACACTTGTGGCGCTGGGCGCGCTGACTGTTATAATTGGCTGGATGACCCTGCGAGAGCGGCAGGGGCGCGGGGATGACTTGGGCATTGGAATGCGACTTTGGAATGCGTGAAAAGGTGGACGAGGCTGAAATGGAGGCTGCACTAGTCTAAGGTTTGGGCCCGGTGTTTGTCGGTAGTGAGATCGGGAGGCGTGGGCCAGAGTTGTTTCTTCTGTTATAGATTCCTGCGACAAGCTAAAGTTGGCCCACAGGTAGCGCAGGTTTTTAGAGGAGTTGTTCCAAGGAGGTGATCCGAAAGCTGCAGCATATTTCATATGTATGGTATTACACGTATTATATGAAAGCTGCAGTATATTTGATATATATTATTACATACTGTATAACAAGAAAGCTGCAGTATATTTGTTATGTATGGCATTACATGTATAAAGTGAAAACTGCAGTATATTTGATATCCACTGTATTATATGTATATCTTTAAAGCTGCAGTATGTTTTATATACACAGTATTACATCCCGAGCTGAAATACAAATTCTTTACGAGCAAAGTTAAAGACAGTTGAATAGCAAAATTTTCTTCAACATAAACAATTAGCATTTGGCTTCACAACTAGTTCATTTTCATCCCATATCAAATTATTGTCCTACATCAAAAGAAAAAAAACTACAAAAACAATGATAAAAATAAAAACACTTCTTAAAAATTAGACCATATGAACAAAACAACAACAATATGAATGATCATGTGAAGACTACACACAAACAACTCCAGCAAATAGAGAAATAGATTAGCTAGTGAATAGTTTCTCTGACCTGTGATAGGAGAACTTGTCATTGGACCACCATCAAGTGCAGGAAACTTGGCTTCCTGCAATAACAATACATTTTATTTTATACTTTAAAGTTTCAAAACATAACATGGAAAAATAATTACAATACACAAGCACTGGATTAAGATAGAATGAACAAACAGAGAAAACAATAGAATGAAGTAATTGTTAAAATAACATGCCTCATCTTCAAGTTTAGTGGGTGGAGATGGAGGGTCTTCCTTGTCTGGAGAATCTGAATCCAGGGAGTTTCTGTGTAGGCTCATCTGATGGATACAATGTAAACCAATAGTTAAATCATCTTCAATACATGCTGAGGCTGGGGTAGTAACAAGTTAACTAGCTGTATGACAGATGAGCTAGACTTTACTGATTATGTTTACTAGCTTATATAAAAACAATTATTTCCTTAGTAAAATTAAAATGTATTATTTTTAGTGGTTAATTTTTTTTTGTACAGAATTGTTAAAATAACATTTACACATATGGTTTATAAAAAATGAAGTTGCGTATCAGCTAAGTTTAATTTAAAAAATCAATTGTTTCAGGATTATTGTTAGAAACAGAACTAAGGTTTAGTACCAAGAAAGTTGTAAATCTGAAATAATTTTTAAGCTGGATCAAAGTGCACTTTTTTTTAATTGTTAATATCCAACCAAGAAAATAACATGGCCTCAAGATGGGGAAAAACCAGGCTTACATGCACAGCTAATATGGAGTGCCTGGCCTAAAATGTGGTGACAAAAAATGTTAATAGCTCATACTTTTTTATCAACTCACTAGTTAAAAATTTGATGCATAGCTTGAAAGTTAATTTTTAAACACTTAAAAACGTTTTATATCATTATCCTAATCACAATACATTTTCAGCCACAATACTATACTATACTCCTAACAAGTGTAAAAAAAATATGCAAGGGCACAATACTCTAGGCTATAACTGTTGTATAAATAAATAAAAAATTATATACACATACAAACATGTATACATGATAATATTAGTTTTAAGATTTACATATTTTATATTATTAAGGGTTAATAAGAGAAAATGAAGCAACTAATTACATATTTTCTAGATGCCGCTGGATCATTAGTAATTGAGCAATACCATATAAAATGTGTAGAGGGTTGGTGAGGTGAAAATTTGTTGGGTTAAAGCTCTATACAATACATAAGATGCTGTGTTTTTTTATAAACGAGTACATTTTTTTTTTTTACAAAAAATATTTCTTTTTAATTTTTAATACATTTTTTGCAAAATATTGTTTTTTGGTAAATAAGGAAAATAGGTAAAAGAAAATGATGTAAATTTTATTTCCTAGTTTTAAAATAAATATTTTTATAATGAAATACATAGTAGAGGATTGTCAATTTATTTTCTTAATACAGGCACTAAGTGCAATGAAGCAAAAGATAAACCAGCACACCAGAGAGCACCGAGAGAAAACAGCTACACTTGGTACAACTAAGTGGTGTGAAGGAGGAGGGCAACAGCTGTAGCAAGACACACTAGCCACAGGACCACAGGTGCTAGCAGTTGGTTACTTACAGCTAAAAGGCTTTTACGGGTTTCATCCATAGCCCTTGACATTTCCAGCTTGTTGCGCTGTAAAGTGTGGGGGAGGTAGAAATCATAAGATAGGTGGTGGGGTGGTGGGGATGTCTACTAACATAATGAGTGGGGATACTACCAACTATGACAGGTACATCTACAGGTGAGATTGTGATTATCAATATTTGAAACATTTAGCATTTTCATCAAAGTCTGTTGGTTTAATATCTTAATGTTGGGGTCATCATGATCTAGATGATTCATTTTATGTGATTATGTTGTAGATGGGTAATGAAATAAATTCAATAAAAATGACACACATTCAACTATTTTTAAAAATATTTTAAGAATATAGAAATGAAAATTCACTTTTGATATGCCTTCAAAAATATATTGAAAGAATACATATTAAAATTTGCCCCCCCCCCCTTAAAAAATACACCGCTCAGACAAGTGCTACAACACAAATGTATCTTCTATTTAATTTGATCTTATCACCATTTCTATAATAATATACTGGAAATATTGCTGCTTTTGTTAACTCTGTACTACAGTTTTGTCTGTATGAAGTTAATGATGTGTAGACACATACATCTTAAACTTTTGTACACTACAATTTTAGAATAGCTCCAATCCATTGTTCAAACAAAGGCAAGTGAATGTAGGTAAAGCTGTGGAATCACACTCTATTCAAACACCTGTCACCACAGGGTAACCAAAGAAGGCAACCATGGTAACCACCCAGGGCTGGAGGGCAAAGGGCAAACAAAGAGGAGAGACTTACACTAAACCAGTTGTCAGGTCTGTAGCCTATCTGACCAGAGGACAGGATCCTGTAGGGAAACAGCAAAAAGTTAAAACATAGAACAACAGTTTTAGTTTTTAAATATAGAACAATAATCTTTAAAAATATTTAATTTTATTTTATTTTTATATTCTTATTCAAATACACTACAGAACCAAAGAATATATTATAGTACTATTTTAGAGTGACAATATTTCTGATATTACATTGTTGTATCATATTTTAGTTGAAATACTATTTAAAATTTATTTTTAACAAGTCTGAAAAATGAATATGAAAATATATATTTTTTTTAATTCATTTTATAAAACTTTTTTTTTATCTATGACATAGTAAGTTGTAAGGATGCCAGTAGTCTTATAAGACAAAATGTAAAAACAACCACAGTGAGAAAAAAAAACAATAATGATAAAGACAAGAACAGAAATAAACACAACACAAATCATAATAACAATACTTATAAAGAAAAAATAGAGAGAATGGTAGTAGTGACAACAACAGGGAGACAACCATGAGAAAGATGTGTCAAGGGGAGACAGCTAAGACTGGCTTACTTGTGAGGGGTCTGAGCCCTGGACATGAACCTGGCAGAGAGACTGAGCCTGGGGCTGAATGGGGTGGACTCTGCCACTGAGATGACAGTGCCATCCATGGAGTGGTGGATCTCCAGGTTGTCCACAGACTTGTTGAACTTCTCTAGTGGCATTGGGGAGAAGGTGTCCTCCTCAAAGTTTTCTCTCACAAAGTCTTCCTGCAACACATGAAACCATCGACTCAACAAAAGATACACAACTGGACTCAACATGAGACCATTGAATCTACTAAACATGAGGTACACAACTGGACACAATGAGGTACATAACTGGACTCAACATGAAGCACACAAAAGGTATTCAACAATTTAAAAGGGTAATCTAAAAAATGACAGCTTTTAAAATTATATCACTTAATAAAATGTGTAAATAACTGTGTTTACATTTTATTAGTGTAACTAATTGAACATTTTTAGTATCTAAAGTGTAAAAATATTTCCAAAACTGTATCAAAGAATGACCTTGTCTGGGGTCCGGGCCAAAAATTAGTGTAACTAATTGAACATTTTTAGTAACTAGTGTGTAAAAATATTTGAAAACTGTATCAAAGAATGACCTTTTAGTATCTAGTGTGTAAAAATATTTGAAAACTGTATCAAAGAATGACCTTTTAGTATCTAGTGTGTAAAAATATTTGAAAAATGTATCAAAGAATGACCTTGTCTGGGGTCCGGGCCAAAAATTAGTGTAACTAATTGAACATTTTTAGTAACTAGTGTGTAAAAATATTTGAAAACTGTATCAAAGAATGACCTTTTAGTATCTAGTGTGTAAAAATATTTGAAAACTGTATCAAAGAATGACCTTTTAGTATCTAGTGTGTAAAAATATTTGAAAAATGTATCAAAGAATGACCTTGTCTGGGGTCCGGGCCAAAAATTAGTGTAACCAATTGAACATTTTTAGTATCTAGTGTGTAAAAATATTTGAAAAATGTATCAAACAATGACCTTGTCTGGGGTCCGGGCCAAAAATTCTTTGTCTGGGTCAGAGGGTGTTGTTGGGTTGGACAAGGCCAGGGTTTCATCGTTGTGGTCATCATCATCGTCCACAGACACGGGGTCAGTACTTTCTGAGGCTGCCAACAACAAATGTATCAATTAAGTCTGGTTCATTAAACACATATCAACAACAAATGTATCAGTTAAGTCTGGTTCATTTAACACATACCAACAACAAATGTATCAGTTAAGTCTGGTTCATTTAACACATACCAACAACAAATGTATCAGTTAAGTCTGGTTCATTTAACACATACCAACAACAAATGTATCAGTTAAGTCTGGTTCATTTAACACATATCAACAACAAATGTATCAGTTAAGTCTGGTTCATTTAACACATACCAACAACAAATGTATCAGTTAAGTCTGGTTCATTTAACACATACCAACAACAAATGTATCAGTTAAGTCTGGTTCATTTAACACATACCAACAACAAATGTATTAGTTAAGTCTGGTTCATTTAACACATACCAACAACAAATGTATCAGTTAAGTCTGGTTCATTTAACACATACCAACAACAAATGTATTAGTTAAGTCTGGTTCATTTAACACATACCAACAACAAATGTATCAGTTAAGTCTGGTTCATTTAACACATACCAACAACAAATGTATTAGTTAAGTCTGGTTCATTTAACACATACCAACTTAATGATCTAAGGATCCAGCCAATATGTTTATAGCTCAGCTTGTTAAACATACAGAGGTCTTTCTAGAACTAAGGTCTCTTCAAGTTAAAAATAATATCTAGCTAGCTATACACCTGAAGCCATCATGTAATGAGCTGAGATAATGCCACTAGGGTTTTATGTTGTACCTACCATCATCATGGCTGGATGTGTTCCCTATGCCAAAGGTCTCTTAAGTTAAAAATAATATCTCTCTAGCTATCCACTTGAAGCCATCATGTAATGAGCTGAGATAATGGCAGAGTTTTATGTTGTACCTACCATCATCATGGCTGGATGTGTTCCCTATGCCAGACCCAGAGCCTTGTATCTTCTTGTCATCCGCAGCAAATATTTGGTAGGTGCTGAACAAGGGAAAAACATTTCTATCTTAGTCATTCCTACACAACAACATTTCAATCATAGTCATTCCCTGATAACAACTATATGGTAGTATTCTTAAATAGACCAAGACAACCAAAATTAAAAACAAAAAGATACAAACTTCCAAGAATCAGTAAAACAAAACTAACCTGGCAAAAAGGTCAGAGTCCTGGTCAGTGGGTGGGTAAATGACCTCTGTCGTGTCTGACCCAGTATCCTGCTCATCTGTGTCATCCAACTCCAGGCTGTTGCCATGGAGAAGGTCATAGGGGTCCATAGATCTCCTAGCTGTGATGTTGAGAGCAGTGTCTGACTTGTACTGAGCAAATGAATGTCTGTTCATCTTTTCCATTTCTCGAAGTTCCTGAATAATTTCACAACAATGTTTGTAAGAATTTATATCAAAGCTTTCAATAGCATTTTTAAAGAATACTACAAAATCAATATCATTAAAAATTGTATTTGATGAAAGATTGTGTAAATTTAAATTTAAAAATAACACATACATGTGCAACAAATATATAGATCATTAAGTGTATCTATGGGCAAATAATCCTTAGAATATTAGATAAAATAATCTATAAAAAATGTTAATAAAGCTAAAGGTAAGACTAACCCTAGCAGATGCAGGTAGATGTAGGTCACCTGGTGATCCCCTGAAGTCATCTCCTATCACAGGTACATTCTAGTGATCAAACAGGTTTTTAATGCATTTAAAATGTTGAAACTACTATACATGGTTCTAGCCAAAGTTTTGTCAGTATGGGTAAAACAGGTTTTTAATGCATTTAAAATGTTGAAACTACTATACATTGTTCTAGCCAAAGTTTTGTCAGTATGGATCAAACAGGTTTTTAATGCATTTAAAATGTTGAAACTACTATACATGGTTCTAGCCAAAGTTTTGTCAGTATGGATCAAACAGGTTTTTAATGCATTTAAAATGTTGAAACTACTATACATGGTTCTAGCCAAAGTTTTGTCAGTATGGATCAAACAGGTTTTTAATGCATTTAAAATGTTGAAACTACTATACATGGTTCTAGCCAAAGTTTTGTCAGTATGGATCAAACAGGTTTTTAATGCATTTAAAATGTTGAAACTACTATTAGCTAGGCCAATGCAAAAATTTAATTTCAGTAAAACAATATAATAGTTACATATTTGGATAGGGGCTGTCAATCTGATTACAGATCAGTTTGAATTTTCAAAATCTGACCATAAACAAAAAAGTTATGAATTTTTTAGTCATTAAAAAACAGCAGTTTTTTCAGACAACCGGGGTAGACCCTGAAAGAGGAAAAATATTGGGAGGGTATGGACCAAATTTTAAAGAGTTTTTCACTAAAAGTGGTATTAAAGCAAGCAGACTTCATCAACTGATGTCATGTTATGGTATTTTATAGATTTTTGTATGCCGAATCCAATGATGCTATTTTAAAAAGTGTCCTTCCATTACATAATCGACTAATCTCATAGATTATGTAATACCCCCCCTTTCAATTTTTTTTAAACATCTAATAATCAATGTGATAAGAAGTCATTGTTTAAATGTAACACTGTTTTAATCTATAATATGACATTTATATATGCTGAAGCTAATGGTAGTATTTAAAATGGTCCAACATTGTTACATAACTATCAAATGTTAAGGTTATGTAATACCACCCTTTGCTCAAAATATACCATAAATTAGTTTTGAAATCACTTTTGCTCATTGTCAGTTAACTTCAAGTTAATAGCCTACTAAAAGAAAATATAACTAATCAAGTTTTTCAATACAAAGAGAAGAATGCTATTACAATAGTAAATTTGTGATTATGTAACTTCTTAAAAGATGTTATGTAATCTATGTCCAATACTAAAGGCCTACTCTATTCCAAAATTTAGGCCTATTTCATTATATTTATATTTCTTGTTATTTTAAATATCATACAACTTTTTGCTATAGAATTAGTCTAGTTACAAATGTGTCTGATCAGAATCAGAGTGTGCTTTATGATAATTACGTAATATTATTACCCATATTAAAATTAATCCTTTTTACAATTTCAATAAAAATAATTTTTGGAGAAATTTTTTTTCAAAAACTTGCACAAGGTATAGATTTAGTGTAAGTTATAGGTCTATAACATAAATTTTATTTAAGCCCAATGTTTATGCTAGTAGTAAGTAGGTTTATGTATTTTTGTAGGCCTACCAGTAGGCCTTTTACAATTAAAAACTTTCTTAAGAAAAAAGCACGTGTTTGAGTGCTTGACTGTGTAGATCTAGTAGATTCTAGAAATTGTGTAAGATTACCGTGTTTGGCTATACACAGACACGTGTACCACCACAAGCTTTTGCCTAGATTTTGTTTAATCTGACTAGCCAGATCTTCTGACCAACGAATTTTATTGCCCTATTACGTAAACACGACCGCTGGATAGGCTAGTCGGCCAACCCGATGAACGTGTCAGACGAATATTATGTACTTTCAGAGACAAAAGTCTGGCAAGATTTCTTGATCTATGCCCGAGGGTTAGTAACATCAACTCCACAAAGTGAAGGGGGAGGTAGGTGGGGTATGAAACCACCACGAACTGAGTAGGTACCGTACGAGTGTTGTACAACATCAAAGGCGACGACCATCGGCTCGTCGCGTCACGGACTAGTGGGGGCGGGGTGAGGCTTACGTAGGCTATGGTTGTTACGTTGGGTGTTATACACTCGAATGCCCACCCCCACCCATCCCATCCCTTTTTGGTCAATTTGGCAGGCTAGTATCCTCCACGTTGTTAAGCGTGTGTAGATTCTAAATGTGTAGTGAAAAAAAAAAGGGGACCGGGAAAAAAAAATTGAAGCCGTTTTTATGAAAAAGAAATGCTCTAGCCTAATTTTAAATGAAATTAGGGTGCGCGAAACGCAGAATTGTTATAATCGGACAGTAACCATCTGGATTAATTTTAAAAACAAGATGAATTTTAACCCTGAGCCGTAAATATTAATAAGACTTTTTTCCCGTTTAAATGGGTAAGGACAAAATTATGAAACATGCCTGTCGGCTTATAGATCTAATCTATATAAAATAGAAATAGCCGTCGAGTCTAACACGGGAACACATGTAGGCCTATCTATCTTTAGAAATTGTTTACAGTATCATCCAATCGGATAGACCGCCTAGCGTCACGTGACCAGGCATTCGGATGTGCCACACGGTGTGTAGACCGACACAGCAGAGCAAGCAGTCGGACAGCGGTCGGCGCGTTAATTTTAATTTTTGCTCCATTTTAAAATGTATGGGCGGCTTTATATGGGGGTATTGTAGAAAAAATCATACATATAAATAAACTTCCAGATTTCAGCAATGCAGCGCAGGGTTCAAATTAAAAATCGGTCTATAAATAACCCGGGAAACTTGGTTCAACTTTGCTTTACGATATCTCCGAAAGTATTTAATATATTTTGACGACGAACCCTGCGCTGTATACGTCTACATCTAATCTGTATTTCTGCCAAGTTTCACTGTTGAAGGGCGAAAACTCGAAGAGTCTATAGACTCAAAGTAACACCCCTGTTTTAAAAAGGTGAAAAAGCCTCCCCCCCTAATCGGCACGTCGCCGCGGGGGTAAAAAATGCTATTCAATCGGCGATTTCTTCAACGTCTGAAATCATATTAAAATCAAACTCATACAGTTTAAAAGGTTATTCAATTACGAACAGAATGATGTATAACATGTTAACATAAACATAATAAAAGCATGCAAAAAATAGAGTTGAACATGCAGGGGGTAGGGAAAAGCCGATTTGTCCGATTTTCTCGGCAGCGGCATTGGCCTAGCTACTACTATACATGGTTCTAGCCAAAGTTTTGTCAGTATGGATCAAACAGGTTTTTAATGCATTTAAAATGTTGAAACTACTATACATGGTTCTAGCCAAAGTTTTGTCAGTATGGATCAAACAGGTTTTTAATGCATTTAAAATGTTGAAACTACTATACATGGTTCTAGCCAAAGTTTTGTCAGTATGGATAAAACAGGTTTTTAATGCATTTAAAATGTTGAAACTACTATACATGGTTCTAGCCAAAGTTTTGTCAGTATGGGTAAAACAGGTTTTTAATGCATTTAAAATGTTGAAACTACTATACATGGTTCTAGCCAAAGTTTTGTCAGTATGGGTAAAACAGGTTTTTATTGCATTTTAAATACTATACATGGTTCTAGCCAAAGTTTCGTCAGTATGGATAAAACAGGTTTTTATTTAATTCAAGATGTTGAAGCTAAAATATCTTGTCAGAAAAAGTAGTATTATTTAAAATTATTTAACTAGCAAAATGTTGTCCACAAAACACATTGTCATAATAATAGAACAATTTTAGTCTGCTAGCAAATTAGGTAGTGACAAGTTTACAATTTTTTTTTAATGAATCAAGTTATTAAAATAAAAACCAACCTAAAAATAATACACCTTACCTTGCTTCTAACTGTCCTCAAAGTTATTAAAATAAAAAAACAATATTTAAAAACCAGGTTAGAAATCAAACACCTTACCTTGCTTTTAACAGTCCTCCCTAACACAACAGTCTCCCTGCGTATGTCTGAGAGATGGCCTACACTCAGTTCACCTGCCAGCTCCTGACGACGACCTGGGGAAATATGCGCAGCCTCCGGTGTTATCAGCCACGAATTATAAGGATACTCCAGACAAACTTTGCCCTAGATTCGAATTCTTATCCGGTTTTTTCAACATTACCACTGTGTTTTATTCTACTAAATGCATTTATTTAAAGTTTTGTCATTTTTATAATATTGTAGAAAATTATAAACAATGAAATATTTTTTTGTTAAACTGCAGACTCTATAGAATGTTTAGCAATGTAAAAAGAAGAAAAAATAGCACAATAATTTCTTATGGCTGTTAAATACTTGGTAATTTAATTACTAATCAAATTGTAAACAAAAATCTATTAATAGATAAAGGTAACTTACTGGCAGTGTAGGTACTAATGGTGTCCTCATCTGAAGTAAGGTCCAGCTGAGACTTGAACTCAATGTTGTGGTCAACTCTCTGTGCCCACCGACCTTTGGGCTGCAGCTGTTCTTGGTTGTTCTCTAGGCCATCAGTGTGGGAATCACCAAACTGGACAAACACAATTTTTATCATCTTTCAGCTCTAGATTCTTTAACATAGTTATTTAACACACAAGTATAAACGAAAAGAAAATTTTAGTATCTTTACAATTTGAGAATATGCAAGAAGTGGATCAAATATTACCTTAGCCTTTGCCCAGTTGGGCAGCTGTCCAATGCTAAAGCGATAATCTAGGCTGGCGTGGCTGGCTGTGTCATCAAAGACCTCCTTGTCATCATCATCCTCCCTCCCATCAACACTCTCAGTGTCCTGCATGGGGATGTGGCTGACCGATGCTGATTTAACCACATGGAAGTTGCCCTCAGAGATTGTGTTCTCCAGCATCACTGGGTTGGGCATCAGAGGCTGGTCAGATCTGAGAGGTAGTCACAGTAGGTTCAAGTCAAGTTTTTAAAAGGTCATGTTATGTTAGATTCTAGTTTCTATGAACATTCAAGGGTTAATACAAATCATAATTTATTGATTAATAGCAAAATTAATTGTAGTTCTAGTGTATTACACTTTCTTTTTTTTTCAGCTTTAATGTGTAATGCATAGAGAAATTACTAGTAAGAATTAAATACCGAAAATAGTCTGTATCCTTCATATGTTTTCCTAACTCCAGTAGCCTCCCTTTGATTTGATTGGTCATTTCTGAAGGCAATCTCCAGACAAATATACAGCTGTGAAGAAAGAATGAAAAACACATAAGTTAATGTGAACTTAACACATTACCATATTTATACAACTAGGTCAATAATAAAGACACTTGAACCCTACAGGTTAGATCTGAATGTGGTTTAAACATACACCTAGCTATATGAATGATTGTGGGAATCAGTTTGACTAATTACCAAAATGTGTATATGGTTCATCAGTTAATATCATAATTATGTGTGTATGGCTAATTTAAAAATCAATGAATGATGTGTATAGACACTCATTTACACTGAACTTGAGCATATGGCTAACAACAAACAATCAACACGTGTATGCAGTTCATCATTGAAGACCCTTACAGATGTGAACTCACCCATCAGCAGAAACTGTGATCACATGCTTCAAATCATTAGCAAACTTCACCCCAGTAATGACCTCTGAATGCCCATACATGGTAGCCATGAGCTCTCCCGTGTTGAAGTCCAGGATACAAACATTCTTATCTGTACATGTGGTGGCTGCGTAAGTCCCTGAGGGGTCCAGATGGATGCGCAACAAGACACCCTCGTCTCCTGCCGAACCTTTGTAGCATTTTTTTTCTTTTGTGGTTTGAATGTTGTAAAGTCTGCAGAAGAAATTATTTACAGTTTGGATAATTATTAAAGTCATTAAACATGAAGTTTGAATGGGCATTCAGGGGATGTAAATCAAGCAACGGATAGTTATTTTATTTTAATAGGTTAACTCCCATAGTAAAAAAAACATACCATTTTAAAAAAGAAATTTAAATTAAATAAGCAATTTCAAGTTTATAAAATTTGTAAGAGTAAAAATTTAATTTTTAGCAACAAAATAAAATGCTAAAAAAAAAAATGAACATAGGTGATTGATCATATTTATCAAACTGAGAAAGATGAGTTATTGATTGACTTACCGAACATTTCTGTCTTGACAGGCTGTAGCAAGGCACTTCTGTGTAGGGTCTATCACCATGTCATATAGTGTTATCTTTGTAGCTAAGTGGTGTTCTAACTGGAACTGAAAGTCTGGGGACTTGAATTTAAGACAGATTTAATAGTTACATGCTTTCCAAGTTAATGTTAAATAAGATTTTTTTTTAAGGCAGGTCAATTATAAAAAGCTAACTAAAGAAAGTTTAAAAACTCTTACAGTGACAGCATTCCTAAGTAAAATGGATTTGTCTGCCCCACAGCTGATCATGCGAAGTTTGTCGTCGGTGTCAGTGAACCTGACGGCAGTGATGGATGACGAGTGGTCACCTAGTGTCTGGACCAGGCCGTAGTTCTGGTCCACATCAAACACGTGGATGAGCCTATCACGGCTGGAAGTGGCTAAAAACTTGCCTGAAAAGTTGGGCAACTTATGATGTAGATCTAATTTTATAAATATTATTGTCTTAACATGAAAAAATGTTTAAATCTATAAAATCATGCATATTGTAAAAATGTAGAGTTTGTTAAATTTGTTTAGCTAGAATGATGCAAATGGAAGTGTAATGTTTCACAGAAATACCTTCAAACAATACTATACAAATATTAATTAAGCAATTATAACATATAATTGAGCTTCACCACCATTTTAAGCCACCCTGATCTAACTTTTATAAAAAAAAACAGATAAATTTGGAACCCTTTAGTTTTGTTGCATAAGGATATTGAATTATAAATATTTTACTAGCTAAAACAAAGACAAGGAGGAATTTTTAAAAAGTCATTGAATCTAGAACATCACAAAAGCTGTGTGATATAGTTTATTATTTATACACCAGTGAGGATAAGACTTTTATGGTACAGAAACATTAATCCTTATACAATTCCTTTGTTCATGACACAACCTAATCACACTACAACAGGTTGACTTTTGTTTATTTGTGTGTTCAACTAAATCAAGTAAGCTAATCTATCCCTGTGTTACAAGTAATCAACTCACAGAAAAACAGGGATGATTGTATGCTGGTTTATAAACTAATCACTGGTTTGTTTATTACCTGCATGCATGTGTACAGGTTGTCTTAGAGATTAGCTTAGATTTAATAAAATTCAGGGGCATGGGAATAATAGATGGAGTTGAAGCACTGCACTAATTGAGGAAATAGAGGATCCAGTTCAGCAGTTAACATAGATAGATGTTTTTTCAGGTATTTTTCAGGAGGATAAAATGTATTTTTGTTATGAAATATAGAAAGCGCAAGAAATATATAAGGCTATTAAAAAAGGGGAGGAACACTACAGACTCAATAAACGAGACCAAGTTAAAGGTATTGAAAACTCACCATGTTGGGTGTATGAGTATTCTAGGCACATTACATCTGCTTCGTGGGCTTCTACACTTTTTTTCTCATTCAGATAATCCATGTCATAGATCCTGCAACATTGTGTTTAAAATGTTTTAGTAGTTTTATAATACAGAGACATGAAATGAAAAAACAAAAAACATACAATATTAACAAAGTTAACTAATTTACCTGATATTGCCTTGCCTGTCTCCAGAAGCCAAATCAGCTCCATCTGGGCTCACCCTAATTGACCTGACGCCATTTTTCCCATCATACGTTGTGTCAGTTTTGTCTGTAGCCCCAGCTGTAAAATTTACATCATTGGCTCATGTTGCATAACTACATGGTACCTAATACAATATTTTAGTCTTGATAATTTAAAACACAAGTTAAACATTAAAATAGTTCAATCATAATTTAAAACCTAATGGAACTCCATTTTTTATGTACATTAAGTTTAATATTATTTTTGATAGACATCTTGCTTTAAGACATAAATGTAGACAATATTCTACCTGGGTTGTAATCAACATTACATAATGACGTCAGTGTAGGATCTGCATAAACTATTTTCAACAACTCCTAAAGGAAGGAGAAAAACAATGTTTTTTACTTAACAATAAAACACAACAAAATTATTTCATTATCTAACCAAATTATTTTATTTAAAAAAAAAATTATAAAAAACAATAAACAACATGGCTTTAAAAAGTCAATTTGGCTCACAAGTACTAACATAGGTATAAAACGTGTATAAGGCAAACAGGTACTAACATTGCTATAAATATTGCGTTTGTATGCAGTGTTCTCTGGCATATGTGTGTTCAGGTTCCAGACACGTATAGTGTTGTCACCTGAGGCTGTCAGAAAGGAACCAGGTGGGAGACAGGACTTGGTGCCTTCCTCTAGCTGGGGGTACACCTGTGGTAGAAGGTGTAATACAGTGTAGGACAGTTGCTAGCATTTCATTTTACTGTCAGATATGTTATACAAGTATCAAGCTATTTAGCCTGTTGTTTAACTCTTAAGTTATCTAAAATATATTTGAACTTATTTATATTTAGCAAGCTATAACTTGTTTGTCTCAGCTAAAAATGACATAAACAATTTTACTTAAGTCATCATTAACACTGTGATATATCAGGTGTAAAAAAAGCTGTCAATGAACAAACTACTAGTTTAAAACCTGTACATGGTTACATGTTTCTACAATGGCTAAACTTTCCATTTTCATGATAGATAAAGATCATATTTATTATGGTGTCAACAACTAGAATACAATGTATCGAATTGGGTGTTTACCTCAAGAGACCAGATACATCCACTGTGATACAGAAATGACCAAGCCTTTCCCACCCTTTTGATGTCATGAACATCCCATATATAAACACTACGGTCATTATATATACATGTAACCTGAAACAAACAAAATTAAAATTTTAAGTTCAAAATTTTTTTAGTACTTAAAAACCTGGCAATTTAAAAAGTGTAGCAATAATGTAGTTATATGTATATTAAATGTTAGAAATTTTTTTTTTTTAACATTTTAAAATTGGTTATATATCTGCCAACATTTATTTTTACTGATTAAAGAGCTCCCACCTTTTTATGATCATCATCAATAGCTATAGCCTTAGTGTCTGGGTATTTGGCATCTTGGCTGTGAGCCACCATGTGACTGTTGAAGAGTTACAAATAATACATTCAGTCTCACACATAATACATGCCGTTTCGCACATTCAGTACATTCAGTCTCACATATTTTTTACAGGTATGATGGAACCACTTTTAAATATAACACAACAAACATGATTCAAACCAGCTTTTTCTTTACATAGAAACTTGAACATTCATGTTTTTTATATTAATTAAAATCATTAGTTGAAAAGAAGTGTAAAATTACTTAACTTTGCAAAAAACTAAAGAATATAGGATGCTTAACAAAATGCTTTATATTCTCCCTTGTGCTATTGGGCATTAGCTGAAATACATAGCTGCTATACTATAGGGGAATAAGTTACCTTGGACTTGTAGCTGTAGCAGTGGCATAGCGAGGTCGGGTGTCACCCCGTGCGGCACTTAATGGTGTCACCCTCCAGAGGCGCAACGACCCTTCCCGGGGACAAACTTTCAATTTGCACCCCCCCCTAAAACTTTCGATTTGCACGCCCCACCTCTTAAAAGGCTATTTAACACTCTAATTAATCACTCTATTAAGTGGAATTATCATTTTTCTCTACATATTTTGCTATTTTTTGCCTTGGTATCAACCCCCTAAATGGTGTCACCCGGTGCGGTCCGCACCCCCCATGCTACGCCCCTGAGCTGTAGTGACCTTGGACTTGTAGCTGTAGTGACCTCTACACCCATGAAATACAGTTGCTAAACTATGGGGGAATAAGTTACCTTGGACTTGTAGCTGTAGTGACCTCTACACCCAGGTGATGTGGTTTGGGCAGTGAACACAGGTAGTGTAGAGATGTGGAGCTGAAGACACGGACAACCCCCTCAGCGCAGCCAACAAATATATGCTCCTGCCCAGCTGTTATACAGTTGGCTGACTTGGTCTGTGGAGAAACAATTTCACTGCTTGATGGGAGGTATACTGGGATGGGAGGTATACTGGGATGGGCGGTATACTGGGATGGGAGGTATACAGGGATGGGAGGTATACAGGGATGGGAGGTATACAAGGAATCAGTGTAGGACTGATAACCCATTACATGTGATGGGCTGCTGCTTTTAGAACTACTGGACTGCTTTAACCTCACTCAAGTTGCTAGGATAATTTTTTAAGCCCACCCATCACTGACAAGTACCTGATTCAAGTTAATAGAATAATGTTTTAAGCCCACCCATCACTGATGGGTACCTGACTAAAGTTTGAGAAAGTAAATGTGACTGCTAACAGTTTTTTAAACATGTTTTCTTAATATTTCAAAGTTATAGAACCAGGACAACTCTATCAGGTCAGAAAAATGCATTATTTTTTTTACTTCTTACATGTGTTTATTACATCACTTATCAAAACTAAACAAAAAGTGAAATAACTAAGCCGACAAAGTTAATTAATTATTGATTTATTGTCTGAAACAAGAATTTTTTCCACTACACCAAACTAAAAATCTGTCTAAGAAATGTTAAAATCAATTGTACATACCCGTAACTCCACCCACTTGTCCAGCTGCCTCTTCTCATTGAACTCACACAGCAGGCCAGATTGGGTGATGACAAAAAATCTGCCACACATGGGGCCCTGGCCTGCCACAACGTCACAGAAAAAATTGTTCTTCTGATCTCCCAGAATGCCAGAGCGACCCATCAGTGGAACGGTTTGATTGATCTGTGGGATGGTAAACAACAACAAAGGTAAACAACAACAAAGGTAAACAACAACTTAGGTAAACATGTATTGGGCAACTTGGGCTCAGATAAACTTAATAAAACTTCTCAAGCGGGTAGAGAGAGAGAAGAAACATTGCGCAATCAAATACCTTTGATCTCCTTTCTTCCAAGTACCAAAACCTGACGTGTCTGTTGCCAACTGTCACAAAACATTTGCCATCTTCTGAGAAAGCTATGGCACTGACCTGCAGGTAAATTAGAGGTAACGTTATCATGGCCCAGGTAATGATGCATAAACTGTATACGCTTATCTTTTTCTTTAACTCACCCTTGTAAACACAAGTTTTAAAATAAAAATAATAAAAAGGTGTATGCCACTTATAACTATACTGAAAAGCAGCACCTTAAAACTCAAGTGTTGTAATTTAGTGATCATTAGCACAAACAAATCCCACAAGTTATTTTGACAGTGACTGAGAAGGAACCATAAACTCTAGTTTAAAGGGTAACATCTATCCTTAAGTTGTACAAGCATAAAGGATAGCACCCACCTTGCTGGAGACATTGTTACAGGCCACTTTGTTGCCAGTCTTCCAGTTCCAGACATTGATCATCATGTCATGCTGGGTCCCCACTGAGACCACTTCTTTCATGTTGGGGGAGAAGGCCTAGAGGAAACAGAGATGTCAGTACATTTATATGGATGTCATGGGGCTGGTCCCCACTGAGACCACTTCTTTCATGTTGGGGGAGAAGGCCTAGAGGAAACAGAGATGTCAGTACATTTATATGGATGTCATGGGGCTGGTCCCCACTGAGACCACTTCTTTCATGTTGGGGGAGAAGGCCTAGAGGAAACAGAGATGTCAGTACATTTATATGGATGTCATGTGGCTGGGTCCCCACTGAGACTACTTCTTTCATGTTGGGGGAGAAGGCCTAGAGGAAACAGAGATGTCAGTACATTTATATGGATGTCATGTGGCTGGGTCCCCACTGAGACTACTTCTTTCATGTTGGGGGAGAAGGCCTAGAGGAAACAGAGATGTCAGTACATTTATATGGATGTCATAGGCTTTACAGCTGTCATTTACATGGGAGGTACAGGTTTTACAGCTGTCATTTACATGGTAGGTACAGGTTTTACAGATGTCATTTACATGGGAGGTACAGGTTTTACAGATGTCATTTACATGGGAGGTACAGGTTTTACAGATGTCATTTACATGGGAGGTACATGTTTTACAGCTCTCATTTACATGGGAGGTACAGGTTTTACAGCTCTCATTTACATGGGAGGTACAGGTTTTACAGATGTCATTTACATGGGAGGTACATGTTTTACAGCTCTCATTTACATGGGAGGTACATGTTTTACAGCTCTCATTTACATGGGAGGTACAGGTTTTACAACTGCCAACACAAGTACATAGCTGTTTTGGTGTTGAAATGAATGTGCCTAACCAAATAAAGCTATTATTTCGGTTGCCTTGAAAGCAAATGAAATCATTTAATTCTACTTATATTATTTCAACTTCAAAATCTTTCCAAATAATGTCTTAAGAGTTCAAAGGGTAAAAATATACACACAATATTTCTTCTTAAAGTGTATCATATTTTGTAGCCATTAAGAATGGCCTTATGTGATCACTAGAAGCACCATTATCTTCCTTCCCTGTGGTATTGGACGTGTGTGCAAATAGCTTGAAACCAACTCAGTCTGCACCATCTTTCACCTGTCCTTGTACTCTATGTGTGTTTATTGACCAAGGCAGGAAGGTAAAGGCCAGGGACTACAGGTGTTTTCTGTCTATTCCAGGAAACCATCAGCAGAGATAATAGGTAGGGCCTAGTCTACACCCCACCCTCCACCTCACAAGGTTCTATGTCAATAGTCCCTGGCACCCTGCAGCAGGGGAGATAACCCTGACTCCGGGCTATGCTGTGTTATGTAACAACATCACTTCATGTCAGAAATGTCATCTCCACCCCTTTAGCATGAGAGAGAAATGTCAGGAAAGTGAAACACCTTTTTTACTGGCATGTGCTGGAGTATAGTTCTCATCCACACAAATAAATCAGAACAGGCAGTTTACTTATAAGTTATATTAGGATTTGAATGAAAGGTTAAGGACAAAATCCTCTAGTTATTAAGATACAAAGGGCAATGCTGGGATGGTATGAGGACCCTTGAAGTTAGGTGTGGCACCATGACCCAGCCAACTATTCTGTAAACAGACATCGTTACAACATGTCTACTTATACACATTTGTGTTGATTCTGTTTACAAAATTCTCCTATGTTTTAATTATCAGGTACATTAAAACAGGTAGATTTTTGGAGGAAGTGCCGAATCCCGCTGGTGTGGGACTGCATAAATTTTCTATTTCCGTCATCTGGTCTCAGTTTAATGGTTTCCTCAGTCCCCCACATCTCTACGCCCTCTGAATACTAAATGAGCAGCTCGCTCGTGTTGGTTTAAGGCACTGGGCACACGGCCGTGTTTACATGGCGTTAAAAAAAAAAAGAAACGCAAGGTGGACTAAACCCCTCTTGACTTGCGTGCTGTCTAGGTGAGGTCCCGTACTTTCACCGCAGATACGGACAAACAGAGATGGTGTATTCATACACGGGGGTCACTGTTTTCTCGGAGTCGTTTGTTAAACCTCACAACCCAGCTACAGCGATGTACTGTAGTGGACTTGATACAGTAACGCTATGTTTCATCTCCTCCAGCGGCGTAGCTGCTTGTTTTAGCGCTAGACGGGGACACCTCATTTTGCCGTATTTATTCACAGCTATATGTGTATAGGGTACGTTGGATGGACGTTAGCACAGTCAATTTGGCCATTATCTATATCGTACGCTGGGCAATAGATGCCGTCCTGGGACAGCCCAATCCGTCCCGGCCTCTGATACGTCACTGATGACATCACGTGATATCACGCGCACGATGACCTGAAATCCGCTGGGTTATTTCGTTATGTACAACCATAATACCAGCAACATTCGTCCTTCACCTCCATGTCTCTTTAAAAATGTTGGATGGCTGTTGTTTGAACGTGAAAAAACCGGGAACGTTTTTTTTATTAAAAAAAAAAAACAACTAGATGCGATTCTTAAAATAGACTCCAGTTCAACAAGTAGGTCTTCACGTGTGGCCTGCTTGGCGCAATAACGGCACATGCACTCACATATAGATTACACGTTTAACAACACGTTGTAGCTACCCAAGTATGAACTGCATGTACCATATTTGTAGGATCCATCAGCCAATTACGCTTCAACTTAAATAAACCCATCCATGTAATAATGACAGTTTATACATGTTTATATTATGAGACGATTTTAACCTTTCACCCCAGTTACAGATGCGCCTCACCTTCAGAGGATATTCACCCCCCCCCCCCACCAAAAGACCACCACACAAGCCAAGAAGTACTCACCACACAGTTGATGCCGAACTTGTGACCACGGAACTCGGCCACTTGTGTCTTCTCTGCCACATCCCACACACGTACGGCCGGCTGGTGACCGGTCTGTTAAAAAAACACAAACAGTTGTTGTATCACATGGTGTCAACAACGGTAACAATAGTCAAAATACAACATCCCATACACGTACGGCCGGCTGATGACCGGTCTGTTAAAAAAACACAAACAGTTGTTGTATCACATGGTGTCAACAATAGTCTACATAGAAATCTTGACATGATGCCTCAATGTACAGTAGTAACAATTACATGTTTAAGTCTTCACCTAACTTTTGATGATTGAATATGGAGTTTACAATTTAAATAGTCACCATAATTAACGCCAAACACCTACAGGGGGCAGGGAAGGTTCCATTTTTTTTTATGTAATCATGAGCTGAGTGGGAAGGGAGGGTTAAGAATTCTGACAAAGCATATGGCGTACATATTATAATAGTTGTGATGAGGGTGGTAGGATCACGTTATGGTGTAGTTTTTTTTTGTTTTTTTTTTTTGGGGGGGGGGGGGGGGGGATATTTTTGAGAGTTTGTAGCAATGTGTGATGGTAGGGGTTTTCTTTATGGGGGGGGGGGGGGTGGTGCTAAGTCTCGGATAACACTGCGTTATTTATTATTATTATTGTCCCATATACCCTGCTATGGTACAGCAAACCTAATCGGCCTCATATTTTAAGGTACCTGTACCGAACCTATCATAAACACCACAGCACGCGGTGTACCAGCTAACGTTAACCACTGATAACTGCCCAACCCGCTGATATTTATTGGCCCCGTGAGGGACCATACACCACCGTTCAATTACCCGATGCTTTGTACGTGTCAGGCCTCTGTAAGCACGACTGAAAACAGATGCCTGAGTTATCTCCACAACGTGAGCTAGGTGCCACCAGTACATTCTACAGCAAGGGAACTAAGTCATAACAATAAAGGGATCAATGCTGATCGTTCCTGCTGACACTACAGGTAACGCGCTTGCGATTACTTCCCCTTTTATTTGGTAACAAGGCCACTGGTTAAAGCGTGTAGAAAATTAAATGTAAATAAGTTCCTGTGTGTTTGTGTGTGCTCGGGCACTTCCGAAATCTGCCCCCCCCCTCCTCCCCCTCCCCTATGACAACAGATCCCTTTTTACCTCGATAAAAAACACTTTCTTCAGATTTGCCATACAAACAAGATAAGGGGGCAAGCAAACATAGTTACGTCCCCTTAAGGCCACGTGTGAACGTAATGTATGGCCGCTTGCCAAGATGGGGGTCGTAGAGACGGCAGCGTCTTCCTCCTTTCTTATACACCAGCCTGCGACAGCTAGTTGTGTAACGGAATATGGAGGCCCAATTATGAAACATGTTCGTGATAAATGCCAAGGTACACAACCCGTTATAGAGTTTCAGAGTTTCAGCTAAGTTGTTCGCCCAAAATAAACTGTACTACTGCTTGTTCAAGACAAGCTTTTTAAACTTAAGAACAGACTTCCGACAGAATTCCTTAAATAGAAAAAAATATTTAAAACAACTGTGTGTAACTCTGGTTTAGCCCCAACCTCTTCAACTAATGTTTTTATTATTACAAAGCTTCAGGTGTATTATTACGGCGCGGTGCTTGAGATCACTAGAGAATTATGTCCAGGTTCAATGGGATGTCAGCAGAGCGTTAAGTCTGGCGGTAGAGAACTAATCCAGACTAAACACCTGCCACGTAACGTTAATCTTGCTCCTACACAGGAGCTCCAGTCAACTCAGGTCTACTGGCTTTGAAATGTCTGTAGGACAGCTTTTATAGGCATAGCTGGTGCTATGCATATTGGAAGCCCAGAAATCGGACTGGTGCTATGGATATTGGAAGCCCAGAAAATGGGCTGTTGATATGGACATTGAAAGCCCAGAAATTGGGCTTGTGTTATGCACATTGAAAACCCAGAAATCGGACTGGTATTATGGACATTGAAAGCCCAGAAACCGGACTGGTGCTATGGACATTGAAAGCCCAGAAATACGGCTGGTGTTATGGACATTGGAAGCCCAGAAATTCGGCTGGTGTTATGGACATTGGAAGCCCAGAAATCGGGTTGGTGCTATGGACATTGGAAGCCCAGAAATACGGCTGGTGTTATGGACATTGGAAGCCCAGAAATACGGCTGGTGTTATGGACATTGGAAGCCCAGAAATACGACTGGTGTTATGGACATTGGAAGCCCAGAAATACGACTGGTGTTATGGACATTGGAAGCCCAGAAATCGGGTTGGTGCTATGGACATTGAAAGCCCAGAAATCGGGCTGGTGTTATGGACATTGAAAGCCCAGAAACGTATCTGAATATATGGGTTTTTCTAAACCAAGAAAAAATAACTAATCAGCTGATATAATAAGTCCATCAAACCCCACAATCTGATATTCCAACGCGCCACCCACTCCCTACCCCACTACTGAGCAGTAACAAAGTCCTACTATTGAGTACCGGAACCTAGCAAGTCCGTACCGTCCCTACAATTTGAACTCATTACGTATTACAACGATGGTTTTGTCTCATTCTTACTTTGTCATTCATCCAGTATTGACCTTATTTAAGCAACACAATATAATGTGTTGATTAAATTGTAGAATTGGACAAAACAAATGACAAGTATCCGTATGTTGTTTTGCCAAAAAAAAATATATTTAGACACAAGTATCAATGAACCTAAACACCGACCTCTGTAGAATTAAAATTGAAACTTTTTCTCCTGACTTGCCCTCGTTACCAGATGCAAGACTAAACAACCTACCGTAACTCGGGCACATTAACAAAGAACATAGCGAACGTCTTCAACTTGACATTGGAGCCTATTCACGCATATGTAACGATGGCGGAGGATGCAAACAGCGGAGGGTAATGTGCATAATGATGTATGCGCCGACATTCCGGTGGAGCGGGTCTAATAGGCTAGTCGGACAAGTCCAAAGACTCGGCCTAGCTAGACCATGAATAGCGCGATGCTGTTGTAGCGTAATGCTGTTGTGCCGGTCGTGTGGCTGTCCCCGAGTCTTGAATACCTCTGTTGTCTCCTCAAGCGGCTATAAGCGTGTGTCAACTACGGGGGTTACGTGTGTTTTTTTTTTAATCTACTTTTCATCACACGACTGCTATTGGGGAGGGGGGGAGAGAAACTTTACTTAAGTAGGTTGAGTTGCGCCATTTTCTTTGCTGCTGCATTACTAAATATATTAATTAAAAATAATGAACGCATCCACCCCAATAATAAATCGTTTCGATGGTAGTTTATATTTATTTTTTAGCTGAGTTTAAAACTCTGGCATTAAAGTGTAGGATGCGGTGACCAGTAGAACAAAGCCGTGTTGACGGCATCACACGGGGAGATATAGCCACACGTTCTACACCATGGAATTATCTGACACCATGTCATAGGTAGGAGAGATCTAGCCATCCCGCCACAGGTAGGAGAGATCTAGCCACCCCGCCATAGGTAGGGGAGATCTAGCCACCCCGCCACAGGTAGGAGAGATCTAGCCACCCCGCCATAGGTAGGAGAGATCTAGCCACCCCGCCACAGGTAGGAGAGATCTAGCCCCCCCCCGCCACAGGTAGATGAGATCTAGCCACCCCGCCACAGGTAGATGAGATCTAGCCACCCCGCCACAGGTAGATGAGATCTAGCCACCCCGCCACAGGTAGATGAGATCTAGCCACCCCGCCACAGGTAGGGGAGATCTAGCCACCCCGCCACAGGTAGATGAGATCTAGCCACCCCGCCACAGGTAGATGAGATCTAGCCACCCCGCCACAGGTAGATGAGATCTAGCCACCCCGCCACAGGTAGATGAGATCTAGCCACCCCGCCACAGGTAGGGGAGATCTAGCCACCCCGCCACATGTAGGGGAGATCTAGCCACCCCGCCACAGGTAGGGGAGATCTAGCCACCCCGCCACAGGTAGGGGAGATCTAGCCACCCCGCCACAGGTAGGGGAGATCTAGCCACACGTTCTACACCATGGAATTATCTGACACCATGTCATAGGTAGGAGAGATCTAGCCATCCCGCCACAGGTAGGGGAGATCTAGCCACCCCGCCACAGCTAGATCCACACAACACCTACGTATTTGGGCCCTAGGCCTGGCTATTCTGTTCAAACAATGGACAGCCATTACACCCAGACAACAAGGCACGTCTCTACTGGGGAGGGGAGGGACGGATGGTGAGACCAAACAGAGCAGAGATCACAGCAACTCGACCCACTCAAGTACAGGCCGTAAACCTTTTTCTTGTTACAGTAAATCTCATTGTCTTGGTGAATACACACTTCCATAAAAAGGAATGCAGCATTGTAAGTTATATTTAGCTTTAACAGCGGACAATGTAGAAACTACATTAAAAGAAATGTTTTATTTATCTTGTTAGAAAAATCTAATCAAATATAGCTGCATTTATTTTATTTGTTCAAAGATCTGCTACTATTTGTATGCTGTTATTGTGTGTCCATTGTTAGCCAGGCAATCCTACAATCACATTGAAATAAGACGTGTACATCAGAGGTTCTTAAATGGTAAGGCTGCACCAAGAAGGGACCAAGACACGGAAATACAGCACAAGTTCTACACCATGGAATTATCTGACACTATGCCATATGGTATATGTACAACATGCTACAGATAGATGTGAGTGCGGAGTGAAATTGATCACGCTTGGTAACGTGTATCTCTGATCTACTGTGTTAATGCCTCGTCTACTATTGCAGTTAATCGTCGATCCGATGTTCTTGTTACACCACAACCACATACAGCATCAGTAGCGGTAACTACCACAACCACATACAGCATTAGTAGCGGTAACTACCACAACCACATACAGCATCAGTAGCGGTAACTACCACAACCACATACAGCATCAGTAGCGGTAACTACCACAACCACATACAGCATTAGTAGCGGTAACTACCACAACCACATACAGCATCAGTAGCGGTAACTACCACAACCACATACAGCATCAGTAGTGGTAACTACCACAACCACATACAGCATCAGTAGCGGTAACTACCACAACCACATACAGCATCAGTAGCGGTAACTACCACAACCACATACAGCATCAGTAGCGGTAACTACCACAACCACATACAGCATCAGTAGCGGTAACTACCACAACCACATACAGCATTAGTAGCGGTAACTACCACAACCACAGACAGCATCAGTAGCAGCTTTGAGACAAGGTAGTAACTAACACTGACACGACCTCGTTATACCACAACCACATACAGTATCAGTAGCGGTAACTACCACAACCACATACAGCATCAGTAGCAGCTTTTGACACCAGGTAGTAACTAACACTGACACGACCTACTGACAGCTAACACTGTGAAGGTGCTACATACGTTAAAACCTACGAGCAGTTAAATCAATCAGCAGAAAACGCCATAAAGTGCATGTTGGACTGCACGCACTAGCATCCCCTACAGGTGACTTAGACGATAAGCGGGCCATAAATCTGAGATCACCTCTCAGGTAGCTTTTCATGATAAAAAAAACATCGCGTGAACTCAAGAGTTGTGTCAGTTTAAAACTAAAAGGAAATTGCTGATAATACCAGGGTCAGGTAATACTGACTATTGTCAGGCTTAACCGTATCACAACAGTAAAGTAGTCACTCAAATATCATGCAATGCTGACAATAGTGCGGGGCAAAAATTGTCAGGAAATACTTGAGTCTCACTTCTATGCCCCTAAGAATTGACTGGTTTATCTCGCCAGGCAGTACTTAAGTCTCAGAAGGTATTCAAGTGTTACTGGTGTAATCCTGACAACGTCAGTGAACAAATCCCCGGTGTTTAAATAGATAACTTTCTTCTGTTATTCCACCCACCCTCCTTCACCCAGTAGTGTCGATGACATTAGTCCCAGTCTGCCGTGTGTACTTAGGCCCACAACATGAGCGATAAAACTGATAGATGATTCCTAGTGTAAACATGACAGTATAAACACAGTTTCACGTACAAGATTCAGAAATCAGACACGGAAACAAACAGCTTGTACATACATACATACATACATACACACAACATGGGGTGGAGGGTGAGGACAGGTGGACATACCTCGCCTGTAATGAGATGCTTGCCATCACGCGAAAACGCAAGAGCTGTGATTGTTTTCTTGGTGGTGTTGAAGATGTGAGACTGTTTGTTTCTTCTGGGGTTGAACAGCACCACAACACAGCTGTAGAGAGAGAGAGAGATGGTAAAACTTTGGTCATCAAGTTATGGGTGGGGGGGGGGGGGGTTAAGACAGCACCACAACACAGCTGTAGAGAGAGAGAGAGAGAGAGAGATTTTAAACTTTAGTTATCAGGAAGTGGAGGGGTCGGGGAGAGCAGATTTAAAATGTAATGAATATGATCTATTATAGTCTGAAAATGTATCAATCCGCCCTAGCGTTACATTGTTTCTGTCAACAACAGACCAATCCATGCTACATCTGTATTACAACACACAGAACAAGGGTCAAACAAATACAGTTCTAATCCTATCTTCAAATTACCAAAATGTAAGTTAATAGTTCCCTCTGTTGATAACCTAAGGTGGAAACGTCGTTTACCGATTTAGTTGCTCGGCTATTGAACATTATTTCGTTAGTTATTATGTAAGAAACAGTTACCCTCCGCACACACATCAACAGTATAAGCGTTTACGACGCAGTGTTAATTTCAAACAAAACCCAGAAGACTGCATGATTAATCATGATTAATCAACCCAACCATTGACGCAGACAGGTTTCTCTCCACCTGAATCTCTCTCACCTGAATCTCTCTCACCTAGTGATGCGGTACACTGGAGCTGTGACGTAACGGCACACATCACCTCCTCAAGAGAATACTGATTTAAAAAACAGCGCTCACCTTTTAAACACAATCCCGTATATCTAGTGGTTAACCACAAGTTATTGGTGCACCTATTTTTACCCCCACACAACTGTTACACTAAACACAACCCCGTACATCTAGTGGTTACCCACGCGTTATTGGTGCACCTATATTCACCCCCCCCCCCCCCCCCCCAAAATGTTACACCAAATAGTCCCATATATCTAGTGGTTACCCACACGTTATTGGTGCACCTATATTTCCCCCCCCCCCCCCCCCCGCCACTAAACACAGTCCGGTATATCTAGTGGTTACCCACGCGTATTGCTGCACCTACATTCACCCCCCCCCCCCTTAACACAATCCTGCATAGGCTATTTAGTGGTTAACCACACGTTATTGGTGTACCAATATTCATCCCACCACCCCATGTTACACTAAACACAATCCTGTACATCTAGTAGAATGTTAGTTAAAAATATAAAAATAATACTTTGGTTCAATCATTTCAAAACCAGATAAAAATGGAAGATTGGCGGAGAGGTGACGTGGTTACTTCCAACACTGATTGAACTGAAATGATCGCGACATAAAACATCAACAACCCGAGTGTGTGCTGACGCTCGGGACTATTGGGTACCGACTGACAGAACATGTACCGGCATCTTTACAGTGGTTGGTCACATGCAGTAATTGTTACAAACGGCTTGCATAAATATATCCCTGTGATTAACCAAGCGGATCAATCCAGCACCGGTTGCACCCCACCAACAACAGATGTGACCACGCAAGATTTTCCAGAACCCAAAGAATTCTTCAGTTTTTTGTACACAGAAGACACAGCCAATCAGAGGCGTAGCGACCCTTCCCGGCGCTCGGGGACAAACTTTTCGATTTGCACCCCCCCCCCTCGAGATTTCCATTTGCACCCCCCCCCCCCTCAAACTTTCGATTTGCACCCCCTCAACCTTTCAATTTATTTTTCCAACCCATTTTGGCGCCCCATAAGGTCGGCGCCCGGGGACGTATGCCCCCCCCCCCCTCGCTACGCTACTGCAGCCAATGCTCGGGTAAGTAATAAAATAAAGACCTTACAACGAAGGTACCTGTCAGTTCTCTACAACATGATACAGACAGCTGTTCGAGACTCACAGCCTCTGTGGTACAATGGTAATTGGCTACTGGAAAAGACGACCTCATAACACCAAGGGGAAAAACACAGTACAATTAAGACGGAAATATAAGTAGGAATAACAGACTGTCAAAACGGTAAGGCTGAGTTGTACGCCCCTGTCAGCAAGAAACTCGAGGAATTTCAAGGGAACACTAGACAAAAACTGGAGCAAACAGTTGAAGGTAAGACTTAACAAACCCGGGGGTAGAACGCTGCACGGGTACACCTGGAGACTGATAGTTCCCACGAGAGGAAGCTGAGTTTTTTTGTGTGCACCAATTGTCAGACCCGACACGCACTAACAGAGGAGCTCAACAGCTCACGTCCATCCATAACTGTTGCTCCCCACCCCCAAACCATAACTGTTGCTCCCCCCACCCCCCAAACCCTTACAGTAGCTCCCCACCCCCAAACCCTTACTGTAGCTCCCCACCTCCCCCCCCAACCCTTACTGTAGCTCCCCCATCCCCAAACCCTTACTGAAGCTCCCCCCCAACCCTTACTGTAATTACCCACCCCATCACCCGTACTGCAACTCTAAGTCTGCCCCTGACATAGTTCTTAACTTTGGATTTTACCTTTAACCTCAAGATCGTTATTTGCTAACTACTTAAATATCTTCTCATCCAGGTGTTAAAAGATTCCGGTTTTTTAAACCGCCAACCTAGGTAGCCTATTTTTTATTTTATTTTTGTGTCTTTACAAAATTAGAGAAAACTTAAAAACCGCAAATTTTTGTTGAGTTTTTTTTCTTGAAACAATTAACGAAAGAATGAATCGAGAGAGCTGGTACATGGCCTGTCAAAAAAAAAAAACAACTCCTTGACTTTTAAAAATGTCACCCCAGCGGTTGATGTTTGAACCCAAGTGCTCCAAGTTTAAAAAAAAAACTGTGCACATCCTATGGTTTAGTTAAAGAGTTTTAGGCGAGGGGGGTGGGAGAGGAAAGACAAGATATTTTATTTTATTTGAATAAAAAACAGTTGCGGCTCTAAATCCGACATGTGTTGAAATTCCGAGCATATGTTTTAAATTACGTTGTGACGCAAACATAGCCAGTGCCTTTTGACCGAAATCACAAGAAATATCCGGATTGATGCAGGATAAAACAAAAACATGGCGTCTCCCACTTCCGGTTTACTAAAATGCGGCCTATTTGATGTCAGTGAACCCACAGAACTGAGTTAAAATACAAAAAGGTGCTGGGGGTTTGTTTTCCTGATCAATTTATGGAGATTTATAATTGGCATGCAGCCTAAAATGTTGTAGACCTATCTCATTCCGACTGACATCTTTAACGTGTTGCTTAAAACTGCGTCCATCACTTTTCAGACAGAATTATTTCACCATACCAACAAACACCAAACAAACAATACGTGTGGTACAACAATGTTTTGTTGGCTGAAAGAAAAAAAAAGTTGCACCAACAAAACGTGTCCCTGTAGCACGTGCACGGTCACGTGACCAGGCCGCGCACCTCCAGAGATTGTTTATGTTGATATCTTCACGTCATCTCCTCATCGGTAACATTTGGTTTGACTTTACCCGGCATGCTGGAGTTTTTATTGTTAGCTCACCCTCACGCTTATGGAAAGGTGAGTTCTATTTGTAGAGCAGGGGAGGGATGGGGAGAGGGGGAAAAGGTAATAGGTTAGAGAAAGGTTTACCAATTACTAACAAAACAGGTCAACTATTAAGGCATACCGCATTAGCGAATATTATGAGTACAATTCTAACTGTAGTATAGTTATATGTCTAACAATATACCTAATACCAGCATACAACTGATTGCTACACCATCATACAAAAAAATTACATCCCCTACACAAACCTAATTAAAACAGCGACATAGAACAGCAACATAACTGATAACATCACCGCCATGGAACTGCTCACATCAACAACATAACTGAAGTGATTGCAGCACTCTACACATAACTGCCTTCATCTTGTTGTCTAAGCTATCCCCACAGCTGACTGGAAGTACGTCTGACATTATTACGACGCCGCTTGCAGTGCACATAAAGCACCATGACGCACATCCCATTGTACCCGGCATGTCAAGAATCACGTCTATGCACTTGACCTACATGTTAGCGCTGCAGTCCCAGGTGCTAAACTTAACCCCGTCTTTACAGGTCTACAACAAAGAGACAACACATTTACAAATCCAGCAACTTTCGGAAAGTTTGGGGAAAACCCAAAAGAAAGCTTCCAATTAAAAGACATGGAAAAGTATAAGGAAGAAAGTTAAGCGGTCTAAAAATAACTAAAAACAAACCCTCATTAAAAAGACCGACATGGAGGCCATAATTTATTAAATCTAGTCAACACAGCCAAACTATTAACATTATATTTCTGTCGTTTGTTTGCGTTTCAAAGCTGTTGACGGCAGTTCTTCCTGTTAATTTAATAACTTCAGAACTTACGTTTTCCATATACACAACCATGTAACTCCAAAACAAACCTAGTACAATAATTCTCCTCTGTAAATCGTAGTTAACATTAAACGCACACATGAAGAAATTTACTTTACCCCTAATCCTTTTAAGTGAACCTAATCAAACATCGTATTATTTGTACTATAGATCTAGATATCACATACCAGTAGTCAAACACGACCCCACTCAACAAAATGTATGGAGATGACACGGTCTTTGTGGGGGGGGGGGGGAGTGTTTTTCAATACGAGGACATGGCTATTTACATAATAATTTAAACAAATCCTATCCATTTCATCACAGATCTGGACAGACTCACATCTCACAAACAAAACATCCAGAAAACAGCCAACACAAGCAACTGGTACAAATGTATTTAAGTAATTCGGTATTTCTACTTCATAATTAAGTCTAATTTATCATATTTTCAAGTCTTCTTTCTTCACCTAAACAAGTTTAAGGTTTATATTTTCTAATGCATTTGGAATTTCTCGTCCTCCATTGGGTCAACTAGATAATTAATAACACGACTGATCAGATGTATATATTCTACTTATATTTTTCTTTAAATTTAGCATATTTCAGTGTACTTTTCCTCACATAAAGATATTTTTACTTATTCAATAGGTAAAAAACAAACAATAACACACCGATAGCTTATGAATAACGTCTTGTAATAATTACAGCCTCGCCCGACCCATTGTGTAAACAGCTTGTTGCATTGTTTCCGTGCAAACATTAG